CAATGTTTTAGCACTTTGGGTCACTGTGACCTTGATCCTTGACCTACTGACTTCAAAATAGATAGGGGGGTCATCTGCCAATGATGTCCAATTTCCTTATCAAATTTTGTGATCCTGATTAAATCATCTTAATGATTTAAGAAAATCAACCAAAACAAATTTGGTTTTCATAATAAACTACAAACTGCAAATTCAATTTAAACGCTACATTTAATATTTTTACTTTCATTTCCTCTCGCTCCAATCGTCCGAATAAATAACTTTCGCATTGTTCCCTGTGAGAGAAAGGAAGATCTCTGAACTTGTATAAAGTATAGAAATTATGCAAATAATTTGATATTAAATCATCATAATCATTATTTTGGAAAAAAGTATCAATCATTTATGAAAAATACGTCTACAAACTACAAAATTATTACAAATTGAAATACTATATCTAATATTTTATAAGTCACTTTGTATTATTCATTGTTAGCGAAAGGAAGATCGCTGAATATAAAAATCATACAAATAAATTGGATATAAATCATCATAATGATAATTGTTGACAATAGATATTATTAATATCTGATAATATATGTCTACAAACTGCAATATTAGCATAAATTCTAATTTAAAAGCTTTTTTTTTGATATCCTACAAGTCACTTTCGTATTTTCCAATGTGAAAGAAAGGAAGATCTCAGAACTTGTGTATAGAAATTATGCTAATAAATGGCGATTGAATCAATATTATGATTATTTTTGATAAAAATATATTTAGTTTCTAATATTATTCGACTGCAAACTGCAATTTTATTGTAAAATTCTATTAAAACACTATAATTCATATTCTTAATTCTTAAAATCTGGAGACAAAGTGATTCCTCGGAAGCATTAATCACAACAAAATTACAAGAGAATTGCAGACTCGGTTTGATTGAGTCTGTACATGAGGGATAATGAATACGTGCAACATCCCTCACGCCCCCTAGCACCAGCGTGAGCGGTACTCAATTATCAACACTTAATAGTGCTGGCATTATTGATCCTGAAGAACCATTAAAGTCATTTTTGCTCACTTTCGTCAAAAAAGTCACTTTCGTATTTTAGGCAAACCCCGATGCGTGTGTTAACCACATAGTGTTTATAACGCATTTTCATTAGATGCTGTTTTTCTTTAGCGCAAAATTTTGTCATGTGTCTAAATAAAAACATTTCTTTTTCTTTTCAAGTTATTTTAACACTTTAATAATAATTATTATAACTTAATTCTATACTGATATTCGTTCATGTTTAAAAAAACAAATTAAATGACAATTCTCGCGGGACTCATTCACGCGAGATTAGGCCAAAACAAAATGATCTTGTGGTTCCAGTAACCTGACCGACCCTGTATTTCCGCATCTAACCTAGAACATTTTATGGCAAAAATGGAGTATCCTATAGTGTATGTATCTGACATACAGTCAAATTTTAACAAAATACTAATTTAAAGAAAAAAAATTCCGACCTACCTACCCTATTATTTTTCAGCATGTTACCAGAACCTCAAGATCTTTTTATTTTGGCCTTATGACGTCAAACACACAGACCAATTTTTCCCATGGAAATTTTATCTTATGTACACCATATCAGACACCGGCCTCGAGGCCTGCTTGTAATAAGCTGTTTTTTGTTGGGGTTCTTTGAGTTGAGTTGATATGTTGTAGTTGAAGTGTTTAATTTGCTTTTAGACTCTCGCTAGTATATGATTATGATACATAATTTTATTTTAATTGATTTTATTATCATGCTTTCACTTAGACTTAATCTATACAAGCACAGATTTCTAAATGAAAGACATTTTCAGCGCAAACGTGTTAAAATAGATTGATTTCTGTTAAAACAGAGTATTTCGTAACAATACCACCAATCACTATATCACCTAGTAAACTGTGTATGGAAATTGTGTTGATTCTTTAACACTTCGCCGATTATTCCTAATCTGAGAGACTGATATGTTGCTATTGTTCGACTAATTCGAAGTTCTTACTTTCCCGGCAATCGAACAATTAAATAAATCTTCAACAGCTGTAAAAAGACCCCTCGCATGCTTCTTTTTAATGAAGCAAACTTGTTTTCACATATGTAACTTTAGTGGCTAACTTTTGCCGGACAACGGGAAAACCACAACGCTTTCGCATCCAGCTAAAAATAATAGCTTGAGTAATTCAAAATTAAAAAAAGAAGATTGTATCATAGTTTCAGAGTTAAATCGTATATCAATATACCAATACATGTACAGTGCATTATCTTGAGTTCAGGTATACTTAGTAACCTGTCGGGGATAAAAAATAAAGCATGCTCGTTCATTGTCTACATTCTTTCTGCTTTCTGGGGATTATATAATTCTGACGACAAGGAAAGGGATAGTAATATATTGTGACGACAGGAACGTGTTTTTATTTTGACTATTATATAAAGGAGAAAACACACACACACACACACAAAATACATGTATATATACGTACTATAAACCAGGGGCTGCTTCTCAAAACTTTGAGCTCAGTAATTTTAAATTTGTTTAAACTTGTATTGTTTATTATATATAAACCTGTATACATAGTAATAAAACTACATTTTGTATTTACTTGAAGGGAATAAATTGCATTTAAATATATTTGTGACATCTTTATTGTAGTTAGTTTGCGAATGTACTGGAGTAATGGTGAATCATTTGAAAAATATGGAAACTGACAGGTAAAAAATATTATTTCTTGTTATTAAATGAATGCATACTTTGCAGATTTATCTGGTAATTTTCAATTTTATTTACTATACGTGTATACATGTATGTCGAATGAATAAAATTCATAGAATAATTAAAAAAAATATTTTTTTTATTTGAACAAGCAGTATTCCCAAACAATTAAATTCAGCTAGGAAACATATCCAGGCTACTTATGTTTCATTTGAACAATTTCATGTATAGTACAGAATCATATGAAATAAAAAAAAAAACTTTTCAATTAAAACCAAATATCCCAAATATTCAAATACATCAGAATTCAGAACAGATTTATTTTATAAATTACAGGCTGCCTGAAGTACACTGGAAATTAGCAGCTAACCTTTCTCTGGTTTTAGCTAAAGAGGCCCTTCACATGGACTCGAACATAAGCGTCATTGTTTCTAACAGCATTTTCGTGCATCTCTTATGCTCCTCAAAGAACTATGAATTGCAACAATCAAAGGCAGCCAGAACAGAAGTTATAGATACTATTAGAGGTTTATGTTTGATAGCTATAAAGTGGCTTAATAAACAGTACAGCTACTTCTATTCACATTTAGAAGACAGTTTATTTGTAAGTAAATATTACAAATTTCTTCATACTGTAAAAGCCTGTAAATCTTTTGTTTTTTAAAATGCAAACAGCGAGTAAAGGAAGCTCAATGCCTGCAATAATGCATAGAGAGGCACCTGAGGTTTTCATCCACCATGAAAGCTGAAAAGTCATGTAAGACCTCTACTGTGTTGTCGTAAAATTCAACAAAAACTGCGCCGTTGGAGTTTGGTCTTTGTTGTCTCCATCTCTTAGTTTTGTGATGTGGTGCTAATTCTCCTTACGGCTTATTCAGTTATTCCCGTCAAGACAAATTAAGATTTGAGTCGTATTGTACCAGAGATGCATGTATGTTGCTCCAAGACCCGAAGCATCCTGAAATTGCTACCATCGCATTATAGGTTTGATGCGTAAAAACCGCCAATAGATCAAACATGGACCCAAGAGATTTTTAACGTTTATGTCTACGGTATAAGAACAACCGCTCAAGAAACACTAATAATTGCATTAAGGTACCTCAGCGACTGCCCATGAATGCCCTAGACAACAAAAATTGATGATTGGTTGCTTCAATAATGCAGTCTTTGCATCAGCAAAAAGGCCAGCAAGTTTTCAGTGTCGATGACTTAAATGAAACTCTCTTTCTCTTTTGGTTTATTGACTGGCTACATTTGCGATTCCCCTTAAGAGTTAGTCGATAGATGCAGAATAGTGCGTTGGTACAGCAGTCGATCCGTTTCAAGACGCGACAATGGTTCTTTTATATGTTTAGAGTAAAGCATCCCTATTAAGGATCTCGAAATTTAATAATCCATGCACAAAACAAACCAGTTCTCTTGTTCATAGTTTTCTATTACCATCATTTTAGCGTTGCTGTTGTCGTTATTGACGATTATATGTGGTGTAAAAATCACATTATTACCTGCCTTTTAATAAATGTTCACGACAGCACGAACCGTGTAATCAGATTGTAGCTGATCTACACTCGGCTGCAAAGCATTACATGGGATGCGCAGTTACTGAAACTTTAGAAAACGAATATTTTAAACCGCTCTAAGTTCTCATAAGAAATGCAGTTAACCGTAGCACAAGGTAATAAAACTGAAAAAGGCACTTTTGAGTTTAACCTCAGCTTATGAATGCGTTTTTGTGTTTTCTTGGGGTTCCTAGGCTTTCCTTGAATTATTTGTTTACTGTTGCAGCGTCTTGTCGTTTCAAAGTCTTTTATTTCTTTTTCTTTTTCTTTTTTTTGGGGGTGGGGGTGGGGTGGGGTGGGGTGGTGGGGGTGGTTGTGGTGCCGCCTTTCGTTGTATATTTGTAATTTATTACGTATTTCATATGCACCGGAGTTCATGTGGCAAATCGTTCACATTTTATAATTCTGATACGGCACCCACTTTAATAAATGTCTTTCACGTTTGTCTATATCGGTATCCTTCTTTGACTCGTATTCGTCCCGTTTATTCCACGGTTGTTTGGACTGTGATTGCCATTGCCGCCTGGTTCATAGTGTACGCGTAGAATTACATTGAGAATAGTTGTAAAGAAAGAATACTGTGTTATTGTACCATATCAGTTTCAGATTTTTTAAAGCCATTTTGTTTAAGCATGGCGTGATTGCTATTTTTGCATCTTACAGGAAATTTGATAATTGATATTCTGAAAAATAAAATTTCATAATATATTTCAAAGGTTTGGAATTCTTTCCTTATGCCCAAAGAAGTGTTGGTCAACGAAATTGAAACTGTATGGAACAGTACTATCACAAAAGCTTTGGAGCATAAACTAACTGCCTTTGTAAGTATGCGACTAATATTTTTACAATACATTTATGATATATTTTTCATTGGGTTTTCTGACAAATTGATTGTAACTATGATTTATTTCTTGAAGCTCTCGGCAGAACAAGTGATTTGAACTCTACTCTAATGTTAACTGAAATCAAGTTCATGTAACTTTCAGTCATTAAACGCACCATAAATATTTATTTTTCGAGTTCTGAACGTCGTTTTCTTTATTGTTATAATAAAACGTGAGTTGTTTGTAGATAGGGAATTACGAGACAAGCACAGAAACGTTTGTGAAGCTTTATTGTAAACAGGTAGAGACCTACAATCCAAGCATGCAGAAGTGTCTTCACGAAACTGCATACCAGGTAATATGAGAAAAAAAATGTTTTACTATGTATTTGAAGAATAATTAAGAATAAAATAATATATCTAAAGAGAATATTATATTAAAACTACAATAAAGTATTTCATTTTAAACGTTATAATGAAAATATTTGTTGTTTTTCTAACTTTCTGCTTCTGCACTTGTGCCTATTGTTCGAGTGATTATTAATTGAGCATGAGTTATTGCATGTTTTTGTGTAATCCAAGTCTCAAACGGAGTCCCTTTTTCGTGTCTTATTAATAGCCATGAAAATAAATTATTCCTTTATGGTATGTGATATGACAACAGATGGAAAAACAAATGAAAAATACAACAAAGAATTGCATAAATTAACTTCAGTATTGAAAACAATTCAGGTGAATATGAAATAAAAATAAATTGAAGAAACTGAATAAAAAAACTTATCTTCAGATTACTTACATTTTTTTTGCATTGAAGGCCATGAAAAGATGCTATAAAATAGACGTTGGAACATTTAACGAGATTGAAAGAAAAAAATTTGGTATCCTTCTGTCAAGATTATTTGAGGCTGAATGGTCAAAGGTGATGGAAAATGTTTGTGATGTTCAGAGTGAAGTGTTTTTGGATAGGCTTCTTCAATTGCCACCATTTTTGCACTTCATGAATATTTTTTGTAAGTTTAATAAAGAAACAAAAGTATTATCTTCACTACAAAATAATGTAATTTGATGTTTCACAGCTTTACGCTTAAGAGCATATTTTGAAATAATTAAACTTAACACAGTATTTAATTTAATGGAAGATATGTACCTGGCATAGTTTTTAATTTTTACCTTTAATGGAATGTTTATTTTTTCTGCATTTTAAACACATTGCATACACAAATTGCTTTAAAGTAAAGAATAGCTCCAATATTTTATAAAATTTGATTTATTAAGATCTATACTTTCTTATATTTATCTTAATAAATTTGTTACGATGTTTTTACTAGATACAACGCAGCGTGTTGATTTGTTGAATGACACCTGTAAAGTGAACCTTCTGAGGGTTATTTCCATGATCGAAACAAAGGTAGATAAGCTCTTTCACGGATCGCTTGCTGTTGGAGATTTGAAGGTTGCTTACAAATTCCAAGATATCTTTGTTGAAGCAGCTGGACTCGCCAAACAAGGAGAACGAAGTGACAAAAAGATTACCAGAAAGATGATAGTCAAAGCATTAAAAGTTCGTATGAAAGAGCTTGAAGCATTTCAAATGGACGCAAAGAAAATGGCTTCTCTAATGTTCCTCTGCAAAAGACTTCCAAATGGTAAGTTTTCTTTTTCATAAGTAAATATCCAGAAGTAGACATTTCTTCCACATGCAGCTACTTTAAGTTAATGTTTTATTTTATTATTTCAGTTGATGTTTCAGCTATTGAAAAAGAGCTTAATAAACAAGCATTTATTGAAAAGTGTGCATTGAATGACATTTGTAAGCCGGTCAAAATCGAAACGGTGCAAAGCATTAACACATTCATGCCTTCAATGACGGCCTTTAAGTTGCCGGAGTCTGTCAGAACAATTATACCACAATTGAGCGAATACCAACTAAGTGCAGTATTTCTAAAAATGTGGGAACATGCTTGTGAGAAAAATGCCGATAGCTGTACATCACTTGAAGATGTTGTCAATATATGGAAATCTGTTTCAATCAGGTACTGTTTCTGTTATAACTAACGTGACCTGGCAATGATGTAACACGCAATTTGTAACAATGTCATAAAATAATATAGGGTATACCTCAAATGAGACTTTAAATAGACTGGACATAACAAAAGTTATCTGGTGTACATAAAATAATAGATATTTGGGAAATCACAGGCCTGCATATGATTTTTTTAAATGAATACTTCTGGTGTTGCAAACTTTTAAGATGAATGTAAACGTAAACTTGCTAATCAGCGGCAGTGTGTTTGACAGTATTGATTTTTCTTACAATAGTTCGTATAATAAAATAAATATAGCGCTAGATAGTGATAGTGAATAAAGTGAATGTTTACCTCAATTCACGCCTTTCGTTATCATTATGTATTATCACTTTCAGAGGGATCAGATATTTATATAATATGTAATGTGTTAGGTGGAGAAATATATTTATATATATTGCAAATTCACTTGTAATGTATTAAAAGTTATTAAAAGAATTTCAATGTTTATGTACGGGAAGAAGACCAACGCTATCAATTAAGTACGAAAAACTGGGGGGGGGGGGGACATCTCCTTCTTACTTATAATTCCCGATTTCGTCTTCGTGAATTCACAATTTTAACTTTGTTAAATTCACTTTTTCAACATACGGAATTCACGAGTTTACGATTTCAGCTTCATGAAGTCTTAATTTCAGTTTCACGCACGAATTCACGATTTCAACTTCATATATTTACGATTTCAATTTCATAAATTCACGATTTCAAGGTCAGGAATCAGCGGCAGTGTGTTTGATACTATTGTTTCCTTCCTACAATATTTGGTATAATGAGATAAATAACATAGCGCTCTATGTTAACCTCAGTAAATTGTGAATTCATGAAGTTGAAATCGTGACTTCATGAAGTTAAAATCGTGACTTCATGAAGTGGAAATCGTGACTTCATGAAGTTGAAATCGTGAATTCATGAAGTTGAAATGTCCCCACCGGTGTTTTGTAATGAAGAGATCAAAGACTAAACAAATAATAGGTAATGTTTTCTTAAGGTATTCATTGTTATTGATGATTTTTTAGTTGGCTTGATAAGTCGAAACTAATACAAGAAGGAACCATTTCTTTCCGTGACTTTGAAAACTTGATTGTCAAGACGTGTCATGACGACGATGAAGTGATTGCTTCTGAGTTGAGAAACATGAGAATAACCGAGCAAGTGGTACAAACACGTTTGAACCAGCTGAAGAAATACAAACTTCACAAAGATTGTAGGACCGGTGCTAAAATACTATTAGATTTGAAGTCGAAACTTGGACTGTCGGGAAATTACAATGAGCTTGAGGTTATTGCCGCTGTAAGTACAGAACATTTTGACTTTTCATTATGTTTGTACTTTTTGATAGATATTGATATATTATGCTCTTTGCATTTGAGCACGGTAACTATTTTCTTCTAGTTGTCTGAGTTCTCGGCAAGAGGGTGCGCAAAAGGATGCGCTTCGTATTCCTTCAGATTTTCCAGCCATGCTCGGAAGTTCAATCTAATTTGAGCAGTTTTCCACAATGCAAAACAATACCTTCCGATATTTTCTGTTTTGCGCCGTCCGCGTCTGCTTGTTATAAATATTGCAAAACCCTAAACAAATATTTTGAGTACACATATGCATTTTAAATCAATACTTTCAACTTCATCATATTCATTTTAATCTTTAATCTTGATTCAATGTGACCATCAAAGCTATAGACGCCAAATACACATTTAGGCAGAGGGACTTATACAGCAAGGCAAATGCGGACCTGAAAAAAACACAAGGAACTTATTCAGATCAGACAATTAATATCATTAAAAGTTAAAGATCCTTTTTGTTTTGTGATTGATATTGGTACTGTGTGTATACCATACTTGCAAAAAGTTATATATGTATATAATTATGCAAATAAAACAATTTTCAAGCATCGAAGAATATGTAAAATGTGTACTGCAAATATTTATGCACATTATATGAAATCAATAAATTACATGCATTCATTTCTTATTGGAAAATTTTACATAGAATTTATAGAAAGTAAATTTCTAATTATCTTTATTTACATGAAATGTTAAATTGGGAATATTTTTTATAAATAATGCTTATTGGAACTTACAATATTGACAAATCTTAATTTGAGCATCATATTATGAAATAAAACCATGAAAAAATCATCAATATAATTGTATGTAGAAACACCTTATTATTACATCTTTCGGTCCGTTAATAAGATAGTAGTTAATGCATAACATCGTAATCAATGCCTTTGACTTTTAAAGTTCTGTGGCGATATTTTGTCGTTCCTCTGTCATTGTCTTAAGACGTGTACGAGACATTTTCCTTTGGATGGGATTTGTCGACTCTAGATTGTGAGCGAACGTTTATAACCATACATACATTCTGTGAGAAACCTACACATTGAAAATATAGAAAATATCATCTCTAAATATGATTAATATGCACGGAAACCATAATAATTTAAGATTAAACCAATTGTAATGGGTATTAGACAATTAACAAATGATTTGTGTTAATCAATATCATTTGAATCAAAGGCTACCGCATTGAGAGTCAAAGAAACATCGGGTTTTTTCAAGGTTTTTTCATTATAGTCAGCCTAAAATGTAGTGATATATTTGAACAATGTGATATCAATTTACGTATAATGTTATGTTCAGCAAATTACTGTCGCACACATCGTCCTGTCATTGAAACACGTTTTGTTTATACAAAATGCATTATCAGTCGCTGCGTACCGTACACATGACTTCGATGCAAACCACCTCTCGTAATACTTTGATGAAACCTAGTGACGGTATTGAAGAAAGCAAAATAGTTTGGGTTTTGGGTTACATGTAAAAGAAACATATCGGCGTTCGTCTAAGAACGATATGCGATACATATGGGAATACTAATATGGAATGACAATATTTAACCCATGTGACACCTATGTGGGTTAACCCATATAGGTTACGGGTTCAATGTAGGCACTATGATATATTGTTTAACCCTTCCAGGACCCATATGTGTCTATTATGAGCAAACCCATATGAGCTGTATCTGGTAAAGTGCATATGTTTCTCATATAGGACATATGGGGAAAGTTTTTACTAAAATGAGGCATAAATAAATATATACACTGTATATCTTTAAAGGAACATCATTCACTTAGACATTAGATTGAACCAGCATAATTTAAAAGTACATTCATTTTTTCATGAATGTATTAATCAAATGCGGAAGTGGAAATGGTTTAGCAATCGCATATAAACATGGATTAAAACCTCAACACTATATTAGCCAAATCATATGTTAATGCATCTGCTAGTGCAATTTTATTTAATGTCATAAAGTGAGTTAATATGTTGCCCATAAAGGTTTTTATAGGTACCCTGTTTGGTCTAATATTCGTCCCACATATAATGCCTGCTTGTAAGGATTGTTAGAGGTTAATGCTATAAACGAAGCAAGTGTGATTTTGTTGTCATTTCTTGATCATAAAATATTGTAGTTATAAACCTTGATCATAAAATATTGTTGTTATAAACCATCCGCCTATCAAACAAAATATTCTTATTATTTTTTTATCATGAATTTATAACATGATACTAAAGTATTTTCAGGATAATTGACATTTTATTGAAATAATTTTAAATCTATATTTTTTCCCGAAGGATGAAACGGCTCAATTAAAAATGGAACATTTTGACGATTCCTTTATCAGCACATACACGTTTCTTGAAGGATTTTCAACGGCTAGAATCAATTGCATTCACACTTTTCTCGAGTGTCACACCCTTGTCCAATGGCTCAAGGAATCAATGCATACAAGTATGAGTTATATCCTTTCACAAATGATATTTAATTAACTTGTTCACAAAAGCAAATAATATTTAACTATTAATTAAAATTATTAAATATTCTTCTTGGTTCTTCTTGCTTTTTTTTAGATATGAAAGATTGATCATGATAAAGAATTAACAACAGACATTCTCATTATTCTATATATGTTTCTTTCTTACTTTAACTGAAGTACTTAAATTTGACAACTTATTTTTTCACATAGACCGTATATAGGTTTGCCACAAGTATTACTCAGGTAATCTTTAAAGACGAAAAAAAAATAGTTTACAATTTATTGGGTAACTTATGTATTTATTGATATCAAGTTTCAACATTTTCTAACTTAAGAAATAAAATAGATATTATCATCTTGAACTAGCAATATAGTGAAATACATTTTGTTATTTTTGCCTACTTTAATAGCTGGGCTTAAAGAATTTCAAGTGTTTGTTGAACTTGCATTCATTGCAATTGGAGATGATCCGTTCAATATAGGAAAGGTCCAAACCCTACATTCTGCAGTGAATGGATATGCACCCCTGATTTTTGATCTACCAAGCAGATGTGATTTTGAAGACCTTCTAGATTTGTGCAAAATTGTATGGAGAAACCTAGAGGCAAATTCCAAACTTCCAAAGCAATTAGTAAGTGTTTTAGATAACAGTTATAGAGTTTGAAAGTTTCGCTCATTTACCACTTCGATTATACTACCTATGAAGAATATTTTGTCAAAATATTCTTGGTATCGTTGTAATGACAATATTACGTTAAAATGCAAATACACACTACTGTTTGAAAGTAAAAAATACATGTATATTAGTTTCGTAATATATTCACACATACTCGCTTTTAAACAAAATCTACCTTTTTATTAGATGTTTTATTGTTGTTACTTTGTTATTGCTGTTTTAATTGTATTCTTTCTTTACCAGTCGTATTTTGGTGTATTTAAAGGCTGACACTGAGAGTCAGATTGAATGGCTGAAAGAAATTAAGAATGCTCATGGATCTGTAGAAGTTACATGTATGATGCAGACCGATGCTATTAACTCTGATGGAACAATAATTATCGGAAGGCATACTACGAGAAAAGATATTAAATTGGAAACCCTGGATAGTGGTTTTTTGGTAATCGCTTAATTGTTTTCAACCGTATCCAACACAGATATAACTTATGATAATATATGTTTACACATTGCATAAGTTTAATTGATTATGTCTTCGTTAAATAATTGTTATAACTCATTTGCAATGTATATCCATTTCAGAAAGTCGAAGACACAATAAAACTTACTGTTCCAGGGGTGACAGGAATTAGGAAGTTCCGAGAGTACACTTTTGCTCAACTTCAAGATCTTCAAAGTAGGCTGATGTTAGTTGCTGGAAAAGCGGAAAAGGGCATTGAAAATGTAGAACGATTTACAATGGTATGTACCCCATAGGTGCTCTGGGTGAACAATAAAAGTAATTTTACAATACGTTTATAGATTTGATTTTTGTTTACAAAGGAAATTCCATTCTTTCCGGAAATGATATTTTATAATCTTATTGTTGGTATGTATATCATGTTTTCATTTAACAGATACTTGACAGTATCACACGACTCAGCAATGTGTTTATAAAACTATACGGCTCGGGCTGTGTTTTATTCAAAGAATGGTCTGTGAGATTCATATGTGACCCTGACCCAACTCGACCGGTTTGTGTTTCCATGGAGTTTGCAAACGGTAGTGAAGTTTCTCAACTGAAGGTATATTTCATTTTTATGAATTTATGATTTAGAAATGTTCCAATAAATATGCAACTCCAACTCTAACACGCTCCAATCAAGCTTCATATTATAATCGGGTGAATTTTAAAACACACATTCACGGCATAAAAATGGAATGTTTAACGCCATTTAACTTCAAATATGTCGTCAATAAACAAAATAACTTCTATGCTCAAATTAAGTCTTATATTAATTCATAAGTTGCCCTGCTATGCATAGATCGCTGGCCTGTCTAATCTTAATAACCAGATGAGTAGGCACAATAAGAATTTCAACACAGCATTACAAAATGTTTGTGCTTAAATCTATTTTTATTCAAATTAAAGGTCAGGGTAAGCATACGTACATCTAAGTAGATGTCAAGTTTTCTTGCGCATTACTACAGTATGCTAATAGTTCAAATGCTTTGTGATTAATTATTCAGGTCCACCGGCCTTCGTTATTATAAAAATGCACATTTTAATTAAAACCCTGCATTATTCGCATTATTCTATGATATTCTCAAAAGTGAAAATGGCAAAGCATTGTTTTAGATATAACTCTTAAATTTTCTTTTTTTTGACTTAGAGAATTTGGAGAAAATATGAATAAGTTTAAGAAAAGTCCATCGTAAAATATTATTTCATCCGTATCTGTGATTTTAGGACGTCCATGGCCGAGTGTAAAAGGGAGACACAGGCAAAATTTTCATTTCTTCGTTTTGATTTTTTCATTCGTCTTTATGTAAATATCCTCAAAATAAATAAACTAGGTAGTCATAGGAACAAAACTTTTCTCCTTATAAAGAATAAAATGCTGGTTTCCTAACTTGACCCGCGTTGGTCAGGTTAGAGCGTTAAGATCCACAGTGAACTATGGAAACGTTAAAGAACATATCAAATGAATGACTTAGACTTGTTACAATCATCCAATATCCACAAAATCTGTTATTGTAGCTTCCAGGGTTTATTCAAGTCACATGGCTTGTTTTAAATCTTTTCGGTGATTCTGTCGGCGTCTAAATTTCGTTCAATACATCTAGATATATTTACGCTTCAAACCCAAAATAAATAGAATTTATACAGAATTTCATGCTGGGACTGGAAAATGTCATTTTAGCGTGATTTGAGTGCATTAAATCATTTTGATAGTTTTGTCATTTATTTGCCTAAGTATCCATCGCCGTTTGCTGTAGGTTTGAATCCCGACAGGGACTATGGATTCTCTCATGTGAGGAAGCTATCCAGCTAGTTTACGGAACATCGCTGGTTCTACCTGAGGCCTTTCTAAACCTGCTCGTTCAGACATTTAGCGTCAAAATGACGGAGCATTTGGACATAAATAACTTAAATATAACAGAATGCGTTGACAGAATATTTCAAAGGAGTCTTGAAATTATGAATAAAGATGTGTTACTTTGGTTATTCAAAACCACAAGGAACATGTGTTTAGCATAATTTCACGTTTCTTAAAGTGTAGACCACATTTCACGAGAGTATTACTTTAATGGAATGTGCTATCTTTTATATTCTAGAGTACGTAATACTAAGTAACTTCATTGAAGTAATTTTCGTTGTGTTGCGGGGAATATGAATTCAACATATTAATTAATTATATAATTTTTATAGGGAAGACGCTCAGTAAATGAAGACCTGAAGGATATGATTCCAAAAATAGCAAGATTTTTGGAGTCTTGTCTGAAGGATTGGCTACAACATATAGAAGAAAAACGTGAAATATATCAAAATCTCAACTATTTTACTGTGGATCAGTTGGTTATTCTTCAAAAGGAGCTTCTGAAGTTTGGAGATGATGAACAACAACCTTCTCATTTGATTTATCCTCTTCTCTCTGCCGTAAAAGAGGACTGCACTGAAGGTTCGAGTACTAAGTGTCATTTAAATTATATACTTTAGCTGCTATCATAACCTGTTGGTAAAGTAATACACAATATATTTCCCTTTTCATTTGATAAGATCTACTTTTTTCCATTTGAAAATAACAACAAAAGTAATAAACTGTCGTTGTAGATGACGTAATTGAGGCGATGAAACAAGCAAAAGAACTATTAGACAGAAAAGAACATGATATTCATTCATTAAACAATGACAAGAATGATGAAAACGATGCTAAGAACGAGAACGAGCTAAGAATTCGATTTATGCAGAAGCTTGTTCAGGCAGGGCAAAGCGAACTGTTGGCTGAAAGAGCATTCAAACATGTTGATCCAGATGATTATTCTGAAGGTTTGGCAACCTTAAATTACTTTTCTTTTAAATTTCGTCAGATTTTGTCCGACCTTGATTATTTATAAAACTAGTTATAAATTGAAATGTTTGATTATTTATCTCCATTTTTATTGATATTTTATTTTAATTCATTAATCAAGTCTACGTCCAAAGAAAAAATGATAATGTCTTCATACCACATATCATGCAAACATTAAAAAACTGGCTTATTTGAACATCTGAAAGCAAAATGTTAACATAAAAGTATGATATTAGATAATCTAATATTTATATTGTAAATTCTTTCTTTTTTAGAAGAATTTATAAACCAATAAAGTAATTATATGTAAGCAAATGTATTCTAAGTCGTTCTATGTTTTACATTGAAATGCTAATGTCGCGATAAACATATCTATCAATGTTGTTGATATTGGGATTAGATATTCTAATGGTTACTTAAAATGGAACAACATATGTAAGATATTATTTTCATAAAGGTATTCTTTGGTGCATGGGTCATGCTGAGGATGAAGACTTAGATGAAATGGATGAATCAGGAAAAACTAAAGACAGTAAATTTATTGGCTGGAGCCAATCTGCAGTTTCAATGCAGTCCTTAATAGACAAAAGTGTATCTGCCGTTGGGCAATATAGGTACATACTATTAGTATAACTAAAATATGCATGTAATTTACAAAGTGAACAATTAAATATATCTAAAATATCCGACAATAAACGATATCCAATCCTACAATAGGTCATACAATCTCATACAATATTCAACGTGTCTTTTAGATACTGTCAATGTTAATGCTGGAAAAAATAATTGCCAAAGTTGGGGAGGTTATAAAATCTGAAATGACTTCATTTGAGTAGTCCTGAACGTGTTTGAACAATCAAACTGTCATTTAAAAATGTTCGTTTATATGAATTTATCAGATTTTCTTATATAGTAGATATAAACCATTTAAACTGTAAAAAGTATAATAATCAATACGAAAAGTATAAATAAATGTGTCGAACAAACCTATTTTATTTTGGCCTTGTTATCAAAACTTGAATGACATTGATGTCTAAAGATCATTCGTCACAAATATATAATATTATACAATTATTGACTAGTGAGCCATTGAATTTGATGTGAAATTCACCGGCAGATGACATATTGGCAGAGGCGATAGCCGAGATCAATATGACTTTCTGCCGGTGAATATCACATCATATTCAATGGCTCACTAGTCAATAATTGTTTTATTATATGAATAGGCTAAAAAATTTAAAAAAAATCACAAAAAGTACAACCTTATATACATGTACAAATTTTGCCTCGTTGAAGCGCGGGAAAAAAGACGCACGTGTTAGGCGTGCAACGACTAAGCGAACGCTGCGCATACAAAAATAATTCAAGTTTATACTCATCATTGCGGTGTAGCCTTTAAGTATAATAGTAAAGTAATGATATTTTAATCGAGAAATATGCCATAAAGAACAAAAAGCAACAATTATTTTTTAATTAACACGCGTAATTAACAGTCTACGGTGTATGATCATTGAATATGAGTCTCAATCTATTTTTAGACTGGGAAAATCCAATTCAGCCAGTGAATATGATACTACACCCAGTGAATATGATTTTATAAAAAGTTCTGTTGACTACTGTTTGGACCAATGAGATTGCAGCTATATTTAGATCATATAATAATATACAATTATTGACTGGTGAGCCATTGAATATGATGTGATATTCACCGGCAGATGACATATTGACCGAGGCGATAGCCGATGTCAATATGACTTTCTGCCGGTGAATATCACATCATATTCAATGGCTCACTAGTCAATAATTGTTTTATTATATGAATAGGCTAAGAATTAAAAAAAAATCACGAAAAAGTACATCCTTATATACATGTACAAATTTTGCCTAGTTGAAGCGCGGGAAAAAAGACGCACGTGTTAGGCGTGCATGCAACGACTAAGCGAACGCTGCGCATACAAAAGTAATTCAAGTTTATACTCATCAATGCGGTTTAGTCTTTAAAGATCCTGTATGTTTTGTGATTGATATTTTTACTGTGTGTATACCACACTTGCAAACATTTCTATATGTTTATACTTATGCAAATAAAACAATTTTCAAACATCAAAGAATATGTAAAATGTGTACTGCAAATATTTTTGCACATTATATTTAATCAATGAATTATATGCATTCAATTCTTATTGGAAATTTTGACTGATAATTTATAGAAAATTAATTTCTAATTACCTCCCTTTATTAACATGAAATGTTTAATTCGGTAATTTTTTTTTATATATAATGCTTATTGGAACTTACAATATTGACAAATCTTAATTCGACTATCATATTTATGAAATAAAACCATGAAAAAAATATGTTACAGGATCTTTAAGTATAACAGTAAAGTAATGATATTTCAATCGAGAAATATGCCATAACGAACAAAACGCAACAATTATTTTTTAATTTACACACGTTATTAACAGTCTACGGTGTATGGTCATTGAATATGAGTCTCAATCTATTTTTAGACTTGGAAAATCCAATTCAGCCAGTTAATGTGATACTACACCCAGTGAATATGATTTTATAAAAAGTTCTGTTGACTACAGTTTGGACCAATGAGATTGCAGCTATTTTAGATCATATAATAATATTAAATACGATGAAAAGCATTCATATAAATATGTATAATCTAAAATATTTTGTGAAATGTGAATATTATAGTGAAATCGGTGTAAAGTACCTGATAGAAGACTTGCAGAAACTTTGGAAAGAGTTCCTTGAATCTATAAAATCAAATGTAAAGGACTATCTTAGCATTGAACATCTTGGAATTATTCTAGAACAATTGTCATCAAATGGTAAGTGTAAAGACTTTTGTATTTTTATTTGAAAATGCTTATCAATATTTTGTAATGGTGAAGTTGAGGTAATGGTTATTTTGAAAAAAAATCCTTTGGTAGAATGCACTTTAAAATGTTAGCATTATAAAAGGGACTCCACTGAGTTTTTATTATTGACATGATGGGACTGGAAATAATTTGAAAAGATAAAATGTTCCATTTCATGTTAGTCAAGACCAATAACATGTGTACATAATTTCAGGAAATTCACTCACTCGTTTTTCCGGAATAATTTAAATTGTGAAAACCCTTTTCACTCAAATCGGACAAAAAATAGCACAACATACAATTTTCAATAAATTTCTAAATAGTATTTCTATTATTGTTTGCATATCTTTTTGTTTTAATTGCTTCAGATGATCTAAGTAAGAAATTCAATTGTAATGATTTAACGTTTTGGCCCTCATTAGAGTTACTTAAATCCCTTAAAACAAAATTTTTGCGATTGTCGTGCAATTATTTATGACGATCAACTGTTAATATATATATATATATATATATATATATATATATATATATATATATATATATATATATATATATATATATATATATAATATATATATATATATATATATACACACACACATAAGTCACCAAATGATACTTTGTTGAAGTTTTACTTAATTTTTTCTTTTTTTTGGTTTCTTTACAGATATTGGAATCAAACCTAGAGTTTTTCCTGTGGGATTTAAGGAAGGAGTTCCGAACCTTATTGTTTGTCCATCAGGTTAAATTAATATTGTTTATAGATATATGGAAATATTTTGATGTTTCAAGGGTGCAGCATCGGCTGCCAAATATCTAAGTATTGAAAACCCGTGTTCACATAAAAATTCCAATATTGGCAAGTTTGAGCCAATTAAAATATATTCTATTTATAAGCAATAAAACTATGGATATGATCAGGAATATGCAAATGATGTGTAGAGGATGGATTGGCGTAAATCTTGAAGTTAGAAGGTCTTGTCATACTAAAATCAAAAGTGTGATGTGATGAATTTCGGTAGGATATGATTTGAATCATGTCTCAATTTTATAATGTTATATATTGAATTGTAGATGATGTTCTGAATACAACTCTTTCGATTTATTTGTCGCAAAATGGACAGCCTTTACCTCGTGCAGATGAAGTATTGATGTGTAAGGCTGACACAACAAAAGAGGAGGTACAATATCTAAAGTGTTTCCAATATAATTATCCTTTTGTAATGTGTTAAATGAATTAATATAAAATCTGGATTACTTTATTTTATGATTTCAGATCTTAAATGGTATTTATTTTCTTTTAAGGTTGGTATATTCTTTAGAAGAGTATTTGCTGAGAAAGGTAACAAAATACACTGTCTGTTGAACACAGAATTGTTACCATATAACGTTTCAGAAACGGCAAAACGACAATTAGAGGAGCATTTACAACAGGCCAAATGTAAGTATAGTTATAATGTTAACATTATTTGTTTGAAAATCATCAAGTTCACTGTATGATATATCTAAATAAAAGATGATAATTGTAAAAAAAAAGTAAAAATTAAAATAAAAGGGTGATAAAAAATAACCTTAAAAATTCATAAAATTCATAAAAGCAATATAGAATTATCATTTTAATATTCTTATCAGATATATTCCTTGAAAGACAGATGTTGATAGAGGTCTACGTGATTTAGTATGAATACTTTTATCAAAATCAATATACATATGTTGTTTGTCTAAAACAATTTATTATCTGCTACATACAAAGATATGTCATATCGAAAAATGTACTTCAAACTTTTTAACAACATCAGCATATAAATTCTTTCGTGTTTAGTTTTAACATATGATATTAAATACTTTTGACATGAATTTGTATTATTAATGACCTTCCATTATGGACCAATTCACGTTCAATATTTTGTTTTGTTAGCATTTTATTGTCATGATTATGTCAGAATTTTACTTTGTTTGTATAACCAATAAGTAGTAAAGTACCTTACTAAATGATTTAAACATTGAACAGTATTGTTGATCAATGATAAAACATTGTGTTTTTGAGTGACCGGGATGGTCAGATAATATATAATTGATTTTGTACAGCATTATGTATCTAATTTTGCTAAGAAAGACATTTTTCCTAAATGTCCGATTTATTTTTTAAGACTAAGTATCAGGGTTTCTTTATACAATTATTATGATTCATTACATAAATGACGGAGTTACATTTAAATTGCTATATATGGGATGGGAAATACCTGCAATGGCCAGTTTCTCAATATCATAGTTAATGTTTTTAGGTGGATCACTTCGACTTTTTGTGATTTGTGAATCAGACAGCAAGCATCGAACAAGCACTCTGGTGTCATTCTTGCATAAATACAAGAGACAACCGCCGATATTTGATTTTGATAGATTAAGATCTTTGATGAGGTTAAAGCTTGCAGTTGAAAAATCTGAGGACAGCATAGTTACACCAGCGGCTTATGCAGATCATGAAAGGTACACTGTTGCTTCTGATATAAGTTTAAATATGGGCACTACATAGTTATATGTATTTTTTTGGAATAAACAGAATATTTGTATATATTTTAGCAAACATATTTATCGCAAAAGTGCTAAATATTGAACCTTACAATAAATGGCACAAACGTTCATGTAGTAAATGCTTAACATTCTCAAAGCTTGATAACTTATTAATTCACACATATTATAAATGTGTATATTACATGTATATGTAAATGAAACAATTCTAGTGTGAACTATATAAAGTGAATTGTTATAATTTTATCAGATCATCTGTGCGTGTCATAAAATCATGGCGTCCAGGTGTAGGAAAAACACTTTTTATGAACAGAAAAGGACAGACATTGAAAATACTGAACTCTGCTGATGTAAACACTGAAATAATAACCATTCCGCTTCAAGAGAAAGAGATAGACATTCACTATGTTATTGAACGACTTTTCAATCGATCGATTTATCCTAAAGAGCTAGCAGCAAGATTATTCCATATAGATATATCTAATGAGGTTTGTTCTTTACTTTTAATGCAGCAGTTGCTAGCACTATTTTCACTGCATATAAACACGAAAAAAAAATCGAGTAGTAAGGAACGTTACGTAGATTTAGTCTATTATACATTGGTTTAATTTGTACCGGTTTTGTACATTCTTGATATACACTGTAATATATAGGGTATCGGAAATTTTTAATATAACAATCAATATTAAAATGAACTTGATTAATATAAAAGGGTTCATTTTATACACTGAGAATTTTATAATACCTTGAAAACTATTTTTCTTTCTTGGGAAGGTTCAAGAAGGAGTTGACTATTTACTTTTCCATATGTTGATTCTCGGACGCTTGACAGACAGGACCGGATATGTATGGACGAAGTCGGAAAATGATCTGCACCTGATAGAAACTATGCCACTGATGATCAAAGTTGCAAACGAAAGAGTAAGTTTCTTTTATATATAATTACTTTAAAAAGAAACAAAAAAAAAAACACTTATGACAATGATACATGTCTCGTTTTTGTATTTGCAACTAAATTAGGTAAACTGTACTTTTCACTACGTATTAGTTTAGTCGACTACTTTAATCAAATTATGTAACTAAGGATATAAATATTGCACTAAATAATTCAATTCGGAACAACAATAATATGCCTTCTGCCTAATAGGTTTGGAAACTACATTGTATATTTATCGTTAAATTAAAAATGTTACCTACAATTAGGTTAAAAGCATATGTAGTTCAAGAAATTGATAATTATATGATTTTCATAATATTTAAAACAGGGGGATAAACACAAATGTGCCCATCAAATGTTAAGCATTCTCCCCGATTTAACATGTAGATCACCTGAGGAATGTTTACGTGCATATACGGAAAATAAACTGAAAGGTGAAGTGTCTACAAAATCTGCAGTTAATGGTATGAAAATAGTTTATTTTATTACTGCTATTCATTCTGTTGTAGAGACAATAAATATGATGCATGAACAAATCAATTTAGTTTAGTGCGATATTAACCAAACTTATGGTTACTAGTATTAGCTTGTAAAATTTCCTATATATATGAAATGACAGATAATAAAAGTAATCATAAAGTAATATGTCATTTACTTTGAGAATTAGATTATTTAGATTTGGTTCATGTTTGAATGACAGGTATGGTGAGAGCAAAAGCTACATATTTTAATGCTTTTAAATAAACTGTTTTAATATGATGGAGACCAAAATTTGCTTCTTTGGATATAACTTAAAATCATAAACCTAAAAGAACGCCAAAAACGGCAAAATGTGAAACATAGCATGCTTGGTTCGATTAAGCCAGTTAATGGACGGCAATGGCAAATACAGTCCACTAGCATAAAATTCATTAGTAAAATATGTATACAAGCAAATGGTGATATTGTCAATTTACCTATTCAGATTGATTAGTTTTGATTTCTTTTTAATTCGTACGTTTAATTTCAGGTCAGAATGTTTCGGATCAACTCTTCGACAAGGAAGAGTTTGGCAATGAAGTATTTCAAACACCATTTCAGTATCTCATTCGGCTTGAAGAAAACAAAGCTTTTGAAGATATTCACCCTGATAAGACGGAAGGAAGTCCGGAGTCATGTTTGCGCATACTTCTCAGGTATAAGAAATTTGTTTTAACTGACTTGTATTACTTTAAAGATATTTGTTGAAAAGAATTGTACAGGGAAATGCTTTTTAAAAACAACAAAATTTGACTGACAGGTATAATAAACAGTGTTAGGATCCTATAACACAATTTTTGTTATGGTTTTATAACCGTCATATGAACACATCTGCGGATATTTCTAAATTCAAAATTCACCAGTTTCGTGTTAAATGTTGAATTCTGCTTAAGCCGGTGCTAGGGGGCGTGGACGGTAACTTGCACTTTCCAGTACCGTCCATGAACAAACTCAATCAAACCGAGTCTGCAACATTTTCAATTATGTCGTGTTGGCCTTTCTTTAGGGATTCTGTTTTTTTCTATTTTATTGTCACATCCGTGTTATTTGTGCCTTGTGGCGGTTGTAAAATGTCTGCCCGTACACTTAATCAATGATGTTATATTTTCGATCCTTGAAGATCGTTGAGCACGGCATTGTTGTTGTGTAAACATGTTATATGGTACTTTAAGTTTTTTTCTTTTTGGCCATTTTCAACTCGTGTGGTTCCAGTATTCCGACTTGAATACTGTATAATCACCCTTAGGATATGTTACCTGCTTTTTAAATTTGTCTTTTAAAGTCTAATCTGTGATATGCAGGGTTCATAACCTCAGATCCCCTTTCAAAATTTTATTTTATTTAGTTCCGCCCATTGTTTTCCAGTTTAGGGCAAAAGCATTCTTTTACTTGGGGACCATACGCCCATTTTCATGGAATGGTACTACTGTGCCACATTGAAGGTTCCATGATAACCGTCGTATGAACACATCTGCGGATGTTTCTAAATTCAAATATTCACCAGTTGAATTCACGTGTTAAATGTTGAATTCTGCTTAAGCCGGTGCTAGGAGGCGTGGACGGTAACTTGCACTTTCCAGTACCGTCCATGAACAAACTCAATCAAACCGAGTCTGCAACATTTTCAATTATGTCGTGTTGGGCTTTCTTTAGGGATTCTGTTTTTCTCTATTTTATATCATAAATTTAATGATCAAATTAGGTTTTATCAATTTTGTAAGTTCCAAAAAGCATTATATATACAGACATTACCGAAATTATCATTTCATGTAAATAAAGGGAGGTAATAAAAAAATATTTCCTATAATATCTAAGTCAAATTTTTCAATAAGAAATGAATGCATATAGTTTAATGATTACATGTAATATGTACAAATATTTGCAGTACATAATATACATATTCTTCGATGTTTGAAAATTGTTTTATAACCATAATTATATACATATAAATAATTTCACTTAAGTGTGGTATACAACCTCAATTACAACATACAGGATCTTATAAATGTGTCAGAAATTATTGTTCTGGTAGGTCCTAATGCTAGTTTTAGAACAGTGACAAGAGTTTTATAATATTCTTTGAAAGACCAGATCAGATTTCGTGGATTAGTTAGACAGATGACATAATAAACACTATTTTGTTAAGTGATATATGCCACTTACACTAATATTGACCAGTCAATGTTCTGATACTAGAATAAAATTCATTTGTGTTTGATAGAATATATAATGGGATCATTAATATCACGCCTTAAACATGTATGACAATAATTTGTAGAAACCTAAGAGTTAGGACGAGGAGATTGTAATATTATTAACTATTTAGTTCTTTGTTTTAACACCTCATACTGTAATGGAAATGTTAAAAGCATTGCTTAGAAAGTTCAACTGGCATTCAATAAATGTATCCCAGAACATAACCCAGCAACAGCAGACTAATGGCAAGGAGACAAACAGGATACACAAAGGACAAACAAAAAAGCAGAGGGCACAAGGAAGAGCGAAATTCTAACAGTTGTGCTCATGTAGATACATATAAAAGTAAATCAAAAGATCATAACAAAAGTACCCATGTCTTAAAAAAACAGAGCATCAAGACTACAAGGGTCCGACGAGGCAATGCAGAAGACAATGCAGAAGACAAAATTTATACAATAAGTCCCAATGGTTTTAAGAACTCTATATCATAGTTTCCCGCTTGATCCGTCAGATGTATTCAAAAGAGGAAAGCGTAGTGTCCCACTGTAAAAGCATGCGGTATGTCTTAAGGTAGTAGGTTATAACCTCTTGAAATATAACGTTTAATTATTTTAGGAAGGACAGCAGAAAAGCCTTATTGAATATAATCTACTAAAATACATAAGTAAGATTTTGCATCGGGTACAATCTAATTATGGATAATTTACTATACTATACACTATACCATACTGTCGTCTTTCTTATCATATACGAGGGATGTTCGAAATATATTGCTAATTTCTATCTGGAGACGTCAAATTTCAAATTAGCTCAAAGGAGTTCATTTCATGCCCTCGAAGTACTCCCCGTGGCTAGAAATGCAAAGTTCAGGCCGATGTATCCACTTCTTGAAGGCGTCACGGTACGCTGATTTGGGCACAGTTGTAAGGTACTGATGAATGGCAGATCCAAGTGCCTGTCGGGACTTTTATTTCTGCCAAGCAAGGAAGGATTTCAATTTCGGAAACAAAAAGAAATCACATGGGGCAAGGTCTGGAGAATACGGAAGGTGAGGCAAAACAGTTACTTTTTCTTTTCCAAAAAAACGCCGAAACTATTGCGGAGATATGAGCGGGGGCATTGTCATGTAGAAGACATATATGCTTAAAACCAGTGACAGGGTGTCGTTTCTTATTATACAATTTCAGTTTCTTTAAGTACCACGTCTTTGAAGTACATCCCAGTGATACTTTTGCCCTTTTTCACCGGCACTTTTATTGCGACTACTTCACCAGAGAAGAAAATTGCATACAAAACCTTCTTTGCACTCAAAGACCGTTTGGCTATTATTGGGCGTTTGCTGTGTTCAGTGGCCCAGATATTGTTGCTAACTTTTCTGATGGGCTTAAAATAATGGACCCAAGTTTCATCACCTGTGACGAATTGGCAAACTGTTTTGGTTTTATTTGGTCATATTTTGGAAACATTTGAAGCAGCTTTTTGGCCACCTTAGCCCGTTGCCTCTTTTGCTCATCGGTCAACAGATGTGGCACCCTTCTAGCAGAAATCTTTCTGACTTTCAAATGCTTCTTCAAAATAAGGTGAACCGTTGAAAGTGATATGCCTACCTCTCGTGTAATATCACGAACTATAAATCTGGCATCTCCTTCAATGATATCCTTTATTTTGGAAACGATTTCATTAAAAGATGCAGATTTTGGCCTATCTGATTTAAGTGCATTTTTGAATAACTCTACACCAGTCTCAAATTTCTTTTTCCATCGCCTAACTGTAGAGTTTAGTCATCAACTGCATCAAAGAGCAACCCAGTTTTGAGCGAGCTTTGATGTAAGCCCGTATTTCAGTTTTTTTTGTCGACGCTTCTACTAACCATTTTTACTACAGTGGACAATGACTGCGTGTATTTAAATTGCAAATTGTATGTCTTTCACTAAGTCTAACATGTACATTTATACACCGTTGTGTAAGTATTGAATTACCCTATACAGGTATGTATTGGTTTTTATCGTGCTCAATGTGGAACACGAGATAGAGGACAATAAGCAATTCTTTTCGAACAACCCTCGTAGTTTCGTATGAAAAGTTTTACTACAGACTGCAATAATATTAAATAATGTACTGTAAAATGAAGGGGTAAGACTTCAAAATTAGAAATATCAAGGTATCGAGAAGTGCTGGCGAAAGCTTCTTAACTTGTAAGGACAAAGTGAGTGAAAGTGTTTCTTGCATCTTGTAGAGCTTAAATGCATATATATGTGTTTTGGGGGGTGTGTGTGGTGGGGGATATATGAAATCGGTAATAAGATTGTGACTGCTATGTTTCTCTTTCCTAAAACCGCTAAAAATCAGCATCACTGAAATTGTATTCATTTATAAATTATAGTTTATTGTCTGAAAAGAAGAGAAATTAAGAATCTTTAAAGAAGGTCCTAAAGAAGGTTTTATTGAGCCTGTTAATGGAGGGTACTGGAAAATGAATGCAACCATCCAAGACCCTTGCACCGACTGAAGCAGTATTCAATATCTAACAGAAAATGGTTAAACTATGATTTATAAATATCCACAGATGCGTTCATACGCCGGTTATCATGTGACATTCCTTGAAAGTCAAATGACCTGAAGCTTGGATATATGGAAATAAGTGTTGCCTAGTATGCTTTCACAAAAATATATTAAAAGTGGCAGATGTTGCCTCTGACCTTATAAGTTCCCAAACTCCTAGAAACGACAAGTTCTAGAGCTAAGGTTGTTTCAGTCATTTCCCTAAAGGTCTTTTCAAAGATGGTATTATTCGTGACATTTGGATAAGAACATTTCCCGCTTCATTAGTTTTGTCAAATTGTAGCCGAAAGTGAGTTCTATAACCGTCACACTGACACCTGAAAGACCTAGACGTAGGGTACGTAGCGTTTCTTAGAGTTGATCAATAACTATAATTTTGTACTTAGTATATGCCTGCAATGAATTGAGTAATTCTATAATGTTCATTATTTCTTTAAATTTAAAGATATTGTGGAGTGCACGATCCCTCATGGGCAGAACTGCGCCATTTTGTTTGGTTTCTTAACACGCAACTGAACGATTTTCGAGCCAATATATTTTTGGGTCAAGCTGCTGCTGACTTACTTCCTGGCTTCTCAAAATTCACATTAAAATTCCTTATTCAAATGTCAAAGGTAAGCTGTACATATCTTATTCCCGAAAATGAATTAAAGAAATAATTTTAAGAAAACAAAATATTTATGAACAATGATAACTCTGTAGTGATGTCACTCCTTTATATTATTTTTATTATTGTACTTTTTTCTTAATATAGATATGTGTTTCGATTTCATAAATGACTTTTTCTTTCTATTGTAAGGGTTTGGGAATAATTTATTATATTCATAACTTAAGATATTCATTGCAACCTTTCGTTTGGTAACACTCGACAAATATTTAAAGATTTCAATGTCTCATATTAATAGGATTTCTCCACAAGATCACTCAAGATCAGCGAAGAATCGCCTGGATTGATAATACAAACGCTTCAACCCATCGACAAAAAAATTGAAACAAATCCTGGGGAGGACGAGGATATAGTACAACTTTATCAAATGAGGAGAACATGGGAAAGCAGGTACTATACTTGAATAAGTTTTTTCTATCTTTAATATAGCAACAGCAATCACTATGTGTAATGATTCGTACTCGATTGAAAATAGCATTTCTGATTTTGATTACCAATGGGGCGTGTTTATGTTGCATTATATCATACATAATGAATTGATTATGTCAAACTTATTCTGCATTTTTTTGTCTTTTGAGGGACATCCAAATCTTAGAATATATACAAGACATGCTAGAAATAATTAAATGACGAATGCTATGTTACAATGCAGATTAATCAAAGCTTTTTTAAACAAACAAATATTCAATTGTCTATCCTTACGTGGATTGTATTTGTATTTATTTCAGTCCACATCCATATATATTTTTCAACGCAGATAGAATGTCACTGACGTTCTTGGGGTTCAATATTGAAAAGAGGACAGGAAATTTAATAGATCATCAGACAGGACGAATACTAGAGAGGGGAATGATGAAAAGGGATTTATTTAACGCTCTTGTCAATAACAATGTCCCATTGCAAGAAAATTTTGACATGTTGCGGAGGTATAAGAATATTGTCACGTAAATTCTTTATTTATTTTTAAAACACATTTCGAAGGATATTTTCATATAATTGAAGGAGATTCATTTGAAAATAGTTTATATGATATAAGGTAAGTATCAATAAATTATCTTCTTTCCATTCTATATAGGATGGAAAAAATTGCAAGATTAAGGAGCATTATGGGAATCGAGTCAAATGATGATCCAGATGATTCTTACGAGTTAACAACGGACAATGTTAAAAAGATGATGGCCATTTACATGAGATTCATGTAAGACTTTCATTTAATTTATTGATTAAGACTCATAGTGCCTAGTATGACAATGGCCTTAAATATGTATGTGTCACCCACCAGTCACCTACTTGTTTACCGAATAGGACTTTAGATTAGCCGTCTTTGTTTCTTAAGGTATTAACTTCAAGCTTCAAATATCAGTTTCTGGTCATCAACGTAATCATATGTGAAAAGGTTCACGCCTCAAAATTATCAGAATAATAAAAAATCTAAATTTTCATAATTTTTTTTCACGTCTTGGTTTCAAAATGTAATTACTTCAAACTTCAAGTATTTGTCTCTTTTTATCACTTACCTCATGTGTGAGAAAATTTAATACCCTAGTTTGAATATTTCCATAATTATGTTTCCCGTGAACTTCATTGTTTTCTAGAAATTATTACTTTTTACCCGAATTTCTTAAAGGATTTCCTTTAAACGTTAAGCCATCAAATCATAACAAAATGACAAGATATTGAAATCTATCCTCCATATATCCAAATTTTTCTTTTTTCTTTTTTCATTCTTTAACCTTCTTATTATTAACAAATTTAAAATATATGTTCATTATCGATACCTAAAATCATATGTGATTATATTATCAGTCTAGCGTCTTGGTTTCTATGATTATTTTCATTTTGTACTGTGTAATGTATTTTAAAATTGTGATATATATATATTTTCTTTACTATAAATGATATATTTAAACGTATTTTTCCACTTTTTTCTTGTTACTATAAATGGTGTCTAAATAGTTTTAAACTTAAAATAGTTATTCTTTTTTCAACATTCACATTTGTTGACATGAGTTATCTGCTGTTTAGTTTAAGAATTTTGCTTTAAAAATGTAATATTCAGGTAACAACAACGGATGTTAAAAATTTACCCTCAGAGTGTCTATCATTCCATCTGTCTGTCCGTCCCTAAAATCTGTTTCCTGGGTTTACTTTTAAAGAGCTTGGAACTTTTCCATCAAATTTACTTGAGAAGAGTTGAAACATTAGTTATACATATTGCGCATGCGTAGCAAGATGGCTGACATGAAAATTTAAAGTGAGAGAAAATAATTTAAAATCGGATTTATGGTGATATATGGAAATTGTTTTTAATAATTTTGATGACAATCTGACTGGAAATATAGTAACTGTGCTGGTTGTGCTGGCTGATATATATATCGTTATATAGAAAACGGGATTTATTGTGTTTCTTGGATATAGCATTACATTTTGGGCGTAAATTAGATTTGATTGAAAACTCTATAGAATTATATGGTTAGTGCGTTGCTGTTTATATGATATAATGTTTATATGATGGAGACGAGAACTAGTACACCCTTATCACATACATATAACGTACCGGTACATAATAGGTTTTAGTGAGTTTCAACAACAATGGGCGAATTGCGATCAGAGCACCAATTGGGGCAAAATGGACAATCTGGATCCCATAAAACCCGAGCAAATAGACCATTTTCCTTCGCTAAATTCGGACGATAAATTATTGCGAATATTTCAACAACTGGGAAAACTTGACGATTATATAGACTCGAATTTACAAAATTTTGTCCTCGAATTTTTCAGAACAACATCTCAGCTTGATCAAGTTGAAAGACGGCTTAACCTTCATTTAGAGTTTACAAAACTACAATTATATCACAGTATTGACGATAATGCCCGTAGCCGGAGGAGACAATTTAATTTTCTACGGATTAGCAGACATGCGAAATGAGAATTGCCTTGAAGTGTTAACGGAGTTTTTTGTCTGACTGGCTTGACATTGATCTCGAGAGAATGTATATTCAACAAGTTCACCGTCTCGGGTCATTGGGGTCGCGACAGTGCGAGGTCAAGATGGAGTAACGCGTAGACCCGATTATTGCGTGTTTTCGGGATTTTATCCGGACACTGACATTGATAATGAAAAGAGTCAATTGGTTATCTGGATCCCGTTACGGGATCGATAGGGACTACCCTAAAGAGATTGCTATTGCCAGAAATCGTCTTTACAAATAACATGAAGTCCAAACTATGAGCACTCCGAGAAATGTAAAATAGCGTGTCCGGCAAAGTTGAATTGTCAAGGGTAAAGTAGTGCGTGATGAATTTCCTGACTGGCACGCGGTACTGAACAGAAACCGAATTGACATTATAAATGACTTGTTTGCCAAGAAAGATATTTACTTACAATCTACAGTGATAGACGACAGGGCTGACACGCATAATTGTACAACACTCCGTCACGCAAGAAACCCACCGCTCCGCATGAAATAGGCGTATCCCATAAACATCCAGAAAAAAACATGATTACTCGGTTAACAATGGACCCCAATTTACTATGAACCAACAAATTAACCCACGGCCGCTCACGCTAACTATGGAAAATTTGTTTATAGTGATACTCCCGTTGATCCTGTAACCCCTGAGAACGATGCCGCGCCGTGAAGGGTTCCCCCTACAAGAGCGAATCATGTGTCCCGTAACCATTCAAGCTCGTCATTTTTCATGGGGATTTTCCCCCACTTTCGAAAGAATCACAGAGTAATAGTGCAGCGCGTACACAGTGTTAAAGAAAGATCTTCAACTTAGGACGCACGGGGAGAGACATGTTGAGTCATTGAACTTTGTGCTACTAAATTATTCAGGATTAGTGACTAAAAAACGTTAATAAAACTTGAACAACCAAGATTTAGTCGACATTTTCAAATTCAAATGATTTCATATTTTATGGTAGAGACATGGGCAAATTGTTTAATTAATTTGGAAAAATCTGGTTTAAACTATTTTTCTGTACATAGAAAAGAAAGAAATATTAATGCAAAAAGAGACTCTGGTGTATATGTTGCTATATTAAACAGAAAATATTTAATTACGTAGAACTACATAAAACAGACGGGGATGATATATTTTTTATGGCTAAAATTTTCACGTAATCTTTTTGAATCTGATCATGACTTGTTTTATTTGCTTATGCTATGTTTTACCTCAGGGAAGTAGTAGAGAAACATTTTAATAGAAATCCCTGTTTTTGATAGAATTATGAGTGAATTGTCAAAGCTGTCAGCATGAGTTTTGGTGATAATTGCAATTTTCTCGTGCTTGGAGCATGAACAGTCGAGTTGGGTCTTTAAAAGATTTTGTAGAACATGACGATGTTGATCGGTATTTTCTGAATTATTGCTTGATGATTATATAACTTGAGTTTAAAATGGATAGGTTGACAACCGATACCGGCGTTAATAGAAATGGGCGTCTTTTAATTGATTTTTGTAAAGCTAGTGGCCTGAGCATAATGAACGGTAGAATATGTGGCGTAAAAGGCGTGTGTACATATAACGGACAATCAGCGAGGAGATTTATTAGATTATGTTATTGTAAATACAATCAGTTATGAAACATTTTCAGTAAGTTTTATGTTGGATTACCTAAAACCTACCCATTTTTCAGATATCATTGTACGTAAATTTCTCTTTTGAAGGATAAATAATGTATAAATAATTTTTGAGTGGCAGAGGAAGAAAGCACATATGCAGATAAAGTGTCATTTAAAATACAAATGGAATAAATCTAAGTTAAATATTTATAAAAGAAAGTCTTCAGTCTGAAACTTTTGTTGAATCTATTAACAGGCTTGTTACGGAGTTAGAAAATAATGATACTTCTTCTGGTTTAGATAGTAGTCTTAACTCTTTCTCTCAGGTCATGCATACTGTTTGTTCACCTTTTTATTTGGCAGAAACGTTTTGAAACGAAAAAAAAGCAAGACAAATAAAAATGCATGGTATGGCGTAGAATGTAAAACTGCAAAAATGATTTTTTATGTCTGTCAAAACAGATTTAAATATAAATGAATCTGATGAAAATTTAGTAATTTGTGTGAGGCTAGGCAAAAAATTATAAAAACTTATGAAGCAAAAATATTCATCTCGAAGAAACACTGATAAACTTTTTAAATGCAAGAGTTAAAATCAAGGTATATTGGCAATGCTGAAAGATACCGTTTGTAAAAAAATGACCCCTAAACAACCAAAAAATTAGATATTGTGCTGACTATTTTAAAGCTATAAATAATTGAAGATGTTTTTTATAAAAGCTGATGAAGATGTTTTACGGTTTTTCAATGAGCATTTGTTTCTTGAATGATAATATACAAGATATTTTTGATGAATGAACATAGATATAACTGTTGATGAAATATATAGAGCTATTAAACAATTGGAAAGGGCAAATAAAGCGGCTGGACCTGATTTTATGGTGCAACGAATTATTTTTATTCATGGAGTTTGATGAATCTGTTACCATATTTGGGCATAAATTTGTTCAATGCTTGTTTGAAAATTAGGACAGTTTTCCGAATGTATGGAGTGAAGGTTTATATAGTACCCAATACATAAAGGGGGTGGTGTTTGATCAAACCATCGAACTATAAGAGGTGTTACTTTTGTTAAGTTCTCTCCAAAATTATTTACTAGAAATATTGAATACTAGATAAGATAACTGGGCTGAATCCATGGTGTTTATGTAGAGGCCCAGGCAGGTTTTCGAAAAAAATAGGGTTCTGTGATAATGTTTTTTATTTAAAATGCTCTTATTTCAATTGTTTGAACAAAAATGAAAAAAGCTAATGTAGCGCTTTTGTTGATTTTAAAAAAAGGCTTTTGATTTCGTAGTTTAGAGATGTACTGTGGTAAAATTAATAAAATACGGGAGTGATGGTAAATATTCTCAAAAGTTATCCCAGCGCATTTATTTGAAAGCATTTCCCTCAAGAGTTAAAACATTTTGTAATATTAGTGAAGCCTTTTACTTGTAATTTAGGAGTTAGACAAGGTGCGAGCCCTGTTTCCCCATTTTTATTTAGCATGTATTTGAATGATCTTGAAGATGTGTTTTTTCGCTAAAGGAGTCGAGGGTATAGATATGGTATTATTTTAAGATAGTTTTTATTACTGTATGCGGACGATATAACTATTTTTCTCTAAAACGGCTGAAGGTTTACAAATGCCCTTGAACATCTTTATCTGAATATTGTGATAGTTATGGAAAGCTTACAGGTAAATTTGATAAGACAAAAGTAATGGTATTTAGAAAAATGGAGTTGTTTGCCCACGAAATTTTTAAATTTTTGTACAAAAGACCGTCTTATCGAAATTGTTTTCAAAATTTAAATACTTAGGAACATTGTTTTAGGCACAGGGGTTCATTTAGAGAAACACGATGTAAATGTTTATCAGGCCCAAGCTTTAAAAGCCCAATATACAAAATGAATAAAATATGTATTAACATTTACAGATCTTTCTGTAAAACACCATTTAGAACTTTTTGATAAGTTTGATTTTACCAATTTGTGTTATTCCTCAGAAGTTCTGGGAACTTTTTTACAAAGGTATACAGGTGAGAACGAACATTTTTGCATTTCTGTAAAACGTTAATTGGTGGTTAAGAATACCTACTCAAAATGATTTTGTATATAGTGAACAGGGCAGATTTAAAATCTAGAAGTTTTATGCAGATTATGTTCAATAATCAGATATTGGTTGAAATTGTGTAATGTCAGAAGACCAACAAGTATAACTAAACATGCATATTTAACTAATTAAAAGCAGATTGTTGAAAATAATAGTAGGAAAAATAAATTGGGTTTCGAACGTAAGATCATTATTGTCTAGAATTAGGTTTTAACAATGTATGGCAAAACCAAGGAGGTTCCGCATTGTTAAAATTTTTCTTAATGTATTTAACCAGAGAGTTAGAGACACGTGGAAACAGGAATTTAAATGCTCGAATCAGTAATTCTTCCAGAGCAACTATTTTACCATAACTTTTAATGATTTCAGTTTTAAGTATATTTTAGATATTGTGTTGATATTAAAAATTATAGAATAGCCTATGTCACGTTTAAGAATGTCTTCTCATCGTCTAGAAATAGAGCGTGGGTAGATGGAGAAAAACTCCACAGTGTACCCCTTTAAATGATAGAGTCTGTGTAGCATGTAATCAATTAGAGGACCCCCGAGTTCCATTTTGTCATTATATGTCCTATTTTTCAGGAACTCCGAACAAGATTTTTAAAAGAAATATACTGGAGGTTTCCTAGCATGTTTTAAATTTGTTCAGTTGGTTACAAGAGATAATGTACAGACTATTAAGGAAATTTAGCTATGTTTATATACCAATGCCTTCCATATTAGACAACAAGTTACAAAACAATTCTCGTGTAAAAGGTAAAAAAAATGATTAATTTAAAGTTCTATATATAATATATTTTTATGCAAATATCTTAGCCGCCATGCAAACGTACAGTAGAAATAAATTGACATTTGTATTGTACTTCTATATGTGGAATTTACGAATATTAGCTGTCATGTAATTGTATATAGATGTATTAATTGATACATTGCAATTCTTTGTGTATTATATGTATAATAGGTTAAGTAACACGATGATTATAAGGCTATAAATTTGTAAGTTTTCAAAATCATACACTGACTGGGTACTTACTTGTATCAAGTTTTGAAAGCATTATAATGTGTTCAAAGTATAGTTTAGAAGTAACATTTGTTTTGTTTTGTTTGTATAATTTCAATACTTTGTGCCATATTACTATTTGCAAATAAATTAAAACCATATAGCTTAGATTAGTAAAATGTAATACAAAAGACAAACAGTGTATGGAAGAGAATTAAAAGTATACTATGTAATAGATGGCTGACAATGTCTCTCCCGTGATTGCAAGCCTAAACATACACGAAGTTTTTTCTTATTATTATATATTTGAATGTAGAATTCTCAAAAAGTAAATAACTTGTAAATTAAATATATAATCAATGGTAACCATTATAATAATGAAAGAAAAGAAATACTTGCAGTCACGTCATCTTGCTATGTAATTAGTTATTTACTTATGCATACATGTTATTGTATATATTATGAATGCTTGTACATGACTCTTTTGAGAGTTAATTTGCAAAATAAAGATTCTTCTTCTTCTTCTTCTTCTTCTTCATATTCGTCCTGAGAAAATTGGATCTTTGACTATCTGTTGTATAAAAATAACAGGGAAACGTAACACATTACTATAATACAGTCAAATTTAGAACTTTTTAAGTTAACTTTTAGAAGTTTTAAGTTCATTCATGTCTTCCACAATAAATACTTGAATGGCCATGTCCCTTAAGAACATTGATTGGTTTCTAACCGCGTGGGAAGTTTGTATTGCTTGCAATACTATGATAATTGCTTGTTTATATAATGCTTATATGGACAAATAATCTTATAACATTTAACTATTGTAATTAAGTACAAACATTGATGACTTAACCATCTAACATCTGTTACCATGGATTGATTCTTCAGCAATTAACATATGGCTTTTTGTAAAGTTTGAGTTAATGTTTAAATGGTATATATTGTATTTAAATAGTCAGTGCGTTCATTTGCGCAATGGACACAAAGAACATTAAGATATTGTTATCAGTTTCTTTCTAAGGAATACATTCATAAATGATTGTAAAAGTACATTCTTATCTAGATGATCAAATTGGTGTTATTCTACATTTATTTAACATGCATTACGTTACCTTTTATAAGGTGTAATATACCAGTCATTATAATGGGAGAAACAGGCTGCGGCAAAACACGACTCGTAAAATTTTTGTGTGGGTTACAACAGCCAGCAGACAAGATAGTATCCAATATGGTACTGATGAAGGTAAAGAAGTATTGCTTAAACTTAATGATACATTTGCTATGTTAAACCATTCTTTATGTATTTTAATGTAAAAAGTTATTTTTGGGACAGCAGTAAAACTTTCAATATTCTAGCTATAAATTATTGCTGTTTAAGCAGCAGATGATTACAATATTTCTATTTTAACCTAAAAATTATGCTTTAATATTGTACTTTTTATATTATACATTTAGACATTAATTACTTGTCTTATTTCAGGTATGCATGATATGCACTTTTCCTTAATATATGGTATACCTAAAATGCACGAAATCTAATTGATTGTTTTTTACTGACTGATATTTTAACACAAATTAATTTTTTGTTATTACTTTAAAAAGTAAAAATCCATTTTTACTTCGATATTTTGAAAATGTCTTAATGTGGCAATAGTCAGAAGTTAACTTTGACTTTGCATAAGAATTCTTAGATTAAGCAACTAGAGTTGTACTTATCATGTCTGCATTCAGATTCACGGAGGAACAACAAACACAGATATAATAAGAAGTGTTCAGAAAGCGGAGACTTTGGCGACGGAAAATCAGAAAAAGTATGGCAAACACATGTACACTGTATTGTTCCTAGACGAGGCTAACTCAACTGAGGCTATTGGACTCATAAAAGAGCTCTTATGCGACAAATCAATTCATGGAGTTTCGATAAAGCACTTGAAAAACTTGAAAATTGTAGCGGCTTGTAACCCCTATAGAAAGTATGTGCAAATAACACTTTTTAACAAATTTAAATGACACATACCATAATACATATCTGTTCAGCCTTTCGTTTATTAATTTCTTTATAAATACAAAAAAGAGAAAATTTTATTAAATAAACGAGAATAAAAATATCAAATTTAAAAAGTTTTTAAATGACAATATTGTTACATTCAACGCATTGCAGACACTCGGAAAAGCTTATCAAAAAGTTAGAGCAGGCAGGACTTGGTTACCATGTGGATGCTGATGAAACAACAGACAGAATAGGCCGTGTACCAATGAGACGTCTTGTTTATAGAGTCCAGCCTCTACCACAAAGTTTACTGCCACTAGTGTGGGACTTTGGTCAGTTGAACACAGAAGTCGAAGACCTTTATATTAGACAAATGGTCAGGAGATATGTAAGTTATTTGATCCAATAACTTAAGAAAGTTTCTTTGCATATTCTGCTTCAGTAAGTTGCTTGTTTTTTATTGTAAAGTCAAACAACTGAAAATTTTAAATATGTATTTACTTGTCCTTTTTTAATTTAACGTAAATATAATTAGAAATCATTAAAAGCTTTATTAGGTAAAATTTGTTATGGTATCAAGAATGATGAGTTATTTAAAAATATTATGTTACTTCTCTTTAATTGTTATGTTTAAATTTCCATTTTATATATGATACATGTGCCTCTTTTATACCAGTAATCTCACCTGAGCTCTTGTCTTAACAACATCTGTTTTTTAGTATTCACAAATAAAATAAATACGAGTATGAAAGCTAGAATCTTTGTTATCATACGCGCAACGTAACAGATTTAACTGCAGAAATATATTTATTTGACAGGTAAATGCTGGTAGCCTACCAGATATAAGAGGATTTCAAGAAGTTATTAGTGACATACTAACAAAATCACAAGATTATATGAGAAACCAAAAGGTATCTTTTAGCACTATACATTTTACTATTCTTAGGTTCTAATAGACCGAGTGATATTTTGTCGATTTACGTAATCTTTTTGATACGTAAGCGATTTATTGTCATTGTTATTTTCTAATATATGATATTTTAAGGATGAATGTAGCTTTGTATCCCTGCGAGATGTCGAAAGAACGCTGATAGTTATGAGCTGGTTTTATCAACGAAGTCAAGGGCAAAGAACTCTTTTTAATCTAATCGACCAAAAGTTATCAGAGCAACATGACTCCACTAAAGATGAAGATGAAAATGAAGAAGATGGAGAAGAAGAAGATGTATTTCATATAGCGGTAAAAAAGTTATATATGCTCTTTTGTTACAAACACAATTAAATAAGATAGTTACATGCTTTAAACTTGATATTATAGACTACTTTTAAAGATTACTATTGTCGTAATGAATACAGCTTTGCTATAGAAATTGTGATAAATATTCTTTTTATGTAATGTGAGATAATTTTGAAAGGCAATGTTAAAAGTTTTAAGTGGTACAAATCTTTTTTTCGGCGTTCAGTGTTGGTGTCCCCCTCCATGTCCAGCCTTCATATACGCCGCCTTTCCTTGTTGATCTTGTTTATCATATTTCATTATGTTTTAGATAAAATTGTATATTCAGGATATTAAAGTCAATCAGCCTGAAAGAATTGATGATGTCACACGCTCTCTCATTTTGGCCTTAGGCGTGTGCTATCATGCCTGTTTAAAGACACGAGCACAGTATAGAAAATACATTGCACCTTCTTTCAAAAGACCGTGCTTACTGCATGAGGGACCGGAACAAATTTTCAAAGAAATAGATTGGTATACTATAATTTCATTGTTTATTACCTTAATGATTAAGGTTCAATTTTTCTAATTTAGTAATAAGCGCTTGTACTTCTAAACACAATCGGACTAATATAACCAATTGATTCAAATAGATAATGATGATAAAGAAATGAATCGATTCTTTAGATCAAATGTCGTTTTTTTTTGCAGCTGTCAAAATGTCTTTCTTGATCATGTTGACTTAGAAAAGAATATTGCTCGTAACATGGCTCTAAGAGAGAACGTGTTTATGATGGTCATCTGTATAGAACTACGCATCCCATTGTTCCTCATTGGAAAACCAGGTAGCTCAAAATCTCTAGCTAAAACTATCGTGTCCGATGCAATGAGGGGGAATGGTGCAAAAACACAACTTTTCAGGGAGATGAAGCAGGTACAATATAAATTGCAAGCTCAATTATTTATGCATAACTTAAACAGGTATGCAATAAAATACGCATTTTGGAACAAATAAGCGACCAGTAAGAGTATTCGTAGTCGATGGTTTATAATGAAAAGGGAGATAAGTTATCTAATAATTTACAAGGTAATAATTATCAACACAGACTTCTATCTGTTATCTATATGTGTAAAGAATTGTATTGAAATATTATTGACTCCAATAAAGTTAAACCATAACACTTTTTGATTTTGTATTGAAAGTGGTTTGCGGATGTTTTTAATTTAAAATTAATTCACCATTTTCGTGTTTGTATTCTGGTTAAGACGGTGTCAGGGGTCGTGGACGGTGAATTGAAATTTCTAGTACCGTCCTCCATGAACAGGCTACTGTATATGAACATTTTCATTTTTGTCGTGTTGGGCTTTCTTTAGGAATTCTGTTTTTCTCTATTTTTATAAAAAATAAAAAAATGTTATTGTTTCAGGCTCAGATGGCTTCATTTCAATGCAGTCCTTTATCTACACCAGATGGCATAGTAGGAACTTTCAGACAATGTGCTCAATTTCAAAAGGATAATGATTTGAACCGATTTGTGTCGGTCGTCGTCCTCGACGAGGTTGGGCTTGCTGAAGATAGTCCAAGAATGCCATTAAAGGTATTTTTTCCATATGTTAACTAATTTGTCACCCCATTTGTATAAATGCTTACAAAATATAATAGCATTTATATTAAAACTTTTTATAATTATTGTTTGATTGTTTGTTTTCTACGCCAAATGTGTAAAACACGTATGATATCGGCGGTCGAATGACCTAATTACCATTACGTACAAATTTCTCTACGCAAATGATTGACTTTTTACACGCATGCTTTCTGAAACAGCGACAAGAGACATATCTACACTTTTCAAATTTCAAAATCAATCGTCACTAAAAAATTATGCCTTCCTCGAAGATGGAAAAAGCTAGGTAGGAGTACAAATCTAATGCTTACCCTGTTTAACTTTTCGGGCGATTATGATAATAATATATATTTCAATTTAAGACGCTGCATCCACTTTTAGAGGACGGTTGTCAAGGGGAGGAAGATCCTGAAGATTATATGAAGGTACACAAGCTAAATGACATGTGTGTTAAACGTTTTAAAAAATAATATGATTTAACGAGAATATTTGTTTGTTTTGCATGTAAGATTTAATTAAATTTCACAAAGTGAACACCAGATGTAAAATTTCACGAGAGGCGTATCCACAGTTAAAAGTCTGAGAGCTGGTGTTCACTAGTGAAATATAATTTGATCTTACATACAATACAAATTCTTTTAGGGGTTTAAAGATTTTGAAAGCATCAAAATATAAATTCAGCGTAAAAAAGCGTTTAGAAGGATATACGAAATAAACTCGTACTAGCAGTACAGGAATGTCATTGACATGGTTGTATCTGTATTGAAATTGCCGATAAATTGATGTTCGTTATGTAATGAATGAATAAAGGCAATTAAAAGGTGTCTACAGATATCACATGTTATGAGTTTGGTAATCTTATTATAGGTTGCTTTCATTGGAATATCAAACTGGGCTTTAGACCCAGCAAAGATGAACAGAGGTATAATTGTACAAAGAGATGTCCCTGATTTAGAAGAACTTATTAACAGTGCTCGGTAATGTATATATGTTTCCATAGTAACAACGATTCAAGCTAGTTTATGATTACAAGGTTTAAAGATTACATTGCTATTCACAATTATCAGGCAAACAAGCAATTTTCGAAATCATTTAAAATCTAAAATTACATTTAATCAAATCTGTCAAATGTTGTAGTTCGGATCGGAATTTTAGCACAAAGGGTACCTGCCAATTGACGGTAACGAGGCTTGGGAGTGTACCCGATGGACGGATATTCCGATTTGTGCCGCAACCATACGTTAAATATTTTCTCTTTTCAAGTAACGTGTGAACTTCTAAATGACGTTATCTATAGAACAAAGTTTTATACTAAAATTGAACAAATGGCGTCATTATAGACGACAAAATTCATTTTTAGCATGGGTAAAAGTATCGGAAACGCCAGTCAAATATGCAAGAAAAGAAATTATTTCTAAAAAGTAAAAATGCAAACAGTAAAGATAGCTCATCACATCAAATTAGAAAAGGTTGCAGAGTTAATTTGATCCCCCCTGTTCACGAACTGCAGTTACTGTGCAAGCTACCGTTAAAATTGCATTGGCTTGAGAGCAATTCAAGTTTTTGAAAATGAGATCGAATATTTAGATAAATAAAACGTTATATCATAGATAATTGTATTAAAAATGTAAGTTCTATCTAGAATAAATTGTGTTGTTTCAATCATTTCTAAAATTTACATTTGACTCATTTGGTACGTCTTTTGTCTTTGAAGTGGTATTTGCAAAACTGATAGTGAAGGTCCAAATTACATAATGGAACCACTGATAAGACCATTGGCAGAATCGTATCTTGAGCTGTTCAGCATTGCATCAAAAAGAATGAGAGAATTCTTTGGCCTCAGAGATTTTTACAGGTAATTGTGAGAACAGATGATAACATTTGCGTCCAAAATTTATTTTATTTTCTAAGAGTATTCGAAGATACTGTTGATTTATCCTTTAAACTAATTAAGTTTAAATTCCAGTGTTACAATGGATTTCTCTCAGAACATTGTAAGGTCAGTATTTTGAGTTAACATTATATTATATTTTTTCATCTTCAATGTAAGCCATGTAAAGACTGTATTGTAGTGTTTTTCATTTCCGCATAAAGGAACCATTTAATTAGGAATCAAAGTCGTTGTGAGTTGTGAAGTTAGTCAGTTTCATTTGCTGAAAAATAATTGACGCATCTCAGTTGTAATACAGATAAAGAATGGCAAAACCCCGATTTTCGAATATGCATTATTTTTTCTCTGATAAAAACTGTTTTGTTAGACAAGTGTACATTCATTTTAATAATTAAAATTCAAATGTACGGTAATTGATGAACAGGCTAAATATCACTGAGTTTTCACTTTTTTGTTTTCATTGCTTATAAGATTTCTCTTTGCAAGAAACTCCGTGTAAACTGTATTGATACATAAATAAAACAACATTTTTTTTAAATAACACCTTAGCTTTATTTCATCTAGCCTCATCAAAATGGTGTTCAACAGCGTTGAGGAAACCAGAAAAATACCGACTTGGTTTCAAATGTTACATGCTATCATGCGAAACTTTGGTGGGTTGGACCAAGTTGACCCAGTCGAACATTTCAAACAACGGTTGTCGGAAATAATTCCCGTTGATGATCAGGTAAGCTTGTGAACTTTATCAAAACAGAACAAATGAAGTTGAAAGCTCGATTATTAAAGTTCTTGCGACTTACATAATTCTCTTCTAAGACGCGTTAAATGCTGTCATTATGGACGGCACAATCTTACTAGAACAGATGTCATGCAGAGAAACATGGTCATGACCTAATAAGGGTTTGATACCACGTTCCCTGTGTTTTGGACCAACCCAATTACTACTAGGCCACCGCTCCCATTTATAATAAGTGGAAGGGTGTTATTTTTTGTAAACACAGTAAAAAATGCATTGTCATTATACTTTGAAGTAATTCTGAAAATATTACATCTTCATTATCATGAACTTTAAAAGCCTACGTTTTCCTGATACAAGTGATTGTGTACAAACAAAAAGGATTAAGCAAAACGTTTACAACATATATATTAGAGACTCTTTTTCAAAAATATTTATTTATATGACATCGTACTTCAGCCGCGTGATGGTGACCCTGATTGCAGTACCTTTGGATTGATCAGAGATTGTCTTTTTGATATCAATTGCAGTCAGAGGTAGATAACTATTCTTTCCATTATTGTTTATTCTGTAAAAGCCTGTGAATAGATGTTTTCTGTATCATATTCCTATCATGTACAATTTTGTTACACATTATAGTATACGTATTCCAAAGAAACTAGTACGAACAGCATTTTTATAATAACACTTAATTCGGAAGAGCATAGTGTAATTTCTAATTTTAGATATGTATAGTAATACTTGTAACGCTTGACAACATGAATCGTATTCTTCCTCTATCACGTGCCTTTACAATGCCGATTTCATTTATATAAAATGAATGCTTGTTTTTCACTGCAATATATCGTAACTTATTTATTTCGGGTATCTGTAAATTGATTAATAACAGTATGTAATTTCTTTCAAAACATTAGTACAGATGTTGTTTTCTATTCTTAACTTACTGGATTATTTTTGTATAAAATAATTTGATTTTAACTGTGCATTACCTTTCAAACTAAAGTGAAAGCCGGTATCTACTTCTATTGACTGAGAATTTCGGAGCATTGTCATTAGTGCAACAACTTCTTCAAGAACGGAGCGAAGATACAAGACTAATAACAATCTTTGGGAGCAGTTTCCGAAGTGACCAGGAGTACACACAGGTCAGTTCAAATAAGAAAAACGTTCCAGTGTCACTGAATATCAAAAGTGTGCCAGCATGAAACTAAATATTGTTTTGTTCACTGCAATGATGAGCAATATAGATGATAATAGAGTTTATGCTCAATAAAAAGTGTTCGGACCTTTCTGAAATATTATTGAATACTTTGATGGTCAGATAACTTTCCATTTAAAACAATGTTTATCCAGTAAGAAGAAATAAGATTGAAAGCATCATAAGAAACATGCATTGTGCTTCTGTTTTTTGCATGTATGTCAATGAAATCCAAATGTACACTAAACCTATAAAACATGATCATTAAAACAGATATGTAATCAATTTTATTAAGACTAAGAGGTCATGATTTGATTTTTTGTTAAAAGAAAAAAACAACACTTCAATATCGCTTTTTATAATAGTCTGGTCGTTTCATTTTCGTTTTAAAACAAACAGTCACACACATTTTCAGTTTGTAAGAACATATTCAATATTATTCATGGATAGCGATGGCTACTGAAAGGTACTATTCATTTTTTAAAAACAAAAAATAATTAATGTTTACATCATCCATTAGGTGTGTAGAAATATCAACAAAGTCAAAGTATGCATGGAAACAGGAAACACCGTTGTTTTGTTAAATCTTGAGAACCTGTACGAGAGTCTGTATGATGCTCTTAATCAGTACTATGTATCCTTCGGAGATGTTAGATACGTTGATCTTGGACTAGGGACACACAGAGTAAAATGCCCAGTTCATCCGGATTTCAGGTATGTTACTAATATTCTGAAGGTTTTCAATTCAATTGTTTTAAAATACAGTACTTGTATTACGAAATACGCAGAGTAGTTAAGAAAAACGTATGATGTGCTGAAACATTCATTAATTTAGCATATATATTGAAAAGCATTAGCCATTTACAGTGTACGATAAAATAGACAAGTACAGTTAGTACGTTAATAGTTTCTTTTTTTTCGCAAAAATGGCGATAGCTATTACACAAAATAAAGTGGATTTAAGTTGTTGAGATCGTTTCATCAACTATAACAAAATTATCTTTGTCAGGCTTATTGTTGTCGCTGAGAAACAAACAGTTTACGAGAAATTTCCAATACCGCTGATCAACAGACTAGAGAAACACTTCCTTACAATAAGTACCATGCTTTCTGTTGAAAACAGAAAACTTGTTGATAGACTAAAACAGTGGATGGAGGATTTTGCCATTCAGCGCCAGCAAAGTCATAACGACAAGTAATTCAAACAGTTTTTAAATTTCAAATGAAAGCCTTAATAACTAAAAAAATATGAGCTTACGCATTTATTGTATTAATTGCCCTTTTGCAAATATTACGCGAAGTACACGCTGAAATTGAATGATTAAATAAGTTTAGAAATGAATAAAGATTTACTTACATATTTTGTATGTCTGAGAAACAGTAAAATGAAAAGTTTTTTTTGCTTCGATGTCATTTTAAATATTACATGTTTGAAACTTTACCAAATTAAGATCAAGGACGGTACATGTACAAATTGGAGATGTTTTCATTGGATATCACGAAGATACATGTTCAGCTGTAATTGTGCATTTAAGACAAAAATTGGCAGGCGTGGATGAAGAATCAATTCTAAAAGTATGTTTGATTTTGGGCTTTCTTTAGGGATTCTTATTTTCTCTATTTTATCGCCACATCAACGTTGTTTGTGCCGTGTGGAGGTGTAAAAAGTCGCCCCGTACATTTAATCAGAGATGATATATATTTCCGATCCTTAAAGATCGTTCAGCACGACATTATTGTTGTGTTTGTGGTATTTTTAATTTTAACTATTTGACGTTTTCTAGTTGGGTGGTTCCAATATTCCTACTTGAATAATGTTGAATCACCCTTAGGATATGTTGCCTGCTTTTTAACTTTGTCTTTTGACGTCGTATTTGTGATATACAGGCTTCATATCCTCTGATCCCCTTTCAAAATTCCATTTTGTTTAGTTCCGCCCATTGTTTTCCCGTTTAGGGCACAATCTTTTTATTACATGGGGACCATACGCCGCTTTTCATGGAATGGCACTACTGTGTCACATTGAAGGTTCCATAATAACCGCCGTATGAACACATCTGCGGATGTTTCTAAATTCAAAATTTTACCATTTCATGTTTAAATGTTAAATTCTGCTTAAGCCGGTGCTAGGGGGCGTGGACGGTAGTTTGAACTTGACATTACTGTCCATGAACAGGCTCAATCAAACCGAGCCTGCAACGTTTTCAATTTTGACGTGTTTGGCTTTCTTTAGGGATTCTTATTTTCTCTATTTTATATATTTAGATTTTAATACACCCGAAGGTAACTTCAGTCGTGTTATTCTATGGCGGTAGCCCGTCCGTCCGTAGTCAGGTAGCCAAAATGATGTTCGGCTAGAATTTGAAAACTATTAAATAAGCTGCATCTTTACATGGTAGAAAGGTTTTTTATGGAGATCATAACTTGATAAGGGCCATTAAACGTGGCCAGAAGATTATCCGCATTGATTTTAGGTCATTAGGTCAACCTGTACACTCATTGTCCTCTCATCAATTTGAGAAAGAGGAATAAATGTAGACTTGTAAACTTGGTGTTGACATTGCCTTTGGCCTGTATTTGACACTTATGAGGGCATAATTTATGTGACACTTAGTGTAAAATATTCTTGTCCGACCAAGAACTTGTTCTATTTGTTTTATATTTCTTAATAATCAAGTCTTCTCACATTTGAAATAGTGTATTTTACGACAGCACATACAGAAACTACACGGGCTTTGGTTTTTCTTTGATAAAATAAAGAATAGGCAATGCTATTAATGGAAACAATAAGTCATATAATACAGTAAAGTTTTGAAACAGAAATGCAAAAGCACCGCCTTTTCCTTTAGTATTGTTAAATGTTGACATAGATAAAAGCAGCCTGGACAAATTGTGAACCCTCAGGATCATTTATCACAACAAACATGAAATTTGTAGACCCGGTCTGGTTGAGTCTGTACATAAGGGATAATATAAACTGTTACATTCTTAAATGCATCTAGTACCGGCTGGAGAGGTACTCAATTTTCAGCACATGAAAGTGTTGAATCAATGATCCTGAAGGACCAGAAAAATATAATAATACTGAAGAACCCATAAAATCATGTTGCTTAAGTTTTTTTTTGCTTGTGCAACTGATTTTATTAACATTTAGTCTTACCTAAACCACCGAACATATTATAATGCCAATTTGTTTTTCAGATATTTGAAGAGGCAAAATTGATGTTGCTGTGGTGTACAACACCCGATGCTGTAGCTCGTTTGGCGCATTCTGTTCTACCAGAGGAAGAAAAAGTAAAGCTGATTCACAATTATTATGAAAATCAAGCACATGACAGCATTTTGGAATATCTGGAATATATGCTCCCATCAAATAGAACAGTATCTCTCTTGTCACAGGTAATCAAAGGAATAAAAGCTGCATCACATTTTTATCAGATTAAGTCCGTGAATAACTCGGTAAAATTGTTATAACATATTTCATAGCAATATTCTTGAAAAAATATTAATATAAATATAATTAATACACTGATTTTTTTTAAAAAAAATTGCCTTGATTTGTACTTCACAGTAGCTGCAAAACGCAATTGGCTATCATGAGGGGACACATGTGATCACTGATCGCTCTTGATAAAAATAATCCTTCAAAAGTTGCAGTAGCACATTCAGTTTTATAATTGAACGACCATTTGCTGTTGTTATTCCTATAACAGAAAATAAAGTGATTAATTTTACATCACTTCCGAACTTTGTGTATGTTTTCAGGTTACAACATACTCTAAATTGCTTTCAACATCGCATATTGATTGTCTGAGCAAAGCGTCGGGATTTACCCGTAAAAGAATACTCTTTCTTGAAACGCTGTCTTCATTTGACACTGAGCAGCAATTTACCAACAAAATTAGGTAAGTATTTTTAGCTGCGTTAACGTTATTTCACAGTGTGTTCAAATACCTTAACAGTGATCAAACATGAAATTATAATAGCTAATAAGAAATAATACCAGGACCAATGGCATTAACTTTATTATGTTTGTTTTTATTGCTTTTTCCTTACTGTGCAACAAAACTGTATCAATGTGTACACTAATGTTTTGCAAATAATTCTGGTATATAAAGAATACATTTTATATGATTTTCTTTTTTAGATTATTTATTCAGAGCACAGAAGAATGTTCTAAATTGATTGTGATACAATGCGACTCCGGAGATATTAATGCCAATTTGATAGCTTGTGCAAGATATTGTGTCATGGGTGAATATGAGAAAGCCAGAAAAGATCTCATAAAACCAGTTCATTTTATATTTATTGTTCAATTGCCTAAAATTGCAGGTGGATGTTTCACGGCATTTCAGGTAATAGATAAATATTTACTGCCTAATAAAATTGATCATTTTTGCTTTAACTTATTTTTTTGTTTCTTACATAAACAAGAATTCTGGAAACAAAGTGATCCCTCGGAAGCATTAATCACAACAAAATAACATAAGAATTGCAGACTCGGTTTGATTGAGTCTGTACATGAGGGATAATGAATAAGTGCACATCCCTCACGCCCCCTAGCACCGGCTTGAGCGGTACTCAATTCTCAACACTATATAGAACTTTCAATAGAGGTGACACCCATCCGCCACCTTATCCTTTTGAAAAAATAAGTGATCTGAGGCAAAATTTGAACTTAACCTATATTTAATGATGTTTGATCTGTGTACCCATAATTATGACAATGAATTGCCTTGCTTAAAGTATAAATAATATATAAACTTATATATTTCGATACATAAAAATGGATTCATAACTATGTATAAAATTAGTGATTTAAAGACAAATTCCATCTGCATTCAATAATGTTTCATCGGTATTTACCAAACATAACTACTATTCATTGTCTTGTTAAAAGAAATCATCTGGAAACCATATTATATTTTCTGTAGAAGAAAATAAAGAGAAAAAAGCTCAAAACTGTGTAAAGTAACTAGTGGTCGGACGAAAACTTTGAACTTGACCAAAAGCAATACCAAGAGAGGTTTCCACATAAGCTTACTATATACTAAATTTGTTTACAATATCTAATATGCTAGTATATTCTAGTTATCGTTTAAATTAATAGTAACAGTGACCTTAATCATAGGGAGGCCAAAGCTGTCCAAACTGGAGTCTTTATACCAAGCTTTACACCAAGTTTGATTACAATGTCTTATTGCTAATTCAAGTTATCATCTGGAAGCTATTTCTCTATTTTAGTTAAAGAGACTTTGACCCAGGGGGTCCAAAAACAATCTTAACCGGGGAATAATAAAAGTGGTTAACAAAGGGCTTAAACAACTATTTGTCTTGAAAAATAAGAATGAAATGAAAAACAAATTATATTTATATATATTGTTATGAAATGTTTTTCTATTGTTGCATAACATTTGCTACGTTTTCGTCTCCGTATAAAACATCCTGATACTATTATAGCTACATTTACGGAATGGCGACCCTATCTTGCGTATCCATAATTACATTTTCCGACTTATTTTCTTCTTTGTTGCTTATCTGATATTTTTCTTAAAACACTCTTACATAAATGTTCGAATATATGACATTTCCAATTTCAAGTGTGGGAATTGGCATTCTGCGCATATAGATGACCTTATTCCTGAGGATATGAACTTGCCAGCTTTTCGAGACATGTATGGACGATCTGTTGGTACGCTGTTCGGCAGTGCAATGGCTATAGAAGATCACACAACTAAAGGTTTGATCAAAAGGTATAAACTTTTATGCTTTTTTAAAATTGATTATAACATTTCAGTTGTTTTTCATCTCTGACGTCGCAAAGACGTTATGTAATTAAATGTCTAAGTGTGTACATGACTATCATACATAAAACTTGTTTCGTTTTTCATTCTTATATTTACGTATGTAAAAACAAACAACATATATCGTTAGTCTTGGTATGGATTTTACGTTTGTTGCTTTACTAATATTATGTTTATCCCGTTCGTTTTCTGTATAGTATACATGTATTGTACCAACTGGTGTAAGTTGAGTATATGCATTCGTTTGTGGTTTGTTAAAATGTTCATATATTCCTAATATAATCGACTGAACAATACAAAATGAAATCTAATTTTATGACAAAAGGTATTCATCAGAGCGTAATTTTAGTATATGCCTACATCAAGCTATTTTACTGTAAGTATTTTTTTTATTTCAGTGCTCCAGCCGGCAAAACGATGAACCAAAACGATTATGCTGGTTCTCATACAAATGATGATATTGATAACCCTGAAGAAAACCCGAACACATTTTTGCAAATAGATGAAAGTTTTTGCGCTGAGAATGATGTTGACCTACCAACAGTACAGGTTGAAAAATGTGAGGAATCAAAAAGAAGCAAACTTGATGTGAAAACATTAGTGCTTCACTGTGTTCCTGCAGCTCTTGCAATTGTTAAAGACAAGGAAGAACAAAAAAGCAGAGAAACAGACAGAGTAGACATAGTTCTTCGTTTAATCCATCAAGATCAAGGTAAAAATTGTACTAGGATTTTCCAAGGTATAAATCACCTGGAAAAGAAATGTTCTATCTAATCAATGTTGACATATAATGTACATTCTTTAACTTAAATCTTTGAATATGATATTTCATTGCCAATATATTTTGAAATTTTGTAAAAGATCAAACAAACACAATTTGAAGATGCATAGTAATATTTTGTAGTTGATGATTTTTTTTTTGGAAAATGTTTGGCGTCATATACAAATAATATCAAGTAAGTTCATATAAAGTTAAAGTGGTCTGGTCTAATGAACATATGGCACTATAAACGTTTTGTACTTCAAGGGGATGAACTCTTCATTAAGGGATTATGCTATCATATTGCGAAGTTGCTGCATCAGAAAGAAACTGAATCTGGTTTATCATACAAGGTCAGAGAATGGTTGGTTGGAGAGGTTGCGAACTTCGAAAACATAACCAAAGCTGGCACTTTCAGGTTATTTACATTATGCTATTTTTAAATTGCTAGTAATTTCTTTTTGGTTACGTTTCTATTGGTGCCCATTGAAAGAAATACTTCTCCGTTCCAATAGTACCTTGTTCATTTCCGATGTTTGTGTCGTTCATGTTCTTTTTGATGTTCTATGTGACAGGATTATGTGGTGTCTGCATTGAGTGAAACTTGCCCTACTTTTTTCCCTCTACCCTTTATATTTTTTAAAATTTAAGATGTTTCTTGTATTACATGTATCTATGATATGTATCATCTCTGATAGAAATTATTCTATCAGTATATTGCAACTGCCTTTTCATGCATATAAATGTTTCTATTTCTTTATTTTTTTGCAATGAATTATGTTGAAATCAAAACAAATATTTAACTATAAAGTATAAGGTATGAAAATGAAACTAAAATAGTCTTTAAAGATTATACACGCTAAAGTTTTTAAAAAATATGTTTACATTTTGATATTGATAGGAATTCGTGTATAAAAGTACTGGAGAGCAAGATATGCCCAATTTTGGCTGGTATCATTGCGGTTTGTGATACAAATGAAAACCTCAGTATACTAGCGGACGACAAATTTCCATGGAAACAAGGATTATGGATTGATATTTTCAATTCACTTAACACACTCAAGGTAATTTGTGAAGATAAACAAGGTGTGTATACAAAAGTCGTAGAACTATTTATTTGTTAGTCATAATGAAAACATTATCAACGTGATTTATTTATTTAGACTTTAATGCATAGTATGATGAAAATCGATACTTTATAAACACTGATGTAATAACTTTCTTCAGAAGGAATACTGTCAGAACGATCATTCATTTCATTTCAAAATAAAAAAAAAAGGAACATCGTTTTTAAATGATTTTAAATGATCAAAGCTATTGCAAAGACAATTATGTCTATAATTTTCATTTTTTTTTCAAGTATTTAAAAAGAAGGAAATTCAAGATAGTGTACCAAAGACTATAGGAGAAATATCTGTATTTAAACGCTAATTCATAGACATTCATCTCTGGAAACTGCCGTTCAGTATTCGATATTTTTTAATTATTGTCAAATAATTCAATTTATTTATCTGTTACACTTTCAAGCTTAGTTTGATTAAACGTATTGAGTCTTCTGTAAAGATTTATATTTGTTTTGAAGTTCAAGGATTTGCCTTTCCGAGAAAAGTCTAATGTGCAGTCAGATATACCTGTATTGTCAACTAGCAGCGACGGACATACATTCTGTGTCAGAATGCCATTTTCGTGGATATTCATACAAAAGATGAATGAGGTTCTCAATATTGATCTGCCAACACCAGAGGAACATGATTTGGATGATGAAAGTAATTTTTAAGTTATGGTTTAACTATATTTAAATGACTTGTTATAAATAATCAAAATTGTAGAACATCCATATACTTTTTGTTTTGCCAGTTTTTTTTATATTGATATGACTTATGAAATACAAACATAAATGGATTAAAGACAAAATGGAGCTAAACATGTAGTCAATATTTAAATGTTTTTAAGGTATGCTCCTTAGTTTTGCTAACCAAAGGGTCAAGTCATTGAGGCGTATTTTGGATGATCATGCATTGTTCAAGGCACTCGGTAAACTTCAAGATGATGTGACACAGAAAGCCACTGAAGACTATCTCTGGGATGTTATAAATACCTTGTATCCATCAAAAGATGACACAGACGAGTTTCATGTTCGTTTTTGTTTCTTGATACACATTCAATCGTCTAATGTTGTCTCTATTTATAAATCATTATGGTCAAAGTTAATAAAGATTTAAAATGACAGCTTCTTTTTCCGCAGTAAATTGACTGATTTCAATGTTTAGGCAATACTTTTCATATATTGGAATATCATATCATTTATCAACAAGTTTTGATAGCTGAAAACTGTTTGTTTGAATCATAATTGTTTTAATACTGTTTCTTCACAGCTTGTGTTCGAAGCAACATTTACAACAATAAAAAGAATTCAAGCAAAGATCAATGGGCTAAGCTTTCTAGACATAGTTATCTACATTCATCTGGTAGTAGATTCCTTCTTACCACGACTAAGAATCTTTCATTCGCTGGTAGCCCTTTGGCCTGAATGCATTGAAAAAATATTTAATCAGTGTTCTGAACCCGATTGTGATATGTTGACAGGATATGTCCTTGTAAGTGATAAATTGCTTAATTGTTGATACAATCTATGAGGGTAATTCAGTTGATATTAATTACAATATAAAACAGATGCAAATGCATTTCTAGATGAAGATCTTGTATTTTCTGGTATATTATGAAACGTTATTACTCTTAGAAAAATACTGTCATTTTAATCATTTGGTACAAGGTATTTCAAAAAGCTACCTTTACTTAAAAAGGTTTTGTCTCATTTGAACATAAGTATTCAGTTTGATATATTCTTATACATACATATACACTTTATTTGTCCAGACAATCAGGGCTGCTAGCTTACTAATCGAAACATTTTCGCCAAAGAAAGGAGAACTCGATGAAAAAGATGATAGAGCACAATGGATCGGTAGATATCATCGTTTCAGATCAATAGTTGAAAAAATAATGGCTATGTACCATCAAGACGTTTCAGTCTTTGGAGAAGACACTGGAATAATTGTGAAAAGAATGAAGTAAGAATGTGTAGATATAATTTGTATGTTTGTTTAGATTGAAGTTTTGAAGTTTGTATCTATTTATGACAAAGCATTTACTCGGAGAAAAATTGCTTCCCCTGTGAACTTAATCAGCGACCCAAGGATTACAATTTGATACTCTCCATTTTGAGCAAAGCAACATTTCAATATGATGGATTGCTGTATCAATATTATTGAAAATTGGAAACTGTTTATTTTTTCCTATCAGTATATAAACAAACTTTACTTACCTTATAAGGTAATTACAATGCCTAATATTCGTGCTTCTCTTTTTAAGATCTTTATGGTCCCGTGTAATGGTTATGAGATTGTTTATTGAGCATGTGTGTGTTGAGGAGACTGATACCAGGATCACAATCAAGTTTTGTTCACCTCTTTGGGCGGTGAGTCTCAAACGCCTCAAGTGTTTCCTTTTGTATTTAGAATAAGGGTTATCAAATCATAGAACATTTAATTGTGTTAATTAGGCCCATATGTCATGTTTAAAACTGCATTGTTATTCCATTGCCGTCGTAGTAGTTTTTTGTTGTTTCTTTAAATATAAATTTGTTTCAAATAAATTATATTCAAGTATAATTTTGGGATGAGAGTGATTGTCCATATAGTAGATTTGAAATAATATCTGCCTTTAATGCTTAAATGTTTTACTAAACCTATTGAAATGCCTTTTATTTATTCATTCATTCATTCATTCATTTATTTAAAGGTATTGGATGAGTCCACTGATATGAAGAATATCAATTCAATAAACGCTGTTGAGAAATTCCTTATAACCTGTAATAAAACGGCAACGAAAGTTTTCATAGGGTAAGAAAAGAATTATTTGCAGTTAATATATCAATTTATAGTCAGTTAAAAATATAGTCTAAAATTCCAAACAAATAAATGATGATGAATATATAAAAGTTGTTAATCGTTAGATTCCAAATCAATCTTTCGTTTAGTTTTACCTATACTGGAATATCTTTATCGCGCTGGTCGGTCTTAAGTAAGAATAGAATTCCATAACTATCATACCTTTAATTAGTGCTTTAAACATTTAGATATTGCAGTTAAATATTTTCTTTACTTTTTCTGTATATATCTTTTCAGATCTTTGTTGAAATGCAGTGACTGTGAGAAGGTTTTGGAAGGTTATCCAGTAACTCTGCCATGCAGTGACATTTTATGTAACCGCTGTTACCATGACTTGATAGCATCTGGGCAAAATTCTTGTGCAAAATGCCGAACTGAATTTGGAGAAAAATGGTGCCCGAAACAGGAATATACTGAAAAGTAGGCACTGTTCTTTTTGTGCCAATTATGTGGCGATATTTTCCATATTTTGTTTCTTTTACAATAATTTATAAAATAGTGTTTCTTGTGTGTTTTCGATAACTGTTTCTCGCAATTTTAGCTGATTTTATGTAAATAAAGAATTTCATGTGTTGATAACTTCTTTGCTGATTTTTATATGTTATATTTAACAATTTCCTGCAGTCTTTTTAAAATTTGAACAACGAAAAATTTTTGCTTTTCTTTTGATGAATGTTATTGTGATTATCCAGGCCACATATGTTAGAAGCAAAAACAAATTAACAATGGTATTTCGATCTGTAAATGACTACAATCTGTAGAATTTTTGAATATATGAATAACTGGACTTATATGCTTATACTTGATAATATATGTATTTTAGCATTAATAGTGATGGGGAGAAGATGTTGAGAGACTATCAGAAGAGATGCAATGCATTTTTCATGGATGCTATATCACAACTGAGCTTTGCAGATAATACTGCTCCATCTAAAGAGGTTGTTGCCAAATTATTGTCGTATGCCTTCTATAGGACACCTGCACAACGTTCACATACGAAAACGTTGTCCATATTTGATACCGGCATTGATCCAAATCCAGTATTTAGATCGTTTCTTCTTCAACTCTTGCTGAAAACCAGGTAATAGTATAACATAAAGAAGTGATAGGAACAATTGTTTCGTTTCTACAATTACTTTTTGTTTAAAGGTGCCAAGGAATTAATTCCTGTACCATAAACAAATTATTGAGGCAGTAAAATTGAAAACGTATAGGTTGAGTCACTTGACACAATTGAAAACTCTTTAAAGCTCATGTGTTTAGTGAAAATGAATTGTTTACTGGCGGTTAGTAGGTGGTGCTACCTTTCTTCAAACAAAATATTCATCAGCGAAAAGGGTTTACCATAAGGCATGTCCGTGTAATTACGTATGTTTAGAGAACGTATTCTCTGCAACTGTGCTTAAAAAGGCTTATAGTTGCATAGATAGCTATGAAAAGTTTATTATGTTGCATTTCTTTTCAGTGAAAGGGATGTTATTAAAAATTTAGAAAAATATCTTGGAGAGGCTAAAGATGTTCTGTCTGATGATGTACCTGAAAAATCGGAAATGCCTCTAAACCTGAGCCTGTTGATCGTCAGCTGTGTTGAGGTACAAAACAATACCATTGGCATTTTTTATGACTTAAATGTATCAATATCAAAATTAACTAAATTCCCCATTCTTTAAACAATCTAAAATTTCAATGGTTAACTTTTTAAGTCTTTCTCTCACTGCAAAAAAATAAAATCATTTATAAATGAAAAATATATCTCATTGTTGTCAATTATGCCATATTCATTTAAAACATAAGCATACATTATGTAGTAAATATACTATTTCTTTCGCTAATTTGGAGATAAAATGTGAATCGCAATGATAATTTATAGAATACTTAAAACTATTCTCTTTCGTCATTGGTGCATAATTTTCTTTTGTCTTACCTTGTAAGACGTTTTTATGTAGCTCAGTGTATGATTTGCATGTTTTAGTTTCCAATTAAATCTCGCACTAAAAATTGGAAATCCCTATCAATAAATCATATACATTAAAATACAAAGAGAGCTACTTACAGTACTTAGAGATTTTTATGGAAGCATGATTTGTTTTTCCCATTATGCATCTAAATCTATTTTCATTAATATTACATATATATTATTTTGCTACCAAAATTATTAAAGGCCTACATCTTTGGTCGTGCTAAAGAGCACCAGATACGGTGAAATTTCAATTTTTACTGACTCGAATGTCCTGTATTTTTCTAGTTTTTCGTAGATATTGTTAAAATGACCCCCATTCCCGTTCTAGGATAAATTAATGCAAAGTTACAAGGAAAAAAGTTCAAACAGCAGTGTTTTAGCTACAAAAGCACTTGATACAGCATTAAAGACAATAGAAAGTGATGGTATAACGGTTGAAAAGCTTTATGGATTGGCATGTGCAAGATTTGGGCTGCGAATTGTTGCAGAAAGTATTGTCAAATATGTTCAACACAATCAAGAGAATGGAAATATGGCTATACTGCAAGCACAAAAAGCCAAACAACTATGCCAAAGTACAAAGACAGTTTGGCCGAGGTAAATAGAAACAATTGATTAGAAATGAAAAATTTCTGTGTACAAGTTTAAATATACATCTGTTCATGTAAATGTATTTTTGAAGAAAAAATAAAATGGATTACGAATCGATTTTATACATATACATGACTTCGTATAATTTATAAAAAGAGGCAACACTATTTTGGAATACACCATACCTAATATGGTTTTGACTTTTACTTCTGAAAATCTCTGCTATTCTACTAAACATCTTGTACTCAAATATCATCCACAATCGAACGCTTTTTTAAAAATATAGACGAGTTGAAATTTAGAATAATACAGATTAAGATATATAAAGTTGTTACGTACATATGAATGTACAGAGTTATACATATGCATGCACAGAGTTATTGCGCCAATATTAGCGTCACGTTTAGCGTGTCGCGCCGATTTTTATATGTTATTGTATTGACGTCATTATGTGAGTTGACTTCCGGTAATCAATAATAAAACAACGTTATTGAAGAACCAGTAAAAATAAAAAACAACACAATTGCATTATACAACATCAACACAAAATATTGATTTTTGTAAAGAATATTGAATAGTAAATGTTGCAGGCAAAACGGTTTACAATTGATACACTTGAGCATTGCTTTTAGCACGTCAGAGTTAAAGACTGAATACCGCCTAAGTATGTGCTAGGGGGGCATGTTAAAAGTTTACATCACCTCACATGGACAGACTCAATCAAACAGAGTCTGTAGTTTCCATTTTTTATTGTTGTTTCTCTGCTTCAAAGTGACCTTCCATTTTCCAGATTTGTTACAACACTTAACAGTGAAATACTTTACATAAACATACAAAGTATTTTGTATCATTGCACATAGTGCACATACTGAACAGTCATTCTTTACGTCAAAATCGGGTCATTATAGAAATAAATGCCAAATGAAACGTAAAAAAATATATCTAACCGATAATTTGATAATTTAACGGATATCTTTTTAAAGAAATGTTTAGTTACTAATATCGTGCAATTAATTTTCACAACGATCCAGTTTATACTTCTAATCTTAACACACATTATGATACTAATGATAAAAGAATGAGCATAACTGGCTTATGTTTAATGTCATAACTTGCAATTAGATATAAGATTTTATTTCTAGAAAATATCTGGTGAAGTATTTGTGCCGATTTTACGGAACTGATGTGTATTATACTGTATGTGAAGATTCTGAATTTGAATGGATGCAAATCGCAAATTCAAGAAGCGTAAGTCGCTACTGAAGAAGTACCTACAATTTATTACCTTTTCTACCATTTCTTGAGAAATAACTTGTGTTGTTAGCATCATCGTTTTGTGATTTGATCTTAAATGTTGATTGCTTGATGAACTCAAAGAGCTTTGCACTATTTGACTTGCAAAACAAATTTCAGTAATGATCGATACGTTTAATGTATAAAAGGAATTTTAAAGGTAACCATTTATTGCTACACACTAGATACAAAGACAATCCGTATGATATTTTTGATGACACGAAATACAAGATGAAACTCTAAAGATAAATTTCTTTCTCAAATACATATAATAGAAATTTAATCTTATATATAGATTGTTTATCTTTATCTTTTGTTATGTTTTGAAAACAATATTTTGGAAATAAAGAACTTGCTATTTTTAAATGTAATATTTTGTGCCTAAATTAGGTGATAATCGTTACAGAAAACAACAACAAATCGGAACATAAAAGTAGTAAATTAAAAACGCTTACTTTTTAGGAAGAATGTGATCGCTTTGTTGTGTGTGGTTCTGTTTATGTAAAACTGAGAGATGCTGTGATGCAGACGGTTCATGACGAAAACATTGACATACTCAACACTTCAGTAAACGTTTGTATTAATTTTAATTGATAATATAAAAATGAAACAAAATGCAATTTCATAGGTTGCTCTCCTAGATACTAGTAGATAAATAAATTTCAATTTAATGGAATGGTGTTTAATACAAATTTAAAAATCCTTACCAGGATAAAGCTAATCTCACGTTCAGACCAAATAAATTTATTATTTTTCTTAATCCTTATTTAAATTTATATGGTCAGCATTTAGATTTGTCATTACATAACTATTTCATGATTATGACAGAACATCAACGAAGAAGACGTCCATATGGAGCCTTTACTACAACTAGGGATGTATAGAGAGATAACAAAGACACATCTGTATCCACCAACACAGAGGAAGACTTCTACACAGGTTAATAATTGTTTTACATTAAAAAATATTCTAAATGACAGTAACGATTAATGTATGTGAACTCAATAAAATGCAAATAGCACAGAGTCCCAAATTTCTATTAATTTTATACACGTCAAATACCAATAATTAAATACAACGACTTACATACTTATTAGAAGACTGCTGCTATATTAATCAAGTTTGATATGGTGAGCTCTCTTTCTTTTACCAGGCCTTAAAATGATTAAATCCTTTACAAAATACTTACCTTCTTTACCCCTGCGACATTTATTCTAATCAGGAAGCCTTTAAGCAATGATTTAATAGTTACTTCATTACTACCAATATCACTGATTTATTGTGTGAATAGTAGTTAATATTTTGTCTTTTTAAGTAACGTTTGTGAAATGATTGTTTTGCTGTATTTATCATACTATTATGTATACATGCATACTTTTCTATAGCTAATGGTTCATGGCATTTATTTTTGGGCAATTTTTCAATGATTGTAATGCAGTAAGAAACTTTAATATGATTATTCTTATCTAATCTCAGTGAGATTAAGTTGACGTGTTGTTGTAAAATGCTGTACAAGTGAATATATAAAAGCACGCATTAAGAAGTCAATTTAAAGTTTATTATGTCAAGAAAAAACAAATATTTCAGATGTTGGAGCTTCTTGCAAACTTTTTTAAAGACTGTGAACATTGTACCAACAAGGTAATAAATATGTTTCAATCCGTATTATCGTAATAATGAAAAGAAGAAAATACATGTATATCAATCTCTTATCTTTTTAAAAATTAATTTGCAGCACTGTGTTTGATAACTTAAAAATATAGATTAAAACATTTTGAATATGTTATCAAATATGTATTTCTACTATCACAGGCAAAATGAAGTGTCATTTAAAATAATGATCTTTCAGTTTTATCCGATTATGTCTTTATAACATATTTTCATTTTAATCAAGGTGAGGGTATGATAACACTGATACCATGTGTGCAAATTGTATTTTTCTTATTCCATACATTTTGAATAGGCTAAAGTAAATTTGCTTACAAATAGTATGCATCTGCGACAATACAATGTATGGACAGAAAATGAAAACAAATAGTTTTAGAACAGATTTTCTTAAATTCATATTGTAAGTTCAATAGCGTTTTGCGTAAGTAGCAGCTAGAATGTATTTCTATGAGAAATTCAGAAGATGTTCACTGTTTCATTGTATTGTATTACCAAATGTATTGAATACACTTGTCAACTCAAACTAGTGTACATGAGAAACATAAAATATATTCAAATTCTTTGCTAGTTTTAGATAACGGATGTTTTATCTCACAAATTATTTGTAGGAAAATGTTTTCTTTATTAGTGTAGTGTTTGACCATTGTGTGTTGAATAATTTTTTTCTCTGCTTTATTTTGTAAACCTGTCTAGGAGCTAATCATGAGACTCTTGGAAAACAGACTCGTACCGAGTTCTATAGTGACTAGGGAGAATGAAGATTTTAAAACGCAAGGAATACACAGTTTGATAGTTCATTTCCTTATTGTGATAGTGCGTGTTCCAGATGAGAAAAACTTGCTCTGGCCACTTTCTAGACTGAGTCTTACTCCAGATAAGTGTGCTGTAAGTATAAAAATGATTAGTCTGTGCTGATAATTTTAGAATGACGCCTAATATAAATGTTAACTTATGAAGATTTGTATGCTTATAAATGGTTTAAATGTCCGTAAGACATTTGATTTGTATTTAACAAAACAAAAAATAAAGAAAAACCAAAACATCAAACAAACACACAAGCAAGTTTTTAATAATAGTCTTGATTTCATTTTTAAGTTATTGTATGCATTTTTGTTTGCTGCTACACAAAACATTACCTTAATGCTTTTTTAGTCCTTATTATTCATTTAATTCTTCTTGATCATTTTTGTTTTGTTTTGTTAAGTCTTCTGTAAATTAAAAAGCATAACTGCATATGCTATTTGTTACAATAAGATTATCTTCAGTTGAACTTGTTTATCTACACAGTGATATTATGTTACACAGATAAGTAATAAGTGGTCATCTACAAACGGCTTATACCGGACTGTGTGCCTGCGAATATTTAAAATACCTAATTTATTAATAACATAAATCCTCATAGCAATAAAAAAGAAACATATAAAGGTCTTACGTGACAAATATCTAAACTAGAGCACTTTAGTTAATATTTCTGATAAATATGTCCACGTTTCTCCAATTCTAACATCATGACAACATATACATTTTGTGTCGTGAAAGTTCATGCTATAAAATCTGTTTTGCAGTTAAGTTATTACTCTTGAAATATTGTTTTTCCTCAGTATAGTTTACTCCTAAATAAAATCGAAATGTTCTTTTTTTAATTTCATGTAAAGTATGTATTATTATACTCCTTCTTTAAAGTAAGGTCTTTGTTCATGTTAAAAACATGCTTTTAACTTCACTTTGGTGGGAAATTAAGCTATAGATACTGAGAATCATTGTCCATTAGTCAGGACTGTTTAAAAATGTTTGCGTTCTATTCTTCATTGTTAGAGAAAGCTTGAAGCAAAAGCAACAGTAAATATTATCTCAAATATTTAAACAGATAGAGAAACATACTTATAACTGTTGCATCTTTTTAAGGATTTCTTTTTGCCTACCATGCCACAAGATGACCTTGAAGATATAAAGAATGCTATAATTGCCTCGACAGAAACAACCAAGGGTGCATATAAAACGCCTGCCTATTACAGTAAGTAATCACTGCCACTGCCATATATCTTTACTACTACATGTATATTGTATACAGGGATATTTTTAAATACAATGTATAAGTTTTCATCATCACGTACTTATAATTGTAGCTGTTTATTCACATTTTAAGTCTTATAAAAAATTATGTTCTGTATAAAACAATTATTTGCTTTCTCGCAAAAAGTTACCTGATACATGCCTATACTATTCTTTTCATTTTAATAAAATAATCATTCAAATGTAACTAAATTTTATTTAATAAATTTAATTTCTGAACTAACATCCCTAAATTATTTTTCGCTAAATGATTAACATTACCAATTGAAAAACAACATGACGTTTTCCGTATGTGGGAATAATATGTGTTTATTTTTATTCTTTAAAGAATGTCCTAACGGTCATCCGTACGTGATAGGCGATGTGAGTATCCTTTAATATTGTTATTTTGAACAAATACACATCTTATGTGGCTATGAAAGACTCAAATAAGATATTTGATGGGTTCATAGCACAAACAATGTAAACTTTTTATTCAATAACAATTATTCAAGATACAAAATAAGAAAAAATATCATTAACATGTAAATCAGTGTCTTATTGCTGTTAAAACGGTTTGCTCTTGCTTAAAGATTAAAGCTTATCTTACAGTTTTCTCTTAAAATGATTAAAACTTGAGAAGCAAACCATAACTGTAGAATATGTTTTATATCTTACTTTACAGTGCGGCCAGCCGGTTATGAAATCAAAATGTCAATGTGGCGCTGAAATCGGAGGAGAAAATTATGTTCTCGTTCAGGAAAATACAAAAGACTCATCGTAATATAAATAATTATTAATAACTAAGATTTAGTTTTCAATTTTGGCATATAAATATGCATTTGATTTCAAAACTAAATAAAGTTTATATCAATTCATAGAAACAATGAACTATTAAGCGAATTTGTTACATTTATGACGGTGTGCCTAAAAAAATATTATATCAAACGCACATAATTATTATAAGAGTTCATGTTTCTTATATATACAGAGATGGTTACGTGTCACTTATTTTGCATGTTGTCTTTTTAAAAAAAGCTGAACAAATGATTTTATATTCCTTTTGACATTGCATTTATTTGCTGTTTACATAGTCGCTCTCGTTATGATAAGAATTCAAGTAGTGCTTGAATTGTACATAATGAATGACTTGGTTTTTTTTCTTCATATTTTTGTGATAATCAAATCTAACAGCAAAGATCAAACAATGACTGGTCACATTTTGGGTCCCGCTGAAAACCGTCGGGGACAAGATCCTAAACCAGAGAGATTGCTGACTTCTGCAGAATGTGCAACTATAAGACTGATGATTCATATGGCTATGTACCTAGGAGTTGGAAGCGATAGAGAGGTATGCAATGATTGCTTAAAACTTCATGTTTATATGTTTAAGATTCAATTATAAAACTGTATTTTCCCCTTATATTTGCCTTGTTTTAAATACAATGTTATAGAGTGTTTGGTTTTTTTTAATCTAAAATTATACACGGTAAAGCATATAAACCGCCATTCATTTCATCAAATCATTTAATGTATTTAAGGGAATTGAAAATATCATCCACCCTGATATTGATTCGGGTATGGTTGAAGAATTCTTATGGCATCATATTCAGTCAGACATCGGTGATATTCACAGAGCACTTGCGAGAAGCGTAGACGATGTTCTTCTGTTTATTCATTGCATCATAAATGAAATGATGGTCAAGGTTATTGAAGGTATAAATGTAACTTTCTTTGTTATTATGACGCGCAGTGCAAATAAAAGCATTGTGGAAATGTCATAATTGATATCATACAATTATTGTATGATAATGACATAATTGTATTTTGGACAAAATGATCGCTGCATGAATCTTTTTTTGTACATACGATGTTTTTTACGTAACGTTGTTCTTATTTAATCAACTAGTAACCGTTATCCCATAAAACCATGAACTTTTGGTTTCAGAAAATAGACGGCTAGATCTAGTGCTTCGCTTAATTGTTAACAATCATATTTTTATTCTATTCACAGGCACAGACTTACAAAATGATGTGTATATGCTATCAACTAAAGGCGGGAGACAAAATTGGGAAGATGCTTTCACCAATGAATACTTGAAGGATATTTTTTCAGTAAATATATTTTAAATATTGCACGGATGACTTTAATGAAATAAAACATAGGTCAATCTTGAAGTCGAATTGTAATGAACTAACAAACAGATACTCAGTATTTAAATGGTCGAATCTAAAGTGTGTCAGGTCGCGAAGTAAGTAGTAGCTTAATTTGTTATTGAAAAAAAACTGAATATGTTAAGGAAGCGTTAAATAATTTTATGTACCGCCTCCGTGGTCCAGGGGTTAGAGTCGATGACTTCTAATCTAGTTACCTCTCTGGCGTGGGTTCGATCCCCGGGAGATGCTTTGGTAGTTTAGCGCGGAGGAAGGTAGTCTAGTACTGGTGTAACTCTCCAGGAACGATGGTTAGGAAACTACCCGCCTATATGACTGAAATACTGTTGGGAAAAGGCGTAAATGAAACAAACAAACAAACAAACAAACAAACAAAATAATTTTATAAAACTGAATATTTTAAGGAAGCGTTAACTAATTTTATAAATCTGAATATTTTAAGGAAGCGTTTAATAATCTTATACGCTTTATAAAAACCTTCTATTACTTTTTTGGTTGACCAAACATTTGTAAAAGTTCTCAGATAACTTAATTTCATCTATTCAGTTTTAATAAAAAAGTAAAACATTTTATCATCACTAAAAACATCAACTGTTTTACCTATTAAACTTCAGGATGTGGACAGTTTACTTCAGAGACATAATAACACCATTGTTAATGACAAAAGACTAGGTGCGTTTAATTGCCATTATATCTTGAAAGAATTGTAATTATTTAGTTTGCAACAATGACGATCATGCATTGGGTGGTGTAAAATATACTGAACAAAGCATTTAACAAGAGGCTATAGCATGGTGTTTAAAGTTCTAATAGCATCAACATCGCCACTCAATAACATAGAGCTGAAATATCCAAGCTGTTAAAATAAGCTGCTAATATAATCGTCATTATCTACATGTACTTCTATGATATGTTATCATATATGATCAGCCCGAGAAATTATATGAAAAGCTCTTGAAGATATTCATTAAAAATTAATAATAAATCAAAATAATTCAATTATCTTGTACAGCATGAAGTGACTCAATTGCATGTAATCATATCTTATGGAGAATATCACTGGTAAAGGAAGAAAAATGAAGTTTGTTGCTTTCTAACATTTTTTAACTACAGGGGCTGATCCTCTTTTAAATTTGCTATTTGAAACGGAAACAACCCCAAAAACTGCACTCCCATTGCAAGAGATTCCTATGGTATGGGGCTACAGAACACCAGTTACACTACATCATTTACGACAAAGATTTGATGCTGAAGTTGGGCATGGTGCCACGTTAAAGAAATTTTCAGTTCTACAACTGTTCCTAAAAGAAGTATGCATCTGATATTAAATTTAATGTTGATGTGTTTAATGTTTGTTAAAATGCCAATTTATTTCTAAACATTATACAAATAAAGCGTGGCATTAAATTATCTTCTTTTTGAAAGGAATTGTTATCAGAAGTACATTTAATAAACAGGTATTTAAGAAGTTTTTGAATCATTTACATTGCACTCTGTATCTCGGGAGTGTGCTGTAATTATGCTTAAACTATATTTCAGGAGTATCATTTGAGAGCTTTACGCTTCATTCCGAGCATCGTACGTCTTCATTCTGTATTGCTGCAGAAATATCAGAGAAAACTGGACAAAGCTGAGGCATCCAAGATTACCATTGCTCAACTGAAACGAGGTTAACCGACTTTGAAATTATAATCATTGATAAAGTATTCATCCTATAAATAGTTAAGATTTCAATCAACAAATTTTCTTGTGTAAATAAATATGAAACGATTATTTATGAAGATTTATTTTGAATCGACTTATCGAACTTTTAAGGATAAAATATTTTTGATCATATTGTAAAGTCATACGATGCTTAAATGAATCCTATAAGGTAGTCTTTTTCACAGGCGTATTTAAACTGAAAACATCCGTAAAATGGACAAACACAGTCAAAATTTAAATTAATATTGTAATGTAATGTTCCATGGATTTTTTACGAAGGTTTTTATTGCTTTCTTTAATATTGTAGAAACAATTGCCGGGCATGAAACTGAAACGCTATTTGATGATTTTGCAAAAGCATGGGATTTGTGTCGGGAGGCGTTGAAATTTTATGGTCAGTTTCTACATTTAATCAACTATTTAATGATAACATCAAACATTATATTTATTTGAATTAATCAAACAAACGAATCTTGTCTTTTTTAAAATGTAGCTAACCTATTGAAATTTTTACTTGATACATAGTTTTTATTGTTAATTAGTGTGAATAAATGTTTTGAGTAATTATTAAGTATCTGAAGAATTTTTTCTAGTGTGTAAGACTGACATAGGGAGTGCAACAGTTTTACCAGAATACAGTCACTATGTCATTAATGAAAACACACCAGTTTCAATGATGTTACCCACAAATGACGGTGCAGGATTATGCTCTTATGCGCTACTAGATTTTCTCCTGAGAAAGCAGAATGATTTTCTTGAAAAATATTTTCAAGAAACTGGAAGGTGCGTACAGCAAATTCAGTTATTTTACTCATTTTATTTACTTTTTTTTTTCAATATCCTTTATACTCTGGTGCTATGATTTTAGAAAAGTTTAAATGTCATTTTGTGTTACAAATGTAAATTTGCTAAAACTTACAACTTTGGTATCCATAATTTTAAAAAACTTACCATTTGTTTTTTCAGTGCCTCAAGTTCTGTGAAAGTGAGGCCGAAAGAAATTACCTCAGCAGACCTTATAAGTTATGATGAAGAACACGATTTGATTCCTCTTGTTCTCGCTAACTGTCAGTATACATTTATGATGGGTGAAGGGAATAAAATAGACTACGACTTCAAAGGTTTAGAAAGACAAATCATGGACAGATTCTTGTTTTCAAAATCAGAGATTGAAATTTCTACTGTTTTACAGGTAGAATTAACATCAATTTGTTTTCACTTTGTCACAAATTATGTTTTTACAACAACAGAATTCCCATCATGGAAATTGTATAATACTTTTTTTTCTCCCCGAAGGGAGGGCATACAGTCGCCACCTTGTCCATCTGTTCGTCCGTTGTGCTTGTCCGGGGCATAACTTGAAAACCCTTGGACATAATTTGTTCAAACAGCACACAGTGGTAGTTGACATCAAGGCGGGGTGCAGTGCTGAAGAAACATAACTCTATTTTGCAACTTTCTAACTATCTCCCCTTTTAAAAAATCTTGTCCTAAGAATAACTTGAAAACCCTTTGGACATAATTTGTTTGAATTGCACACAGTTGTAGAGGCCATTAAGGTGAAGTGCAGCGCTAAAGAGCCATAACTCTTAGTTTGCCTCGTTTTTAATTATTTTCCCTTTTAGATAAATATTGTCTGGATCATAACCTGAAAACCCTTTGGGCATAATTTATTTACACTGCACCAAACAGTAATAGGCATTGATGCGGAGTGAAGTGCTAAAGAGCCATAACTCTTTTTTGCCTCCCGTTTTTGAATTATACCCCTTTTAGATAAATATTGTCCGGATCATAGCCTGAAAACCCTTGAACATGATCTGTTTACAATGCAGTGGTAGAGGGCATTGAATCGGAGTGCAATGCCAAAGAATCATAACTCTATTTTGCTTCGTTCTTGAATCATCTCCCATTTAAAAAAAATAATATACATAATATATATATGCTCACTTGATGACTTTGCCTGTATATTCTCGCCTTGCAAATGTCCCTTTTGCTACTGCTTCGGTGAGCGCATATGTCGGTTTTACCGATCGCCTTGTTTATCTTCTTGCAGGTCGAGTTGATGACATATCGAACAGAGAGTACAAACGCAACTATATTTGAAAAATTATCAACATACATACGGCAGGTATGCATGGCGTTTTACATAGCGTTGGTGGTATATTTATCAAGTATATTTATCAAATTATGTTGTTTAATCGTGTTTGCCTTGTCGGGACTAGAACTGTTACTACTGCATGTTTGCTCTCAAGGAACATATAAAAATACAAATTATCAAACAATAATGCGTTTGATAGAATAAATTATTATTCTGGTACGCATATATGCATGTATTTCGTTACACATACTATATAACTATTTTGAAATAGATGAGAAGTAGTAAATTCTGTAGTTTTCAGATGATATTATTTCAAATCAACATCCTTACCTACATTACTCATATGACGCAAGATTTTGTACAGATCGGTACATTTAATCTAAAGCGTATAGCAGTTTTGTTCTTCTAGTCTTTTTCTGTATAAGGATATCTATCTATCACATTTTTTTCAGGAGGAACTAAATAGTGAACTTAAAACAAAGATCTGCAGCGAAATAAAGTGCTTGCCAGATATTTGTCAATCCTTATATAATCTGGATATTGCTATCAGTTTCCTTAAGACTACAGGTGGTTTGTATGAACAAAATCTTCATGACTACTTGACAAAAACTCTGCAGATGAAAACAACAGTCTCAAGTCAAAGGGTAATGTTATTTTAGCCAATAGTCTATTGGCTTGTTTTATTATACTAGTAATTCCCTATTGTATGAACCTGTTTAATATTGCCATATAGGTATGTGTAGTTTTAGCAGGGTACTGTAAATAATATACTACTTCGTGAACAGTATCAATTTATATTATGGTCTATATGAATATATAACTGTTAAGTTTATTTTTATTTATATTTCTATCTTAGGCGCAACAGATGTGTCAACTTAGGCATATAAAATCGTTGTGGCTGTTACTTGCTTTGCTTAAATCAAAAACAATGATTGACAATCACCAACGTAGGGAGGTTAGTATCTAGTTGATTTTGTCTTATTGCAAATAATGAAATGTCTAAATTGTGTGCCACCGATATAAACACTTCGATAAAATCAAAATAATTCAAACGCCAATTAAAATAATATAGTAAACTCTAAGGTATTTAAATTCAATCTCAGGTTCTGTTTCATCATCGGGCTGCAGAGGATAGTATTCTTAATATGCTATCGAAAAGAAGAATAAACAATACCATAAAAAACCAAAAGTAGTAAAGTAAAACGGAAAAGTTTTAAAGGCGTAATTTGTTGCATGTAAAGAAGATCAAATTTTCTGAAATCCTGTATTTCAACGTGTGTCATGGTTGACTTGAATGCTACTAAATCGACATATTTATAAGTGTGTTGATATGCACTAAAGATAGCATTAGATAGATACAGATATCAATAGCAGCAAAGAAACATTCATTATTTTGATATTCTTCATAAATTACAGTACACCAAAAAAAAAAAATCTTTGTTATTTAACAGTTACTCGTGAAAGTTAAAAAAAGCTAAACTAAGACTGTAAGGGATATTCATATTAAAGCTCATATTCTTTATTTGTTTCAGTTCACGTTTGAAAACATACAGTCTACTTTTGATGCGGATCTGTCAATTGAAGAACGAGAAATCCTCGAACAATACCTAAAACCTTTGTCAGTGGAAAAGATAAGTTCTTTGGTTGAATGCATACATGAGTTTATTTTGCTGAAAGTAGCTGTGAAACAAAACGTTGATGAAGAGGATTACATAGATATAACTCATAATAAGTATGAAATATATAACAGTTTTACTTAAACATTCTTTCAATCCCGGCATTAATATCTTCTTCATGTGACATGTTTTCTTAGAATTTATAATGGCGTGGAAGCAATATGATTATAATTTATGTAATCTGATAAAGAACAATAAAAATGTAATAAATTCCCTTATATTTAGTTATTGTATATTCTTTTTGTTTTTATTTTGTTAGACTGCAGGACTGGCTGCTTGCCTTCATTTTTGAGAGAGAAGACCATTTAGTAGATACTGTTATATTTGAGGAATTTCCTGCAGATATCATGTTGAAACATTGTGCGCATGCATGGGTTGTTGCTTACGAAATGTTGAAAGGGAAACAGGCTGTGTTATATTCTAATCATTAAAAATATTAATATAACACATATGACTGTATTTGAGACATTCTTTGTTAATTCTTTGTAAATAAAATGAAAATAATTTGTAATGTAATAAAACTGTATTTTTCTAGACAAATTATATTGTCATTCTAGATTTGCTTTATATTTGTTTATCTATTTTTGCTTATACTGGACAAAAGAAAGCTTTTTATTCATCTATTTTCTGTGAGATTTTAGGTTTGCATGAACAATTGTTTTATTGCCGATTTACGCGCTGTTTTATTTGACTTTATTAAGGATGAGATATACTATGACATGTTGAATGTTGTTCTGCATAATCAGATATTAACATTGCAAATAGCAGTTTGATTAAATAGGTAGTCTATTGATCTTTTGGTATATGTGATTTGATTCGTTTCTTAGTTTATGCTTAGTTCAAATAGAATGAAAGTTAGATTTTATAAAAATATCATTCCATACTTGAGACATTTATCATGATAAAAGTTCATAAGATGTTTTATACATGATTTTATCAAATATATATTGTACATTATACATAAGAATCATTTCTGTTGGAGCAGCAGATATGGAATTCTACTGAAAGTGTTGATTTGCAGTGCTTGCAAGCATCTGCAACATTGTGAAAATTAATACAATCATAATGTAAATCAAATCATGTTGCTTTGATTTTTTGTTGTTTTTTTTTACAATAAAGCTTGCTTTGACAGTGTAACTGGTTATTACAATATATGTGTTTTAATGTTTGATTTGATCAACATTTATATTGACATTTATGTAAAGAGGAACAACTATTGATTTATTGAGTATGTTGTTATTTTTAAAAACGTGTCATGTTATATAGAGGATATTTGTTTGTTTTGCATGTAAGATTGAAATATAATTTCACTGAGTGAACACCAGATGCAATATTTTCACGAGTGGCGTAGCCACGAGTGAAAATATATAAGCTGGTGTTCACGAATGAAATATTTTTCAATCTTATATGTAAAACAAATAAATTTTCTTTTTATTTCATGCTTTTTAAGTGATTTTAAGTATTTTTTACTGGTTTTGCCGCGTAACGTCACGCATTCTCCTTTGTGACGTCATCACATCATGACGTCACATAATCAATTTTGAAATATAGGTCTGTTAAATTTCTATTATTTTGTTACGTTTTTAACATGATGTATGATGACATCGACTTTCTTTTCCTAAAGAAGCAAAATTTACGCACGACGGCATTAATTTCTGCCTGTTATTCCATTTAGTTATGATTTTCTTTTCATCCGCATTCAGATATAGTCCGGCTACAGTGAAAATTATATTTTATAAATTTCACTAGTGGTTTATCAGAATATAATCATCTGATATATTACAATAAAACACTGGAAAGCATGAAATAAATATGTATGTTAGATAGTTTTGAAAACAAAAATCGCCTAATCAGTAACACAAATATGTATGTTTACATGTGAACATCAAGTATCTGTATGAGAATGTACACGAGTGTATGATGATATAAATAAATCAGAGGGAGAATATGATATGATATTTTAATTAAGATGTTTCCCTAATTAAAGCACTTGTTAATATTGTGTATATAATGAAACATAAGCTAGTATAAGGTAATCGTATTTTGTTGTTGTTTTTTGTTATGTTTAGATTTTACCTTATATTCTTAGTTAATGAATAATTCTTAAAACTCTTCTTGTACATATTTATTTTTATTTTCTTAATACGCAAATTCAGGTTTTTCTATATTATTCATATTATGCAAATAAGTGATGGTATATAATTATATAAATGTGAACTGATATCTTTATCACATATACATCCGCAATATGACCTATACTGTGTTGGTGCGACGTAAAATCCTACCAGTATTAATTTGTTTCCGTATGTACGTTTGTTTCAACTAAAGCTAGTTGGTTATATATTTGTATATGTTATATTTTTGTCATTAGTTGCAGATCATATGGAAAGGACATTAATGTGAAATTAATACTATATAAAGGTTTATCTGCCTTTGTTAAATACATGTTTATATATACAATATCTTTTTATTACTCTTATTATACATGTACTTGTTAATGATTTGAATGTATTTAATATGGCTGATTTAGAAAGTAGTGTTTTTGTTTTTGTTGTTGTTTGTTTTTTAAAATATTTATCATTTTATCTGTACATGATTTGATTTCTTTTTGATATATTTATGCTATTTCTTAAAGTTTAGATAATGTTCACTTGACAATACTTATTGTATTGTATTACTAAGTATTGTCGAGTGAACAACTAAGCAATACTGTTGTTGTTTATTTTTCTAAAAAGATATTATCTGTACATGATTTGATTTCTTTTTAGAGCACTATGATATATTTATGCTATTCTTTCATGTTTAGATAATGTACATAGTAATATGTTAAAGTATTGTCAAGTGAACAACTTAGCAAACTAATCATGTTTTTTCGGTGTTTTAATGGGTCAAAATATATGCAAATCAGATCTTTTTTTCTTCGTAAGTGATGCGTTAGAATACAGAGCTTTAACTAGCAAATTCAGAACTACTTTTTCCTAACACATACAAAACGTCACATCTTGAACTATCTTGAGGCGTGTACTATAGCTAAGACGGCACATTCAGTGATCAAGATATCATTGTTGCTGATGTATATCCATGTGTAAAACTAAAGGTTTTTTACTAACACCTACACCATGCATCTTTTCTAGTATTTGCATAACTGTAAAACTGTTTACTAACATTTATATTATTGAAATACGTTTATAAGTTGAGCATCATGTATCCATAATGAAATAGCTTAATAATTATTTCTATGTTAAACTATGTGTGTTCGTGTGTCATGTATATTGTAAAACCTTTAAAATGCTCAGAGGATACATTGAGGAGGATATCTAGAGCAAGGAATAAAATGTGTATGTAGAATAAATGTTTCATGGTAAAAATGTGTTTCTTGTATATCAAAGGGGAATGACTTGTGTTATTACATGACGAAAGTAGCCTTTAATGTGAAAATGATTCAATAGTAGTAACACGTAAACAAAGTGGTAGTCTGAAGGCCATACAAAATACTTAATGACTAGAACTTTGTCAGTTATATAAAAAAGCAAAAAGTTGTCTCATCAATATGGCCAATGCCATCGCTAAAGAAAAAATAGCAAAGAGCTTTCAAAAATTATTTATAAGCGGAATGAAAAAAAGACCAATATATATTATACAAGTATATCACTCTTTTATTATAAATTTTATTATTGAATTGTCCTACTTAATACACTAATTTGATAACAATTAAACAGTTAGCTTACAGATGATATTTCCTTTTTTCACCCTACATTCATGACAAAATGCACATTATACAGGTAAATTCGACCTAAATGTCATGATAAAAGTTATATACACAGATATCAGATGAAATAAGAATTAAGTTTCTGTTTTATGTAAATCAAACACTGATAAAATTGTCTTGAATTTATTGAAATTAAACATGATAGATAAGATATTAGCATTAAACCAACAAATATAATAATGATGTACTCATTGTTAGAATATCTATTCGTGTTTTCTTCTTTGAGGCACACCTTAAAAGCATATTATGCCTTCGAAACGTACATATGCGTCCTTCTTTAGAAAAGGCAAACATGAGTTTTATAATGTTTAAACAATGGTTTAAGAGCATGTAAGATGCTTGTTACATGAACAAAAGTGCATGTAAAATATTTTGATAAAAAGATGCAAAATGTAAATAAAGTAGTATGTTGACGTCCATACCAAATACTTCATCTCTGTTAACTTTTCTGTACTTATTACTAGAAAGCAACAGAAGCAAAATACGATTCAGGTTATTGGCCAATGAGTAACTGTTTCGAAACTATAACAATATATCAAATATTAACAAGACACCAAATATAAATAAAACTGTGAGAAATAATAATAAAATCATTTCTTGGACATACTGTGACTTTAACATATTTTAATTGGATTAGTTCGCATGCAAATAGAAAACATGTTGACGAAATATCTTTGATACATTCCCTATTTGGTTGGGTTTTTATGTTGCATAAACACAGTATATGTGTTATGGCGATTTTCCAGCTTATCTGCTGGAGAAAGACCTCAAGTATCCTTACGTGCACGAACAGGCACCTGAGAAAAACCACCGACATTTCGTAAGCTAGCTGGATATAAGTCTCTGTCGGGATTCAAAACAACAACACTGATGTGCAAGGGGCTTGAAGTCAGCGATCTTAACCACTGTGTCCACAGACGCCTCTGATATATTCTTAGACATGCATTGATGAAATTACTTGAAACACATCCTCAACTAATGTCCTTTTACCGACAATGCTTACAGTGACCCCGTGCAAAGTTGAATTGGCCACCACGGCAACCTGTTCTGGATTACTCACATTTATTTCTTCTAATATTTGCTTCACTGCACACCACGAATCCCGTTGTATATAGACGTTCTTGGCAACTATCTGCCCCAAAAAACTACGAAAGTGATCTTCCGCGCTTTTTAGTTGTTGTAATACTAATTCGAAGTTAACATGTTCAATAATTGCTGCATCATGTGATAGAACAACCTGATTTTCTTTCAAAGAATAAAATATTTTTGTACAACAAGACTGAATGTCCGTATTTAAACTTGACAGGAAACTATCTGACTTTCTTATCAGGTGCATCTTTGTGATTTCATCATCGGTGACCATACAGATTCTTGCCATGTGTACTCCGTCTGATCTTGTGGCATTCAGCTTCACATACTTTATTTCATCTTCTAATGAATGGTCAATTTTCGACAAGTTTTGGATTTCTGTGAACAAAAATTGTAGTTCATCATTATATAATAGAGGTCAATATAATGACTTAAATTATGAATTTGAAATTGTACAAAAGCTCCATTTTATAGCTGTATATCATTAAATAAATAAATAAATAAATAAATAAATAAGCAAGTCTCTAGGTCAAAATCGGGGTCAACTGATATAAGATTTAGAATTTGAAGCCAAAACCGTAAACATAAATCATATTTCATAGTTGTTCATAAAAAACATCAGATGGCCACTAGATCAAAATCGAGGTGAGCTGATACCCGAGTTCAAATGTAAACATGGTCCATATTTCAAATTTCTTAAATCCAATTACAAAAACATTAGTCATTGAGTGCACCTACGTGGGGGCGCAATTTTGACACCAGTCACGAGCTAAAGGTTCACTAGACAATGCTTCATATAATATCTAAACTCATTCAGTGATAAGATTATGCGATTTTGTAATTTCCAACATATGTGAATAAACGTCATTTAGAAAATGAAAGGTGATGGGTACTTACTGAATTTGTCTTCTAGTACCTGTTGAACAGGTCGCTCAACCTTCATCCCACACTTCATGCAGTAATTCTCTCCAGGTAACAATTCTGAATTACAATTTTGCCCATCTTCAAGTTTTCCATTACAAATTATGAATACCCCAAATTTATTTTCCTGAACTGTTCTGTGCCCACATTCCTGGCAAAACTTGCCAAATCCGTCTTTACCGCACGCAACATTGGAACATCTTAGTACTTGAATTTTTCTGTGTGAATAGCAATAAAAATGAAGCTCCGATAACACGTAATTTCTTTTTCTAAATGTTTTTAATCAACAGCTAGAAAATGACGAGTTTTGTCTCTTTAATAGTTTATACCCACTTAAAATCATTACAATGTATATGATAAGGTTTCTTTTTTTAATTTTACCACGCTGATAATATAGTACCATAGTTTGAACATGTTGTTACATGTAACAATCATTAAAATGTGTCTTGAAAGATTGTCTTTGTTATCAACTACACATACAATTTTTATATTAATTTGTTATGCTATAATTTCAGGCCAAATATCAAAGTGGTCGCGAACATGAATATTGCTGGGGACATTTGCATTAATATTTGTAAATATCTAAATTTATAGAATCGTACCTGGTTTCTTCTGAAGGATGGTCAATACTTTTATTACCATCATATCCTGTAGATTGTGACATAACTGAAGCCTGCAATAGGAAACTTACAACTGAATATGATACAACTTTTGATAAATTAAGTAATGTAATTCGAAAAATGAGAGTATGAAGTCCGAGACCCATTAATATTTGTTCAAATACATAATTAAGTTAAATACATTGAACTGATCCTTTGAATTTGGACTTAACCCCAAATAATAAAATACATAAATGTACCTGATTATTTGAACGGTTTGTTGTAAAATAAACGGTATGTGGCTAAATAAACGCCAAGCAGCTGTTTTTTGATATTTTTTTAAAGGTTTTGTAGCCTTTCACTGTTGAAATATTTCTTTCATTGTAAAACTCATCGGATGTTATTTTTATATGATTTCATAATGCATTTCAAAATGAAATGTAAACATGTGACTAATGAATTATATTTTAAAGTAAAATGACATAATGAAGATAGAAAACATAACAAAATAGATTGAGTATTATATACATGGTTGGTAACTTAATTATTAATTTAATTCATTGTGTAACAAAATTATTGCGAAATGGTCTTACTTGGTAAGATCTAGCATTAGTTATTATTCGGTCTGGTAGAGTGTTTTTCTTCAAAGCTGCAGTTTGGCTTGTCAGCATAAGCATATTTTGGTTTAGTTTTTTCATTTCAGACGATGATTTCTTCATTGCAATTAACAGTTTGCATCTTTGCTTATTTTCCATGTACTGGTTTAAATCGCACGAATTGCCCTTTACTTTATCCAATAGTGATGCATTTCTTGCCAATAAAGATCGATGTGCACAAACATCTTCTTCAGAAGCTTTTCTTAATTCCTGGAGTTTGTCATTTTCTGTGAAAGTCAGTTTAACATCAAGGTCATTTTGCTCCTTTCTCAAACGAGTAAGAGTTCTTTTCTTTTCCTCTTCTATAAGTGATGACATGTCTGTGAGGTACTTATTAAATGTTGCAGTACATTTTTGTTGCTGTTCCTCAAAGTGTGATTTCCTACTTTGACCTGATTTCTTAATCGATTGCTGAGCTAGTTTTTCTTTCGTTTCAATATCTTTGACGCCATCCTCCAGTGTATTTTGAACCTTTTTTAGCGAATTAGAAATAAGGTCTATATCTTTAAGAGCCTCTTTCAGTTCGTTACTTTCTTCTATTCTAAAAGCCATGGTTGAGACATGGTTGATATTATCGCATGTTGTATGATTTGCTTTTCTGCAATCCAAGCAGGCAAACAGTTCACATTTGGGGCAGTAGAACCTGATATACTTTTGATGAGCGGGGCATTGCTCAAAACAAAACTCTTGTGGCATCGCCGCCCTATCGAGTATGTTGTGTTGTGGATTTTGTCGTTTGTGGTATTTTACGCATGACTGGCACATATACTCCAAACATTCATTACAAAATCCTTCTGCATCTGCCGTTTCACCGAATTCGTAGCATTGCTCGCAGTGCATTTCGTGACATTCGTCTGAATCTTGTACAATGTCATCTCCAACAAGAGATGCCATTCTCTTAGTTACTGAAATGGATTTAAATTGTAAAAAAATACATTTTATAACATTATAGAAAGGTTGCTGATTTTTGTTTTACTGCGTATGTATCTCAATATTAAGAAGGCATTTTTTTTAGTAAGATATGGAATATTTTGTCACGAAACATGATAAAATTACATATATTTTCGCGAGCCCGGAACGAGAGTGAAATATATAGAATTTTAAGGCGTGAAGTGCAAATGTATTCCATATTTCACGAAAAAAAAACAACGAAAAAATAACCTTTTTATTTAATTTTACTTCCATGAAAAAAGATGTTTACGAATACACTTGTTTGCTTCGCAGTTGCAATTGTCAACGCGCAGTAATACATTGATTATTTATAGGTGCGTGACACGGTTCGAATTCAATACACAAAGTATCACAGCCATAAATGTTTTGAAAAATATAACCAGATAACATATTTCATTGGTAAAATTAAATACAAAGGCATGTTAAGATAACGACACCATTTTTAACAAGAACCAAGTCAACATGGCCATCCCCCGCCGAATGTGTTTGCTCATTGGAAGAATGTATATGTAGTAGAGCGGAATAATTCCATTTTAAGAGGTCTTTTGGTAATGAAAACTGATGGCTATAATGATTACAGATTTGAAACCTATGTGAATACTGATGGCTGAAAATAGCAAAGGGCAATTACTGAAAAATAATGCAGGGTAGGTTATCATTCTTGTGTGCTGCATCCCTCCTCAGTAAAATCTATCCACCTATGAAGTTTCAAGTTGATACCTCAAATACTTTTTGAGAAAAAAATTGAATTGAAAAATTAAGTATGAAAAAGAACAAAGGGCAATAACTCAAAAATTATAAAAGGTAGAGTTATCATTCTTGTGCAGTGCACACCTCCTGAGTGAGATCTATGCACCTTTGAAGTTTCATTTTGATATCTCAAAGGCTTTTTGAGTTATGCTCTGGACAAAAATTAATTTTGAAAAATAACAAAGGGCAATAACTCAAAAATAATGCAGGGTAGAGTTATCATTCTTAAGCACTGCACTCCTCCTCCATGAGATCCATCCACCTTTGAAGTTTCAAGTTGGTACCTCAAATACTTTTTGAGATAAGCTCTGGACAAAATAACATAAAAAAAACAAAGGGCAATAACTCAAAAATTGTAAAGGGAAGAGTTATCATTCTTGCACACAACATTCCACCTCAATAAGATATATCCACCTATGACATTTCCTGTTGATATCTCAAACACTTTTTGAGTTATGCTCCTCTCAGGTGAAAAATTAGGTATGAAAAATAACAAAGGGCAATAACTCAAAAATTATGAAAGGTAGAGTTATCATTCTTGTGCACTGCACACCTCCTGAGTGAGATATATGCACCTATGAAGTTTCATGTTAATATCTCATAAGCTTTTGGAGTTATGCTCTGGACAAAAATCAATTTTGAAAAATAACAAAGGGCAATAACTCAAAAATCATGCAAGGTAGAGTTATCATTCTTGTGCACTGCACTCCTCCTCAATGAGGTCTATCCACCTATGAAGTTTCAAGTTGATACCTCAAATACTTTTAGAGATATGCTCCGGACAAAAATGTCGGACGGAAGGACGGACGGACGGAAGGACGGAAGGTCGGACGGACGGAGACTATTTCTATATCCTCCGCCGAAAATTTTCGGCGGGGGATAAAAACTACATGTAAGTAAAATAATTCATGATTTTGTTGATTGTCAACAATTAAACTAGACTTCAGTAAGAGGCAAGTGGATGAGAGAAAAAACGATAACAAAAATGAAAATATAAGATAGTGCTATGATTAAGTAAAACCAATGCGAATTAACAAACTAATATATAACTGTGTCCTATTAGTCTTTATATGCAAAAGGATCAAAACGATGTTTTATGCTTTGTATTTGTTAAATTGGCTAAAGATATGTTAAATATACCGATTTGCCAATAAAAACTGAAACTGAAGCGACAAAACTTTGGTGTTTGGGGTTGAAGTAAGTAAACGATATTTACATTGATGTTTAACAAACAAATGATAAGGAAAATGTTCCTTGACGTTCTTTTTAACCCAATGTCACTGATATCAAAATGTTGCCTGTAACTTGAAGAACAGAGGGTGGTTGTTCGAGCACTGATATCAAAATGTTGCCTGTAACTTGAAGAACAGAGGGTGGTTGTTCGAGCACTGATATCAAAATGTTACCTGTAACTTGAAGAACAGAGGTTTGTCGTTCGAGCACTGATATCAAAATGTTGTCTGTAACTTGAAGAACAGAGGGTGGTTGTTCGAGCACTGATATCAAAATGTTGTCTGTAACTTGAAGAACAGAGGGTGGTTGTTCGAGCACTGATATCAAAATGTTGCCTGTAACTTGAAGAACAGAGGGTGGTTGTTCGAGCACTGAGTCTTATGAACATAGAGGTTTTTACTTTGTCCAATGTTATTTTATAGTCTCTTATAAATCATAATAATTGGTAAAGTAAGTTTTGAATGTTTTTTTTTATATTTGTAGATTATAAATTGTATACATTGGTCAGCCTTAAATAAACTAAATATAGGCCAATATAAATTTATTTTAACTTTAATAGACATTTTTTAGATTCAGTATCATGCTTCCACGCATAACGATACAATAATACTCTGTTTGAAATAAGAAATATACCTAATTAAATGAGAAACAGGGCAAAATTAGCAATTAAATTAGCAATTAATTGTTACTTTTTTCACATATTTTGCATATTGGTTACAAGCAAGATAGCTAGTACTTCAACAAAAATATACTGTCCAAGGATCATCATCTTCTCTTCTTTACGTCAAGGCTGGTGTTCCTCAAGGATCCATTCTCGGTCCACTGCTTTTCCTTATATTTATAAACGACATTGTAATAGATATCGACGCCAACATCAGACTTTTTGCAGATGACACAAGTTTATCCCTTATCGTTAATACACCCGAAATAACAGCAAATGTACTAAACTCTGATTTACAAAAGATTAACCAATGGTCTAAAGAATGGCTGGTTTCGTTTAATCCAGCAAAGACCATATGTATGACTATATCTCGGAAAGCTATCAAAACACAACATCCTCCCCTACTTCTGCAAAACCAAGTCATTTCTGAAGCTTCTTCTCACAAACATTTAGGAGTTGTTCTATCAAACGATTGTTCATGGTCAAATCATCTAGAATATATTAAAAAACAAAGCTTGGACAAGGATCAATATTCTCCGTAGTCTAAAATTTACACTCGACAGAAATACATTAGAAACATTATATTTAACATTTATCCGTCCATTATTAGAGTATGGAGATATACTTTTTGATAATTGTTCAGCTAGCGAAAAGCATGAATTAGATATGATTCAAAAACGAGGCTGCCAGAATAGTCACAGGTGCTACTAAACTTTGTTCTCTTGAAAAACTTTATGACGACCTAGGATGGGAATCATTATCAACTCGACGTAGTAATCACAAACTGGTCTTTATTTACAAAATTCGAAATAGTTTATGTCCCACTTACTTAAACACTCTAATCCCAACACGTCAAAACGAAAGATACACCTTCAGAAACTCCTCTGATATTCCTCCTATCTATTGTCGAACATCCTTTTATCAAAACTCTCTCATTCCGTCTAGCATCCGTTCCTGGAACACGCTCCCTCAGAATACAAAATCATCAGAATCTTTACAACAATTCAAGCGACTTCTTTCAAACCTACACAAACCTCCTAATTATTTTAACACAGGGCCTCGCAAACTTCAAATCCTGCATACTCGCTTAAGACTTGGCTGTAGTTCCTTAAATGATGATCTTTTCCGAAAAAATATTTCCGAATCAAACACATGCGCCTGTGGTCAAACAGAATCAGTGTGTCATTTTCTTCTAAACTGTCCTTTGTATCAAACATATGCGAGATATTCTCTATAGGAACATCATACAACTGGATAGATCCCTGATCATAACTCACACTCTGCTATTGCATGGTTCAAATTCCCTTTCAAACAACCAAAACTTAGAGCTTTTCAAGTATGTATACCTTTATATTGATTCTACGAAACGATTTATATAATGTCTGACTGCTACTACTATGTTGCTTATATTCTTTTCTTGTCCTTATCTTTATTTGTTTAATGTCCTTTTTGTGTTTTTTTCTTTAGTTGTTTTCTGTAGTTTTTTACTTAATTTTTGTCAAAACTTACTAAAATCTTGTCCTTACCATTAACATTTCATTTTTCTTTTTCAATCTTATCAAATGTGTTTTTTTTTTGGTAACTTGTTAATTACAACCACCACAGACATTGAAGATTGTTATTGTTAGATAATGGCTTCTATAAGCTTCTGCTTTCGGCCAAAATCTATAATTATTGTTGCGAGCCGCTTCTGATGAAATTATCTTTGGTAGCGCTCAATCATGCGTCTCGCTGATGAAAATCAAATGTTATTAAACGGACAATATGCGATCACTTTATGTGTTGAGCCAACGTATCTGCTGGCTTTCGTATGACAATATTTGCTGTTCAACGTAGATCAAGCTCTCTTTAAAATGGGGGAACTTTATAATACTCTCTTTGATGAGGGCCGTACATGCATTGTATACATAGGTGAACGCTCATAGGCTGTTTAAGACGGACACATGGACGGACATAGAGGATCACAATATCCCTATAGCTCGATGCTGATAGGGTGACTCCGCATTAAAATAAAGATAGGACTTGTTTATAGACTGGTTTATAGAAGAATCCTTGTTAATATAATAAATAAATAAATACGCTTTCAAGTTTTCTATGATTTTAATTTTCCGAGCGCCTCAACAATATTTCTTGAACAAAATTATGCAATAAATCAAACGACAGAATACGAAGCTCGAGATAAAATTCAATCACGAAATGTTATTAAACGTTCGTAAAATTTCTGTGTGTGGGGAGGTGTCGGTGACGGAATGAATGAAATATCTTTAGAAAAAATAGAAAAACTACTGAATAAGATCTATATAAATCTAGACAAAGACAATGATACTTAGATCTTTAAACTATATTCTAAGTTTAAATCTTTACAAAGAATAAAAATTAATCAGCGTTTTATGTAAACTTAAGAATTACCGCTGATTCTCGAATGATCAAAATACAAATGCTAAGTTTTAAATGCGAAACATTTACTTTTATTATTTAAGAAATTTAATAAACCTTTTTTTAAGAAATAGATTTTAAACTAAATTTACCAAAGTATGTAGCTCTGAATTTAGTATTACTTGAACGATAAAATGTACGGAAACTGAATAGATTTCTTGTTTGGTAGTTGCGGAGTGAAGATCCCACAGTAAAACAACGCTTAAATACCAAGAATTTCCCACACTACCAACACTGTAGGAACTTGTGGGAAAAATACTCGAAAGGAGTTTTTATCGGATCCCACACCTCCCACACTAAAAGTTATTTCAATAAACAACATAAAAATAATATTAAACATGCGTAATAAATAATCGTAGAACATTTATAATAATGCAAACTTTGTTTAGGTAACATAATAAGGTAGCGGGGTACGTGTGGTGCAGAAAAACTTATTGGCTATGAAAATTATAAAATCCTACAAATCCTTACGGACATCAGATTGTAAAACAACAAAAATGATGACGTCATAAATCAAATACAGTGATGACGTCACGAAAGCTAACATACAAGATGGCGGAAATTTTATTACTAGAGTGATAAACAAACATTGATAAAACATGAATACAATATCTCTGGAGTCATTTAACGGTAAAATACTTGATAAAAATGAAATAGAAGTTACAGTTAAACGTATTTGGATACTCAAATATTACAGTTTGATTCTTATAGTAAGTATATATAACGTAAACAAAGGGTAATTAACGGTAAAAAAAATGCTTATTTAGCGGTGCACCACACTACCCCCTCCTTAGCTGGGCAAAGTTCCAACTGCCTAGCTCAAAATTTGATTACATATAAACAATTAATGATAATGACTGACAAATCACCCTTTAATATATTCGGTATCTTAAATTGTATACAGTTCTTTATAAGTTAATATTAATGTTTATTCAACTACTTATTTAAATAAGAAATCAGTCTCTACACCAAGAAAGGTTGATTTATATTACAGTCTATGTTTTTTCCTCTTTTTACTCACTTAGTACCTATAACCTCTGTTCCAGTCATTTCTCCTCCAACTTTCCACCCTATGATTATCATATCTTCTGTCTCTCCTGTCCAATCCCCGGTCTGCTAAAACTCGTTCCCCACGATAACCTCTCTCTTCTCCCTCTACAAACTTACAATCCAATCTATTCTCCTTTTGTTCAGTTTCCCTTGGCTTTCTCTTATCATTCTCTTGTCTTACTATACCCTTTTCTTCATTTCTATCACTTTCGCCTCCTTTCCTTTCAACTCCTTTATCTTTTTTCAGTTCTGCTACTTCTTTCCTTAACTCGTCTACAGTCCTTTGCAATTTGTTGATCATCTCTGCATTCGAAATAATCTGCCCTCCTATGATGTTACCTGTTTCTTTCACTAAATTGCACATTATCTTACAAAATTTCCTCTCACGTTCATCAGTTTCGCTAGCCTCGGAACTGCTAGCATCTGAACTGGAGTCAGAGCTAGAAGATGATGATGATGATCGGCTTCGCTTCAATGAACGTCTCACTCTTCTCTTCGCCCGCGACCTACCTTCTGACTTCAACTCCACTTTCTTAATTTCCTGAATTTCATTCCTTTTAACATTTTTATCATCCCTTATATCTTCTTCCTTTCTGTTTCCTCCTTCAAATGCTTCACTTTCTTCTACCTCATTTACATTCTCTTCCTCTTCATTCCACTCTTCAAACTTCTTCTTTTCCTCTGCGCGATCCTCCCTCCTTCTTACTATTCTCAGGTCTAGTGGCGACTCCTCTACGTATATCTTTTCCTCGACTATCTTACTTTCCCTCTCTTTACCTACAGTCAAATCCAATACACCTATCTCATCAAACTTCACTTCACCAATAACTTTCTCATCTTCTCTATCTTTTACATCATTCTCACTATCTTGAATACTTTCAACAGCCATCTCTGTTTCCTCTTCCTCACCTAAGTAGAAGGGGAGCTTTGGGCTTTCCATCCCAAACACAATATCCGCCTCCTCCATTGCCTTTTTTATAATGTTTGTCTCTTCTTTCGGTGTTTCTTTCTTCTCCCACCATGCCCTACTTTCTTCTTTCGTCAACAGTTCAAGGTCCTTATCCGAAATTACATAAGGGTTAAGGGAGCAGACAAGAAAGGGTCTAGAGTGCTTGATACCCTTCTCAATCATGACGTTGCGATGCCTCGCGTAAGTATTCACATGCTGGAAAAGCCCTTCTCTAGTTCTACTGCGGAAAAGACATAGCCTACACCAGTAAGGTTGTTCGTCATTCGACACGTGATATTTGAAGATGTGATCTTCCAACCTTTGCTTGGTATTAATCTCGGTTTTTCCCTTCTTGTGACAATGTCTACATCGGTACGCCCTTCCGCGATGCGTCGCCTTGTCCATGTTGTATACTGCAAAATACCAAACAGTGAACAAATTAAGTAAAGCGATTAGTACTGGACAAAATTTGTCGCCGACACCATCACACAGAATACTTCTCGCGCTTCGTTGTCATTTTTCGGAACTTCATTTTGTCGAACTACAATTACTCGTACAAATGTAAGCTGCGCAAGGGTTCTCTATCGGAAAACTTCCGTGTCTGTAATAATTATCGTCTTCTTGAAACGCACCTCTCGATTTAATTTAAATCACCGCAAAGAAATACTGGACGACTAATGGCTAGACTCGCTAAGTACTATCAGCGTCAACAAATATAATATTCCGCTGGAAATTCGACATAGTTCATATATGTGAACTCTCAAAAAAATTGAAGATTATACAATTGTCTGAAATGCAATTTCACTGCATGTTATTTAACTGATTTTATTATTATTATTATTAAAAGCTATAAGGTTGGAGGACTAACAAACAAACCAATTCATCTATACACATATACATATGTTTATTATTAATATATTCACTCATTTATTAATACATTTTATTTAATTTATTTTCAGCGCCTGCAGCTAATCCTGAGAATGCAGTTTTGATAGTGCCTTCTTAATCCATGTTGGTGTTTGGTTCCCCTCATAGGGTTTCAGTTTATTATGATGTACTACCTTCTCTTTCCCTTGTTTATCGAGCTGTAATATGTAGTTAATATCAGATATTTTCTTTCTTATCATAAAGGGTCCATCGTAAGTTGGTTCTAATTTGTGGCTTATACCAACCTTTTTATTTTCTAGTAAACACCATACGGCGTCGCCTTCGGAATAGTAGTTTACCATTAACTTTGTATCATATATTTCTTTCGTTCTACTTGCTGATTCTCCTATGTGTTTTCTTGCTATTTCATGAGCATGTCGCATTTTGTCTCTCAGTTCGTCGACATATTCACCATAAGAAGTTATCTTGTCGCCTCGAACTGTCGTACTACCATAAACAAGTTCAGCTGGCAATCTGATTTCTCGTCCCATAGTCAGGAGATTTGGACTAACTTTAGTGGTTTCGTTTGGTGTCGCTCTGTACGCTCCAGCGAGACAACCTAGATTGAGGTCCCAATTTTCTTGTTCACCACAGAGGTATGCCTTGATCATTTTTATTAATGTTGCATTATATTTTTCACAAACTCCATTACATCTGGGATTCTTAGAGCTCGTGCGTGTCTTCTTAATTTCTAACATCCTACACAGCTCTTTAAAAACCTTACTTTCGTAATTTCTGCCTTGATCGCTATGTATACTGAGAGGGCACCCCCAACGCGCTATAAACTCATTCAAAATTTTTGTAGCACATACTTCTGCTGTTTGATCGGGCACTGGTATCACCTCTACAAATTTTGTAAAGTGATCTGTCAAGACTAAAATATATCGGTTGCCTCTCGGCGTAATTGGAAGTGGTCCGACATAGTCAGTCGCTAATATATCCCATGGTTCACCAGCCTTCAGTGATCCTATAGGGGCCTTAGGGGTTTTCAACGGCCTCTTATTTCTAGCGCATATATCGCATTGTTTAATAAAAAGGTTAACTTCTTCTTTTAGGTTAAACCAGTAGAAGCGTTGTAATAATTTCTCTTTTGTTTTCTTTGTTCCCATATGTCCTGATAATAATGAATTGTGCATTTGGTACATGACATCCCTTTTCATAAGTTCAGGAATAATGACCTGCTTGAAGTCTCCTGTTCCATCCTTCTTCTTAAATGATTTCATCAATATCCCATCTTGAATGAATAACAGGTCCCAGTATATCCAATAATGCCGAGTTGCCGCGCTTGCCATATGCATATCCTGACTTGTCGGCCTTTTATTTTCCTCTTTTGCATATAATATTGGGCTGATATCAGCATCCTTTAATTGTGCCATTCTCATACTGCTTTCAACTTTCACCTCTAGGTCTTGACCACCCTTGTCACCAGTACTTGTTGAAGCCTTTTGCCCATCGATAATTTCAATGGCATTTATTGACATATCTGATTTTACGTTAACTTCATCATCGCACGTTGCCTGTTCCACTACATCCTCATTTGAATATTCATTCGAACCTACCCACATCATATCATCAGCCCTTTTTCTACATTTTTTACATGGTCCGCATTTTAATGATTCACATGTGTCGATTTTAGAGCATTCACAGTCTTTTGGATTTTCGCATCTCGATAGTGCGTCACAATGACCTTGTTTTACTCCGGGCCTGTACTCTATCGAGAAGTCGTACTGCGATAAAATTTCTATCCATCGTGCGATTTTGCCTCTTGGTTCCCTTAAACGGAACAACCAAACCAATGCTTGATGATCACTTCTTACCCTAAATCTCCTACCTAACAAGTATTGTCTGAAATATTCGATGAAATACCTTACGGCGAGTAATTCCTTTTCGGTTATGCAATAATTAGACTCCGCTTTGTTTAAGGACCTGCTTGCATACGCGATAACGCGTTCACGTCCCTCTTGCATTTGTATGAGGACTGCTCCAATACCTGTGTCACATCCATCGACATCTAGAATAAATTCTCCTCCTTCATTTTGCGGGTATCCCATGACTTCTGAACCTACAAGTGCTGCCTTTATATCCTCAAATGACTTTTCACAGTCCTCAGTCCATATGAATTTCTTTCCTTTCTTTGTTAAATCTATTAAGGGCCTTGCCATTTGTGCATAATTTCTGATGAATCTTCGAAAGTATGATCCTAATGCGACAAAACTTTTAACTTGTTTAGCCGTGTTTGGCCTCGGCCATGCAAGAACCTTCGCAATATTATCTCGATTCGGTCGTACTCCTTCACCCGATACTATGTGACCTAGAAAAACTACTTCTTTCTGCAGCATTTCACATTTCTCTGGTTTCAACTTCAATCCAGCCGCTTCGATTCTTTCTAATACTTGTTCCACTCTTTGGAGATGTTCATCAAATGTTGACCCAAATACAATTATATCATCTATATATATGAGACATATTTCCCATTGCAATCCTTGTAATGCCAGTTCCATGGTTCGCTGGAATGTACTGGCTGAATTATTTAGGCCGAAAGGCATCCTGGTCATTTCGTAATGACCGTACTTGCAAGCAAATGCACTTTTCGGAATGTCTTCTTCTCTGAGGGGAATTTGGAAATATCCGCTTGTCAGATCGAAAGTCGAAAATAGACATGAATTTGATACGGCATCTAAGCAATCTTGAATACGCGGCATTGGAAATCCATCAGGTTTTACTAATTCGTTTACACGCCTGTAATCAACACATGGTCTAACAGCTCCTGATTTTTTCTTAACAAGAACAATCGGCGAAGCCCATGGTGAAGTGCTTTTCCTTATAACTCCCTTTGCCAGCAGATCATCTATTGCCTTCTTTTCCTCGGCAGCATAGGCCAGAGGGACTCTACGTGGAGGTTGTTTAATGGGTGGTGCATCTCCAGTATTAATAGAATGCTCCGTAAGATCTGTTAGGCCTATGTCCCATTCATCTTTAGAAAAAGACCTTTCATATTTATTTAAAAGCTTGGCAAGTGCATTGATTTCTTGAACCGTTCTATTTTTACTGGCCCTGTTAAAAAGGTCTTGTAAATGTGTAGGCACTCTTATGCTTTCCTTAGCTTCAATATTGGTGCTGCACAAAATTTTCTGTTTGTCGTCATTAAATTGTAGTCGTCGGACTGAACAATTATCAGTCATGTCTCCGCTTCCTTCTGTGTTTGTTATAACTTTTGCGATGTCTTCAATCTTTTCGGCGTTGCCCATAACTGTGTCTTGTTTTATTGTTATTGTCTCTCTAAAAGGGTTTAACAACCGCACTTTTTGTGTCGGTGAACTATTCAAATCAACTAAGGTTGCTGCCATTTTCAAAGGGTACGTCTCTTCAAAATGCTCTGTAGGCTCTATTATATAGCTTGCACATTCATCAGAATCATCACTTTCACTTCGCCCTACAAATACGTCTACAACCGCTTCGGATAATCCTGGAATCACAAAATCATCTGCTGCTATGACCTTTCTTATATTTTCAGGCAGACCTACTTGTGAACACCGTATACTATGTTTATCCAGCATAATGATACCCTTACTGAGCATAATATCTGCTGGACCGTTCTTTCCATTTTGTAATACATCTACACCTAGTAAACATTCATCTTCAATATCCGCTACTATCATTTCGCAATTCAACTTCAAATTGTCTAACTTCAGATTAAATGCTGCTTTGCCCAACTCATTTAAAGGATAACCCCCTGCACCTGATAAACAAGACGATTTCTTTAATATCGGTTTCTTATCTTCCCTCAGTTTATTATATACTCTAGCAGAAAGAACCGTCGCTGACGCTCCCGTGTCAGCTGTGAAAGTGACTGGTATGCCTTCAACATCTCCTCTAATATATACACCAGGACATAAATCTCGTTTTCTCCTAATGGGTCTATTTCTTGTATCGTTATCTTGTTGTTGTGGTTGTTCATGACTGATATATTTTTCTGAACTTTCGGAATTTTGGCCTTTCGCATCTATTGGGACCGTTCTTTGGCCACGAGAGCCGGTCCTTTGAAGTTTAAAGGATTGCTCTCAGCATTCCTATTATGATAAACAGTCGGCTGGTTAGTTCTGTATCTTTGTTGTGTGTTAAGCTCTGAAGCCCCTACCCTTCTATTTTGTCTACATTCTCTGGCCATGTGTCCCTGCTTTCCACAGTTGTAACATACTATTGATTTCGACCTTGAATTGTTGTTTTGACTTGTGTTATTGTTTGCTGTTTCTTTAAGTTTGTTTATTTCCTGAAGAATTTGTTCCAATACTTTCCCTGTTTTGTCTTCTACACTTGAAGTTTGATTTTCATTCTTTTTAATATCTCTCTGAATATCTGTTCTATCTCTATTTTCACTTTCTTTCTGTCTGCTGTTTCCTTTTCGAAGTTGTCTTATTTCCGATACTTTGTCATCATCCTCATCCAAAATATAGCTTTCGTTACTGAGGCATCTTGTCATCCTCTTGTTTCTCATATCAGCTTCTTCGCGTTTACTGCTCATCTTAGTCTGTATGAAATTCGCGACATGGAATACAGCTTCGTCTATATCTACAGGCTCCTTTTGATATTCGACAGCAAATCTAACATCCTCATCCCATAACCCATCTAAAAATTTCCGCACTAAGTCTTCTTGTCTTGTTTTTCTATCCCTATAACCGTGAGCCTTGTCGTACAACATCTTTAATTCAGAAGCATATTCTTCTGCTGATTCACCTCTCTTCTGATTTCTCCTACTAAATTTTGCTGATACACCATTGAAAGTATGAATCACCCTAAATCTCTTGAGCTCTTTAATTTAACATCCATATTTCTATTATCCTCCTTGTGAAGCTGCCGAACACAAATTGGACCAGCGACCCTTGTTAAGCGAAGGAGAAAGGGTGTCGAGTTTCTCCTCATTATCCCAATTATATCTCTTTGCTATAGCTTCAAAACGACTTATCCACACATCCCATTCATCTTTCCCATCAAATGGAGTAATGGCTAAATTCACCGGTTGTTTTCTAAGGTACCTATCCATATTCCTACCTTGATGATTAAAATTTCGCCTTTCTTCTGTTAATCCTGCAAATTCATAATTTGGCTGCGTATGTCGACGTAAGTTCCTGTTGTCACCGTCACCGATGTTTTCCTCCGTGTTATGTTGTATTATTGTGGGTACTTGACATCGTGAAAAACGTTCACGTGGAGCACGGCAGTTATCATTATAACTCTGCGGTAAAGGTTCATAAATGTATCTAGCATCCCTCTGGGATCTAGAATTATTTTCATACTGGTGTTCCATACTTATATTTCTGTTACTAGGGTATTTATACCTTGTATTTGTATCTATATGTGTGTTTTGTTCATTAAACTGATTTCCGATCGAGTCATGTGTATTTGAATAAACAACATCGGACTCGTGACGACCGTTGATATTCCTCTCATTTTGTTTTGACATAAGGATCATCATTTGTTTGAGTACGTTAGTTATTTCTGTTTGCTGTTCTTTTATATCATTCATGCATTCATTTATAGGACTATTACTATGTTGGTCTTCCATATCTTGTATGCTTAGTGATTCCGATCTAAAATCTTCATTTTTATTTTCGCTGATATTACTTTGCGTTTCGTCCCGGTTTAGTAACGGGTAACAGTTTTTATCATTGCTTCTGTCGGCTGAATAGCACGATAAATTATTGCCACGTGGCTGTTGAGATATATCGTCTATACAAGTTCTTTGTAAATCGTTTGATGCAGACTCGTTGTCTAAAATATCGCGTCCACACTCGGTTCTTAACGGCGAACTTCTCTCTTTGTAATTGAATATTATTTCCGTTTCGCTATTTTCCAAGTCCGTCATCCTGCAGTTAATAGATTATATACCGATGTACAATTATATTTTTTTTCTCTCTCTCTCAAATGTTAATCTAGAAGATCTATCTTATGACGAAGGTCCGTATCTCTGGATCCGCAATAAGTAAACGGATCCCACCGCTGCCACCACAAAATGTTGCGAGCCGCTTCTGATGAAATTATCTTTGGTAGCGCTCAATCATGCGTCTCGCTGATGAAAATCAAATGTTATTAAACGGACAATATGCGATCACTTTATGTGTTGAGCCAACGTATCTGCTGGCTTTCATATGACAATATTTGCTGTTCAACGTAGATCTAGCTCTCTTTAAAATGGGGGAACTTTATTATACTCTCTTTGATGAGGGCCGTACATGCATTGTATACATAGGTGAACGCTCATAGGCTGTTTAAGACGGACACATGGACGGACATAGAGGATCACAATATCCCTATAGCTCGATGCTGATAGGGTGACTCCGCATTAAAATAAAGATAGGACTTGTTTATAGACTGGTTTATAGAAGAACCCTTGTTAATATAATAAATAAATAAATACGCTTTCAAGTTTTCTATGATTTTAATTTTCCGAGCGCCTCAACAATATTTCTTGAACAAAATTATGCAATAAATCAAACGACAGAATACGAAGCTCGAGATAAATTCAATCACGAAATGTTATTAAACGTTCGTAAAATTTCTGTGTGTGGGGAGGTGTCGGTGACGGAATGAATGAAATATCTTAAGAAAAAATAGAAAAAGCTACTGAATAAGATCTATATAAATCTAGACAAAGACAATGATACTTAGATCTTTAAACTATATTCTAAGTTTAAATCTTTACAAAGAATAAAAATTAATCAGCGTTTTATGTAAACTTAAGAATTACCGCTGATTCTCGAATGATCAAAATACAAATGCTAAGTTTTAAATGCGAAACATTTACTTTTATTATTTAAGAAATTTAATAAACCTTTTTTTTAAGAAATAAACTTTAAACTAAATTTACCAAAGTATGTAGTTCTGAATTTAGTATTACTTGAACGATAAAATGTACGGAAACTGAATAGATTTCTTGTTTGGTAGTTGCGGAGTGAAGATCCCACAGTAAAACAACGCTTAAATACCAAGAATTTCCCACAGTACCAACACTGTAGGAACTTGTGGGAAAAATACTCGAAAGGAGTTTTTATCGGATCCCACACCTCCCACACTAAAAGTTATTTCAATAAACAACATAAAAATAATATTAAACATGCGTAATAAATAATCGTAGAACATTTATAATAATGCAAACTTTGTTTAAGTAACATAATAAGGTAGCGGGGTACGTGTGGTGCGGAAAAACTTATTGGCGAATAAAAATTATAAAATCCTACAAATCCTTACGGACATCAGATTGTAAAACAACAAAAATGATGACGTCATAAATCAAATACAGTGATGACGTCACGAAAGCTAACATACAAGATGGCGGAAATTTTATTACTAGAGTGATAAACCAACATTGATAAAACATGAATACAATATATCTGGAGTCATTTAACGGTAAAATACTTGATAAAAATGAAATAGAAGTTACAGTTAAACGTATTTGGATACTCAAATATCACAGTTTGATTCTTATAGTAAGTATAGATAACGTAAACAAAGGGTAATTAACGGTAAAAAAAATGCTTATTTAGCGGTGCACCACACTATTGTTATGTTGTTATTTACACATGTACAAATATTCTAAATAAAATATGTTTAAACCAACCAACAAAAATATAAATCACAAATATACGCTACAAATTTTCCTGTTATCTGATAACATGTTTTCAAGTATTTGATAATGTATTTATGTCTGTCTTTGTGAAACACTTTGAACGACGATCATGTTACTTAGGACAAATCAATACTACATAATATTTATACCCTTGACTTGAATCGCTATTTAAAGTTCCGGTGTAAAATAAAATAAATGTTTAATTCACAACTTGTTAGATCATATGATGCTGTTACCTGTTGTAATGGAATATTAATATAGATAATAGAATATACACAAAGCCTCAACACATTCATTCAATTAACAAATGTACATGTAGCTAATTAGTTTGATAATAAATCAAAATAAACTGAGTAGATCTAACTATTAAATTTCGCTTAACATATTTTATGCGCATTTCATCAATTAAACTTTCAAGTGTTTATACCAATTAAATATACAATAGAGAAAGTAAGAATCCCTAAAGAAAGCACAATACGGCAAAATTGAAAATGTTGCAGGCTCGGTTTGATTGAGCCTGTTCATGGACGGTACTGTCAAGTGCAAACTACCGTCCACGCCCCCTAGCACCGGCTTAAGCAGAATTCAACATTTAACATAAACATAATTACATAATATAACAAATAAAACATATTACAAAACATAATTACCTTAAGACAGCGTTTTATTCTATCATAAATGAGCATTATACACTCAGTGTAGGGCTTTTTAACAAGGATTTTAACAACAGCCTATTTTACTTCCTTTTAAGTTTTGAAAGCTTGTTTAATTTCCGTTCGTTCCGGACCGTAGAGTAAAGGAGAGAATTTTTTTAATTTGTATTTTACAGTAGGAGAGGTAGGATTCTCGATAAATGGACTTCAATCAGGAGTTTCTTCAAATGAGGACTGTCTTTGGGCACTTTATTTATGGAATAGAAATTTGTCCTTATTATAATTAACGTTTATAACAAAAATTCATCGCTTCCTATGTGAAAATACATAATATTTTCTCATGTATATTAGAAACATACATGTGAAGATGTTTCAAACGAGCAGTAATATAAAGAATTTATCATATTTGAGAAAAGACGTTGTAGCAACAACTCATTTCCTCTGTTTATTGAGGTCAAAATAATTGAAATTAAGATATTGGCAGACTGGAATTAAATGTCCATCATAATGAAAAGGATCATGACTCTATATAGATCATCCAAAGAACTATTGTTAGACAAGGTTACTTATAATACATATGTCAATTAGTCATATTCCGTGTCAAAGTTCAATCACATATGCAAAACATGCAGGGTGACATTAAGAAGGAAACGGGTGAAGTCATAGGTCATGCAATGTCTATTCTTCAACAAACTAAAATCTAGCAATACACAAGTGAGTCAACATTCAAGGTTAACAAAAGTCTACTGGTAACACACATTTTGTGCATTTTTAATAAAAAATAAATGAAAAGATACGGTAAAAAAATAAATAAATAAGATAAAATTATTGCCATGGATACAGAGCAAATAAGCCAATTTTGGAAATTCGAGGAACTAGAACACTGTTAATGTGATTCAAATAAAACAAACGCTACAGACTGATTTGACGACGGACGCATGCGCAGTGCTATAGCCACGCCATAAGAAAGTCCGAAAAATATTTTACTTTTAGAACGCCTTTGGTGCGCTCTAGAAGATAATGCCATTTCAATATGTATTCGACTGTTAGAAAACTCTTTCTTTTTCGTATCATAAAATTAATATTTAAATTGTCTCTTATGAACCCCGTATCAATATCAAATTACATAGTACTGATGGGCTGAGTACATGTATCTGTTTATTAATTAATTCGCCGTAAACAGATGCATTATTTTTAAAAACAATACTGTTAGTCTGATAATAATATGCAATTGTAAATATGAGATTTTGGTCATTTCTTCAGGTTTTGCGTTTTATTTTAAAAAAGACTGGCAAACACTTCTGTTTTATATACAGCTAGTGCAATAGATATGTAAGATAACATTAAGACAACACATTATCAATTTGTGAGGAAAGTACATTTCTTGAAAAGACAGACTTATAATTTTAAAAATAATGTCACTCCAGTATTAAAACAATGATACAATACGATTGTCAGTCTACCTATGTGAGATACTTTGCCTCTGTATCATTTAATAGGGCCTTAAATTGTATCATAAGTGAAGCCACAGTGTGATATCTTATAAATGCCTATGTGTATAATACAGGGCCTCTTTATGATTTGTAAGGCCTCCGTGTGATTTATTATATCTCTGTGTGTTATAGACTCAAAATCAAACCGAGTCTGCACTTTTCATGTAATTTTGTTGTGATTGGATCACTTTGTTTCCAGATTTTTATACTTCTTAACAGCATGTGTCAAGTGCTGTGTGGCAGATGTAAAAAGTTGCACCCGTAATTCACTTCAGTGTTGATATATTTTTCTGGATCTTCGGAATCATTGATGCCAGCACTATTAAGTGTTGAGAATTGAGTACCGCTCAAGCCGGTGCTAGGGGGCGTGAAGGATGTTGCACTTATTCATTATCCCTCATTTACAGACTCAATCAAACGGTGTCTGCAATTTTCATGTAATTTTGTTGTGATTGATGCTTCCGACGAATCACTTTGTTTCCAGACTTTTATAACAGGCCTCTTTATAATTTGTAAGGCCTCTGTGTGATGTATTAGACCTTCTCTGTGTGATACACTATAAGTCTCTGCGATATATAAGGCCTCTGTATGTATGATATAGGCCTCTGTGTGATATACTAAATCTGTGTAATATATTAGGCCTCTACATGATATATTAAACCTCTGTATGATATATTAGGCGGCCTCTGTGCAACATATTAGGCATCTGTGTGATATTTTAGACCTCTGTATGATATATTAGGCCTCTGTGTGATATATTAGGCATTTGTATTATATATTAGACCTCTGTGTGATATACTAGATCTGTGCGATATATTAGGCCACTGCATGATACACTAGATCTGTGCCACAAATTAGGCATCTGTATGATATATTAGCTATATAGACCTCTGTATGATATATTAGGCGGCCTCTGTGCAACATATTAGGCATCTGTGTGATATTTTAGACCTCTGTATGATATATTAGGCATCTGTATGATTTATTAAGCCTCTGTGTGATATAATAGATCTGTATGATATATTAGGCATCTGTGTGATATATTAGGCATCTGTATGACATATAAGATCTCTGTATGATGTATTAAGCATCTGTATGATATATTAGGCCTCAGTGTGAAATAAAAGGCCACTGTGTGATATACCAGATATGTATGATATATTAAGCCTCTGTTTGATTAGAAAGGCCTCTGTGTGATATATTAGACCTCTGTGTGAAATATAGGGCTCTGTATGATATATTAGGCCTTTGTGTGATATAGTAGGCCTTTGTGTGATATATTAGACCTCTGTGTGATATATAAGGCCTCTGTATGATTTACTAGGCCTCTGTGTGATATATTAAGCATTTGTACGATATATTAGGCCTCAGTGTGATATATTAGGCATCTGTGTGATATATTAGGGCTCTGTGTGACATATCTTCTGGATAATATACCATGCCTCGTACGCATTAATCTAAACATTAATCTATCTTGTATCAAATAACCTTGAGACCTGTGAAAAAAATCTTAACTTATTCGGTCCTGAAATCGATATTTAAAAAAAATGTTTAAATATACATGTAATTAAGTTATAAAGATCTAGTATTCATATTTTTAATCAAAGTGCATGTGCTGAACATTAACAAAAAAGGAGCTGTGTAAATAAAAAAAAAACAATTTAAAAAAAGAAAGAAAAAAAACAACAATGAAGGTCATATGCTAAAAAACTTATATCATTATACATGTAGGTCATATAAATTTTTCGAAAAATGCTTCCTTTTTTACTGCATGTTATTTTTAACGTAAGATAACGGAAAATGCAGAGGGGTTCCGATTCAAATGCTGTACAGCGTAAAAGGCCGAGGTGAGCAGATTGCATAATCTACTTTCGGTTTTGCAGTTTTCAGAAAATTTGCAAAGAAAATAGAGAAAATCAACGGACAGGTAAATTGTCAATATAGTTCAGATTTCCATTTTATTCTGTAATGAACTAGTGAATGCTATGTTTAACAATATAAATGGATTATTTATGTACTTTAATGGGTAAGATATAATAATAAGTAAGATTCTCGACTACTTTCGGTTTTGATATAACATTTATTTTGGAAATTTGTCGTCAAACACTTTGGTCCAAAATGATATTTTAATGATAAATTAATTACTTTTTTGTAGTATATGTTTCCCAAATATTATCAAGAATATATAATTTATAATTTTATATGTATGTATGGGTGTGCCTGAAAAATAATTCTTGAATATATATTGGGCAGTGTCTGAGTGTGTATTATATGGGTATTATTTAATTTATTTGATGATTATTTAAGGACTCTCAGGTGCCAGTAAGCATAAAAACTTTAATGTGTCAGAAATCATAAGGACTCTCAGGTGCCAGTAATCATAAGATTTCCCAGGTTACAGTAATCAATAGGACTATCAGGTGCCAGTTATCATATGAACTCTCAGGTGCCAGTAATCATAAGGACTCTCAGGTGCCAGTTATCATATGAACTCTTAGGTGTTAGCAATCATAAGAACTCTCAAGTGCTAGAAATCATAAGGACTCTCATTGGTCCCAGTAATCATAAGGACTCTCAGGTGTCAGTAATCATAAGAACTCTCAGGTGTCAGTAATCATAAGGACTCTCAGGTGTCAGTAATCACAAGGACTCTCAGGTGTCAGTAATCATAAGAACTCTCAGGTGACAGTAATCATAAGAACTCTCAGGTGCCAGTAATCATAAGGACTCTCAGGTGCCAGTAAGCATAAGGACTCTCAGGTGTCAGTAATCATAAGGACTCTCAGTTACCAGTAATCATAAGGACTCTCAAGTACCAGTAATCAATAAGAACTCTCTCAGGTGTCAGTAATCATAAGGACTCTCAGGTGCCAGTTATCATAAGGACTCTCAGGTACCAGTAATCATAAGAACTCTCAGGTGCCAGTAATCATATGAACTCTCAGGTGTCAGTAATCATAAGGACTCTCAGGTGCCAGTAATCATAAGGACTCTCAGTTGCCAGTAATCATAAGGACTCTCAGGTACCAGTAATCATAAGAACTCTGAGGTCCCAGTCATCATAAGGACTCTCAGGTGCCAGTAATTATGAAACTCTCAGGTGCCTGTAATCATAAGAACTGTCAGGTCCCTTTCATCATAAGGACTCTCAGGTACCAGTAATCATAAGAACTCTCAGGTACCAGTAATCATATGAACTCTCAGATGCCAGTAATGATAAGGACTCTCAGGTGCCAGTAATCACAAGGACTCTCAGGTGCCAGTTATCATAAGGACTCTCAGGTGCCAGTAATCATAAGGACTCTCAGGTGTCAGTAATCATAAGGACTCTCAGGTACCAGTAATCATAAAGACTCTCAGGTACCAGTTATCATAAGGACTCTCAGGTGCCAGTAATTATGAAACTCTCAGGTGCCTGTAATCATAAGAACTGTCAGGTCCCTTTCATCATAAGGACTCTCAGGTACCAGTAATCATAAGAACTCTCAGGTACCAGTAATCATATTGAACTCTCAGATGCCAGTAATGATAAGGACTCTCAGGTGCCAGTAATCACAAGGACTCTCAGGTGCCAGTTATCATAAGGACTCTCAGGTGCCAGTAATCACAAGGACTCTCAGGTGCCAGTTATCATAAGGACTCTCAGGTGCCAGTTATCGTAAGGACTCTCAGGTGTCAGTAATCATAAGGACTCTCAGGTGCCAGTTATCATAAGGACTCTCAGGTGCCAGTTATCATAAGGACTCTCAGGTGTCAGTAATCATAAGGACTCACACTGGTCCCAGTAATCATAAGGACTCTCAGGTGCCAGTAATCACAAGGACTCTCAGGTGCCAGTTATCATAAGGACTCTCAGGTGCCCAGTAATCACAAGGACTCTCAGGTGCCAGTTATCATAAGGACTCTCAGGTGCCAGTTATCATAAGGACTCTCAGGTGTCAGTAATCATAAGGACTCACACACTGGTCCCAGTAATTATAAGGACTCTCAGGTGCCAGTAATCACAAGGACTCTCAGGTGCCAGTTATCATAAGGACTCTCAGGTGCCAGTTATCATAAGGACTCTCAGGTGTCAGTAATCATAAGGACTCACACTGGTCCCAGTAATCATAAGGACTCATTCAGAACTGCCTCCGCTATTATCTATAGTAACCTCGGAAACAATACGGATTGAAAGTTGTTCTACCACGTGGTTTTAGATGTAAACAGAAACAGAGATAATGTAAAACGAATGTATATATTTGACATCCAAAAGAAAAGAAATGTCTCTTTCATTGAAAATATGTCTGACAACAATTTGTAATTTAAATATGCACACTGATGTACAATTTTAAACAAAACCGACTAAATGTCAACAGGTTGGTTTTTTGTACTTCGGTTTCTACAACCATAATAATAAATACATAAATAATGTATTGTGTCCTTTTGTACCTATGAATTCACTTATTTTAGATGAACTTTTACTACATACACAACTGTATATTGGAAATAAACTTTTCAACAACTCCCAGCATAAAATTACTATTTGTTTACATGTTTAGTTTCTTAGCGTAGGTTTGACCGAAATACCGCATCCGTTCTGTGTATTCATACTATTGTGTTCGAGGTCCTTATCCGAAGACTGACGGAAAGGCCCGAGTAGTTGCGATTGCATAAGGACTCTCAGGTGCCAGTAATCAGGACAAATTAATTACAGGACCTTTTCCAGCTATTTTGGGGAACTTTAGCCTCTGCCATAAACTGGGAAAATCATTAGACATGGAAATTTGAGAATATTTCAGAAATTGAAAATCTACTGTATGCATGAGCTTTTAGTTTTTAATTTGTGTATGGTCATCATAACATGTAATTTTTAAGAAATTAGTTAAAACAGTTTACAGAAAGGATGTGGGCCATAATAAGTTACATTTATAATAGATGGTGTACTTTTTAGGATAATTTAAGGGGCCACAGCACTGTCATGCATGATTAAACTATAAAATGACATTAGCTGGTGAATGAATGATAAAAGAAGATAATAAAGGTTACCATTTAACTTTTTTCTATTAATTCGCAAAATCTACTGTAAACATGACAGCAGTTAGAGTGTTTGACCCCCAAAAAAAAAAGAAATTTTTTTTTTTTTTTTTCTTGCGGGTTTTTGTAGGGGAAAAAAAATTTTTTTTTTTTTTTGATTTTGGTTTTTTGGAATTTTAAGGAAGGGGGGGGAAAAGGGATGGAAAAAAGTTTTTTTTTTTTTTCCATTAGTCAGATAAAAGTATTTTTCATTAGAAGTAAATAAAGAAGAGAAGAATTTTTGAAAATTATCAATTAATTTTAGTTTGAAATATGTATTCACTGATTTTTTTCCCCATAAAATGGAGGCTTTTCCCCATAAAATGGAGGCTTTTTCAAATTTGTTGAAAGTGGATCTAAAACATTTTTAGAATTTCCCACAACCAGTTGAATTATTTAGGCATATATATTTTTGTCGAATATTCAATTGACATAATTATCTGATGTATATTATCATCTAAAAAAATGAAAATTTAGATCTAAATAGATTTGTTAGGGTGGTTGTGAAAAAGATTTGAAAAAAAAAATTATTGCCAAATTCAATAATACAACCATGATCAAAAAGGAAGTTATGTGATATTCTTATTCTTAACTTTTGAATTCACCTTATGAAAACAAACTGCACAAATACAGTGTTTTTTTTTGCCATATACATACATATTAGTGTCCCAGATAATTCAGGAGATAAAATGAAGTTTAAATCATATGACTGTTAAGTTATCTTTTATCAGGCTTAACCTTGTATATTATAATTTCAATGTCAGATAATGAATGATTGTTTTTACAGTCATCATAAGAAAGACATATTTCAAATCATATTTTAAATATTTTATGAAACAAATTTGTTAGTTTGTTGATTTATAATGGGTTAATTTAAACATTGTACTTAATTAGTTTTTAGTGAGATAGGAACATTTATATGTATTTATATTGTATTTTATTAAATTGGGTGGAACCAGTAAAATTGTTTGGTATAATCTTAAGTAATCTCATTCTTTTTGTTGAATTGTACTACCGGTAGTTAAAGTGAGAACCCCCACCCCCCTCATTGATAATGATGTTCCTAAAATATAAAAGACTGCTGAACATTACCGATCGGAAGGATATTTATAGATATTTTATCATATTTATTCGGGTTACAGGCCTATTGACTTTTCTGGTGGCGTTTTTTTATAAAATTGAAAACAAATGTGACAAAATGTTAAGTCACTTTGAATTTTACCTGAACACCAACCATTCCCTCTTGGATTGGCATAATGTCAATAATAAGAAATTGTTTGAACATGACCCTGTAGGATGGAATATAGTTTTTGAATCGTTTGTCTGTCCATCAGTCTGTCTGCCTTTTGTTCGGTTCATAACTTTATTATTCATGGATGAATTTAAAAAAAATATATTTGCATAAATGGCACATTGAGATGATGTGTCACATATAAGAATCAGGTAGAAAGCTTTCATCTAAGTGCATTAATGATCATATCAGGTGAAAACTTCTGCCATACCTGGATGGATATGCTGATGAAATGTGACACACTAAGACACAAAGAAATAGACTTTGGCACCTGAAAATACCAAATAGATCTCCATTTGCAAACTGGAAGGTTGCCAGATAACTATTGAGCCGGCAGTGTAATTTAAAACCCACACAAAATATAACATATTATTTTATAATACGCATGATATTATCTAGCCGTAATCTGGCTGTAAAAGCATATAATTAAAAGGGGCAAAAATGGTAAAGTCTATTTCTAAGATAACTTACATAATAATCATCAGATCATGATTAGAGATGATAAATACAAATGTAGATTATTTCATAGCATTTATTATAAAGGAAATAATTGCATTCTACAAAATAATTTCACATTTATACAAATGAGCCGTGTCATGACAAAACCAACATAATGGGTTTGCGACCAGTATGGATCCAGACCAGCCTGCACATCAGCGCAGTCTGATCGATCAGGAACCATGCTGTTCGCTTACCAACTCTTTTACAAGTGGAGAAACTGATAGCGAACAGCATGGATCCTGATCAGACTGCGCGGATGCGCAGGCTGGTCTGGATCCATGCTGGTCGCAAGCCCATCATGTTGGTTTTGTCGTGACATGGCTCAAATATGATTAAGCTGACTATTAGATGTGCTGAAAGAGTTATGCTTTAATGAACAATAATACTTTCAGAACAACAAAATCAATGTGTTAACAATTATTGATTAACATGGCATTCATTTTCTTGATCCCCACTTATCTTTGAATAAAAACATATCTGTGATCTTTATACTTTAAAGCAGCACGCCTCTAGATTTATGTTAATTTTCATGAAATTTTTTTAAAATATGTGTAAACGTACAATAATGTATAGTGACCAAAAGGAAGCAATTTACACCTAATTATTTGCATATACAACTCACGTAAATTACTAAAATGAGGTAAAAATGTGCAAAAAGCCCTGACTGCGTTAGTAACATAGTAGAAATATAGTAATAATATTGAAAAAAATAAGTCATTATCCACATATAACAAGTCAAAAATTACTTGAATCTTTAATATAATTTTACATTCCTTAAGTCTAACTAATATTTTTTTTAATTTCATTTTATTGAAATATTTTGGCTTATCTGGAGGCATGTAGCTTTAAATTTGACACATAATATTGACATTCTGTTAGTGAAATAATACAACTTTAAAAAACCCATCAAGATAAGGTATAATACACAAAACATTTTTATAATGTTTTTTGAATAAGCGTTGGATAATCTTGTGTATACCATCAGTGTGCATGCGCCTTACACATGTTAAAAGGTAACGAGTGATGATCCAGAATTACTGAGGATTTGTTTATAATTCTGATCAATTTCATGTTTTCTTCATTAAATTAAAAGCTGGCAATTCATTGATGTTTCATATATATAATTGCAAAATATTATTAATTTAATAGCATACATTATTGTCTCAGACTGCCTTATATAACCATGGAAACGCCTCAGTGGGGCAGCTCAAAATTTTTGTGTTGAAATGTTATATTATTATATAGAAGAATGTGCATAACCTTAAAGTTCTCTGTCGCTGAGGCGTTTGGAAAGACAATTAATGAGCTGTCACATGTGGTTTTGCAGCAATGTTAATGCCATTTTTTTTTTTACAAAACTCTAATTATTGATGAATTGATAATGTGTAAGATTATTTTAAGTGTTAATTACTTTATTTATTCAAAACTTATTTTTATAATGTTTGAAATTTAATAAATCAGTATGTCGACAGATTAATTTTTTTTCTAGAATTAGGAATAATTACTAGTACAAACAAAACTAAAACATTTTATTTTCTTTCGTACACTTTTTTATTTATTTTTTTTATTTTACATTTGATTTAATATTATGAAATTTTTTCTACTTAATGAAATGAAACATATCTTATGCCTTATAAACTTTAAGATTCGTTATGATTTTTCGATTTCCTCTCAAACACCAGTTCAATACTCAATTAGCTTTGAGTTGTTAGTACTGTGACTGACACATCTGTCATTTTTCAACAAAAGGACTCCTGATGGTATAAGGACTTAATTATTCACCCAATGCGTTATGGGTTATAAGGCATCAAACTTTGCAAACAACAGCAGATATATTGAAAACATTTTTGTATGTTTTTGACGTCACTGCTTTGTAATATGACGTCGTGACACCATTTTATAGGCTGTTCTGTGAATGTTTAGATATGCGTGTGGTGGTCATAATATGTTTAATTTATATAATTCTAATGTTTGATTGTAAAGAGGATATATAACACATTTAAATGTAGTGTTTGTTATTTGAACTTTTATTGAATTTATGGTTTAGATAATTTAACTGTGAGACATTATAAATCTCAATCATTGCAGGAAATAAAGAATACTGTGAGTTTGATGTTTTCTTACATATTTTTACAGGTATATAGGTGAACAGACTATAAGATGAGGTGCTCTGGCACCAATTGTGGGAAAGAGGGTGATGGTAAATTCTGTGAGGAGTGTGGAGGCAAGATGGTGGAGGAGATAATGGACAAAGTAGTGATTTGTAGTGGAAAGTTAGAGGATGATTCTGCATGTGGAGCAGAACTGGTTTCTAATCAGAAATTTTGTAAAAGCTGTGGGACAAAAGTTGATCAGTCTCTTTTCCACAGTATGCAACATACATGCCCTAAATGTGGTAATGTGGTAGAGCAGGGTGCAAAGTTTTGTATGGAATGTGGATTCAACTTGAAACAACAAGCCAAAACAGGTAAATAAAGTAAATTGATATTTTTGTTATATTTTGAATATAACAGTATTTCCATCAATAACTGAGGCTGTAGAAATAACGTATATTGTTGACAGTACTATAAAAAAAAATAATTCAGAAATAACTTCATGAAATCTTACTTCTTATATGATTTTGAACTGTAATGTTAGATAAGTTTGTTCTAAGCCAAGATTTTTTTTTGCTCTGTTTGGGAAAAAATATTTTGAAGCAGAAAACCCCTGCTGAAATCATGATCACAAAGTGGAAAGAAATCGCTTTTCTGCTGATTCGTATAAATCAGTGAGAAGAGATGAATCAGACATTTTCAGCGGGTGAAAAGGCGAGATTTTAGCATTTGATCATTCACTCACTGTGTCCTGTATATCCTGGAATACAGTATTTAGTGTGCAGTTTCAACACTTATTTTCCCACTAATAATAATTAAAGTGACATGTTTATATAAATAAATAGTGTACAATAAGTAAAGAAAAACATTATTTTTGTCCAAGGCATTTTAAAATTCATTTGATTGGAACCATTATTGAAATAACAAAAGAAAACAATTTGTGCATTTTTTTAACTTTGATTTTATGAAGTATTACTTCTTTAGTCAGTTTATCCAAAACCCAAGTCTATTAAAATAATAAAATTATATGCTGATACAATTGTCCCCCGCCTTCTAGAAGAAAAAAGGGGATATAGAAATACATCCATCCGTTAAACTTTCGTGTCAGGTCCATAACTTTGACATTTATCAAAGGAATTTGAAATAACTTGGCACAATTTTTTTTATAATAAGACGATGTGTCATTATAATAAGACGATGTGTCATGCGCAAAAACCAGACCCCTACCTCCAGGGTCAAGGTCGCACTAGCACATTCAAGGTCAACATTTTCTATTTGAGGGTATATTTCGTGTCCGGTCCATACATTTCTTATCTTTGAAGGGATTTTGTAAATACTTGCCACAATTGTTCACAATAATAAGAGGATGTGTCATGCGCAACAAACGGTCACCTACCTTCAAGGTCAAGGTCACACTTGGAAGTCAAAATTTACATAGTCTGTTACAGGGTATATTTTGTGTCCGGTCAATAACTTTTTCAAAGATCAAAGGATTTTGAAAATACTTGGCACAAATAGTTACTATAATAAGACAATGTGTCATGCACAACACATGCATCCCTACCGCCAAGGTCAAGGTCACACTCAGAGGTCAAAAATTAACATAGTCTGTTATAGGGTATATTTGTGTTGACCCACCTAGAACTTCTTCATAGGTCAAGGGATTTTGAAATAACTTGGCACAAATAGTCACAATAATAAGATGATGTGTCAAGTACAACCCTTGCAGCCCTACATCCAAGGTCAAGGTCACACTTAGAGATCAAAGATTTACATAGTCTGTTATAGGGTAAATTTTGTGTCCAGTCCATAACTTTTTCATAGATCAAGGGAATTTAAAAATACTTTGCACAAAAAATCACAATAATAAGATGATTTGTCAGGCGCAAAACATGGGTTCCTACCTCCAAGGTCACACTTAGAGGTCAAAGATTAACATAGTCTGTTATAGGGTATATTTTGCGTCCGATCTATAACTTCTTCATAGTTCAAGGGATTTTGAAAATACTTGGCACAAATAAATACAATAATAAGACGATATGTCATGCACAACACCTAACCTACACCCTTACCTCCAAGGTTAAGGTCACACATAGAGGTCAAAGCTTAAAATGATAGATTTTTAAATTTCATGTTTCATTTTATTTCTTTGATAAATTTATTGTTGCATTAATTTTGCAGATCTAGCATAGATCATAATTTTGGACTGAAAGTCTTGAGATCCATATCTCAATCTTTTGAAATAGCACAATTTTATGCTTCATATAAAACTTCCTGAGGCGGGAGACGTTGGTAACTCTGTGACAAATTCTTGTTTATATTAATTAGCACTGTCAATTGCATTCTGTGCGACCCAGTGACAAATCTCATGATTAACTTTTAGAAAAACAAAATATCCCTGCACTACTAACAAGAACTTTAACCACACTTTAATCACACTTTTATAAAATATTAAATAAATTCATAACGCTACTTGTACTGTAGGCAGATGAATTTTTAGCTTTTACTGAAAAATGTTTTATGCTATTATAGCATAAAACATTTTTCAGTAAAAGCTAGTATTTGTCACGGTTCAAAACTGTTCACTATTTAGGGGAGATGATGCGTAAGCGGCCGGATAGCTCAGTTGGTAGAGCCGTGGTATGGTATTCCGAGGGTCCCGGGTTCGAGTCCCAGTCAGGCTGCACATTTTTCGCACCCTGTGACATTTGGCACCTAACCTGGGGACCGTGACTATAATTATATAGCTCAGAGTTAATTCACATTGCTCCGTAACTCTTTGAAATTCGAGGACAAATCGATGGCTGAACGCAACACTTGTCTAACTTGATTTTTACTAATTTTCAAGGAGGCTATAAAAACTTAATTAATTCTATAAATTGGACATTTTTGTTATTATATTTAGATTTTTATATCCATATAAGTTAAAATTTTAGTAAAAAGGAGTTTCATTAATTAATATTGTTAAATAAAAAAGATATTTGAAAAGATATGAGTTAGATCAGTTTTCCATTTATAAATCACCAAATTTCAATGATAAATTTTCAGCAAAACTGGTCTAACTTGACTTAGCCCTATGTTGCATTTACAAAATGAGCTCAATAATAAAAAAGCCAAAAGAATAATCAATAAGTGCTATGTTTGAAAAAATAGGATAATATAATAGAATAAAGCTGTAACTATAACCATATTTTAGTATTATTTTAAAAGAAAACAACTTTTCTAAGGAAACCGAAATGTTAATTTATACAAAATTGACAACTTTTGCATAACATACTAGAAATCAGACAATCTTAAAAGTCAGTCGTTTTATCACATAAAAAATTCTAATTATAAAGTTTTAGTTCGGAATGAATGTTTTGTAGACAAGATAAGATTTTTTACATTAAGCATTATTCAATTTAACATTAAAATTGAAGCACAAAATAGAAGCATGTATATAAAACTTGCAATTCTAAAAACACAGGCAATATTATTCAAAAATGAACCTAATTTTTGCCTATTGGATCTTCATTTATATTTTCAAGTTTATTTATGTAGTCAGAATTTCAAGAAAAATGTTAACTTTAGGAACATTTTGCATAAACTAAGGTTATCTCTCCAAGTTGCCAAAGAAAAAAAACTTTTGCCTCACTTTGTAATTAAACTTGGCATGGCACTAATGTATCTATAGCTTTGTCCACCTTCCTTTCTCATCATCCGTTATACTCAATTTTTTGTCAGATTTTAAAACATAATTTTTTCCCCATATTCCTATTACAGCAATTCATTACATTTCTCTTTTATCTATCATCATTCTTACTTTTTTATAAATATTTTCCCCATTTAATAACTATTTTCTATATTACATAAACCATCATTTTAACCATTCTCTACTTGTCAGTGCTCATCACCAGCATAATGATATCAAAAACCCTAATTTCACCTTCAAAATGATTAACAGCATTTTTATCACCATCAGGGCTCTTATACATACAGCATTGTCTCAACTAGCCCTTATTAACCAACATTACTATTCTGAATACTCATCTCACCACCACTTTCTTCCTCACCACCTATATAAGCAGCATTGCCACCAAATTAGACCTCATTACATCAGTATTGTCATCAATCACACTTTTATCACCAGCATTGTCATCCTCAGCATATTCCCCTCTAACTATAATTATATCACCAATATTGTCCCCACTACCCTTATGATACCAACATTGTCCTCACCATTAACTATAATATCACCAGTAGTGTCCCCACTAACCCTTATAATACCAGTATTGCCCAAACTAACTATAATATCACTAACATTGACCCCACTTAAACACTCATATTACCAGCATTGTCTCCACTAACTATGATATCACCAGCATTGTCCCCACCAGTTGTAATATTACAAGAATTGTCCCCACTAACTATAATATCATCAGCATTGTCCCAATTTACTATGATATCATCAGTATTGTCCCAACTAGCCCTCATATCATCAGCACTGTCCCAACTAACCCCTCATATCACTAGCATTGTCCCCATTTATTATGATATCACCAGCATTGTCCTTATTTACTATGATATCATCAGCATTGTCCCAACTTACCCTCATATCATCAGCACTGTCCCATCTAACCCCTCATATCACCAGCATTGTCCCCATTTATTATGATATCACCAGCATTGTCCCCATTTACTATGATATCATCAGCATTGTCCCAACTTACCCTCATATCATCAGTATTATCCCCATTTACTATGATATCACCAGCATTGTCCCCATTTACTATGATATCACCAGCATTGTCCCCATTTACTATGATATCATCAGCATTGTCCCAACTAACCCTCATATCATCAGTATTATCCCCATTTACTATTATATCACCAGCATTGTCCCCATTTACTATGATATCATCAACATTGTCCCAACTAACCCTCATATCATCAGCACTGTCCCAACTAACCCCTCATATCACCAGCATTGTCCCCATTTACTATGATATCACCAGCATTGTCCAAACTAACTCTCATATCATCAGTATTATCCCCATTAACTATTATATCACCAGCATTGTCCCCATTTACTATGATATCATCAGCATTGTCCCAACTAACCCTCATTTCATCAGCATTGTCCCAACTAACCCCTCATATCACCAGCATTGTCCCAATTTACTATGATATCACCAGCATTGTCCCCATTTACTTTAATATTTTTAACATTGACATTTACTTTACAATTTCATTTGTTATGGCAAAATGATGTCATCTTTAGAAAGCAATTCATTCATAAAAGGCGCTTGGGAATGACTTCATTTAAAAACATTGACTTGTCTTACATGGGGGATGTAAAACAGGTTTTTCTAGCACCGGTGTAAACAGAAGATAA